AGAAAAGAAGTAACAAAAGGAACTAAACTCTAGAAAAGAAGTAACAAAAGGAACTAAACTCTAGAAAAGAAGTAACAAAAGGAACTAAAAATACTTTTTCATGATAAAGGGAAAAGAAATTCCAAGTTAAAGAATAATAACTTTGCTTTATTAATTTATAAATCGATCATTTTATCGATTTTTCAATCTATCGTACTGTAAATTAATAAATCTATCAATCTATCAAACTAACTATCACTCTATCAATCTATTAAATTAACTATCACTCTATCAATCTATCAAATTAACTATTACTCTATCAATCAATCAAATTAACTAAAACTCTATCAATTTCAATTAATTTCTCTGCCTATTAATCTCTTAATCTCTTGATTTCTCATGATCTCTCAATCTCTCGATCTCTCAATCTCTCGATCTCTCAATCTCTGGATCTTTAAATCTATTAATCTATTAATCTGTCAATCTATTGATTTTCATTTCCGTTTTTATCTTATTGTTAGGAAACAGGAAACAGGAAATCGTTAAAATTTGCATGAATGGCACAAAAATACATGAAGCATCTTCAAAGCAACCCAACTTTTAATAAAATAACTGAAAACTTACCTTTCTCTTATTTTCTAATTCTTATATTTGTGTAACCTGTGAACATCGATATTTCAAACTATTTGATCTATTTTATACATAAAAGGAATATCAGAATATCAGAATAGAATAGAGGTTGAGGCAAGTTCCTTTTTCCGAACATATTTTCTATACAAACCGATTTTGTCAATGAAATATTGAAGTGAAAAGTTTACCAATCTATTAATTTTGCTCTCTTTTAATCTCTTAATACATCTATCTATCATATCAATCTATTAATCTATCAATCTATCAATCTAGTAATTTCTCCATCTATTAATATATCAATCTATTAATCTCTCAATCTATCAATCTATCAATATATATATTTCTCCATCTATTAATCTTTCAATCTATCAATCTATCAGTCTATCAATCTAGTAATTTCTCCATCTATTAATCTCTCAATCTATCAATCTATCAGTCTATCAATCTAGTAATTTCTCCAGCTATTAATCTCTCAATCTATCGATCTTTCAATCTTTTAATCTATCAATCTATCAATCTATTGATTTCGCTCTCTATTCATCTATCAATAAATCAATCAAGTAATTTCTCCATCTATTAATCTATCAATCTATTAATCTATCAATCTATCAATCTGTTAATCTATCAATCTATTAATCTATCAATCTATCAATCTATCAATTTATCAATCTGTCAATCTATGATTCTATCAATCTATCATTCTATCAATCTATCAATCTATCAATCAAGTAATTCTCCAGCTATTAATCTATTAATCTATCAATCTATCAATCTGTCAATCTATCAATCTGTCAATCTATGATTCTTTCAATCTATCATTTTATCCATCTATCAATTTATCAATCAAAAACTCTATCAATCTATCATTCTATCAATGTATATTTCTCCATCTATTAATCTCTCAATCTATCAATCTATCAGTCTATCAATATATATATTTCTCCATCTATTAATCTATCAATCTATTTGTATACCTTAGGAGTATCCTTTTTTGACTTCTTCTTCCTCTTTTTCTCACTGATACGTTCACTACGAGACTTGACCTTGATTTAATTAATATTAAATGAATTTATAGAATAATAAATATCTTATAAAAAATGAATACACATGGCCAAAAATATTTCAGTTTAATTATACATTTCAGATATATGAATATAATTTTTCAAAACAAAATGTTTCATGGATCTAACCCAGCTATAGTTTGAATTATACTGACTGAAGCATTTTTACATTAATTTTGAGGATTTTAGAAAATATTACAGAAAGATCTAATTACCACATTCAAAATATATTTTAGATTTCAAATTACCTTTTCTGTCTCCCATTCAGTTACAATTATATTCTGCTTCTCAAATTCCATAGACAAGGATAGAATATGGTTATCTGAACATAGACAAGGATAGAATATGGTTAACTAAACATAGACAAGGAAAAAATATGATTATCTGAACATAGACAAGGTTAGAATATAGTTATCTGAACATAGACAAGGATATAATATGGCTATCTGAACATAGACAAGGATAGAATATGTTTATCTGAACATAGACAAGGATGGAATATGGTTATCTGAACATAGACAAGGATAGAATATGGTTATCTGAACATAGACAAGGATAGAATATGTTTATCTGAACATAGACAAGGATAGAATATGGTTATCTGAACATAGACAAGGATAGAATATGGTTATCTGAACATAGACAAGGATATAATATGGTTATCTTAACATAGGCAAGAATAGAATATAATTATCTGAACATAGACAAGGATAGAATATGGTTATCTAAACATAGACAAGGATATAATATGGTTATCTGAACATAGACAATGATAGAATATGGTTATCTGAACATAGACAAGGATATAATATGGTTATCTGAACATAGACAAGGATGGAATATGGTTATCTGTACATAGACAAGGATAGAATATGGTTATCTGAACATAAACAAGGATATAATATAGTTATCTGAATATAGACAAGGATAGAATATGGTTATCTGAACATAGACAAGGATAGAATATAGTAATCTGAACATAGACAAGGATAGAATATGGTTATCTAAACATAGACAAGGATAGAATATGATTATCTGAACATAGACAAGGATATGATATAGTTATCTGAACATAGACAAGGATATAATATGGTTATCTGTACATAGACAAGGATAGAATATGATTATCTGAACATAGACAAGTATATAATATGGTTATCTGAACATAGACAAGGATAGAATAGAGTTATCTGAACAAAGACAAGGATAGAATATGTTTATCTGAACATAGACAAGGATAGAATATGGTTATCTGAACATAGACAAGGATATAATATGGTTATCTTAACATAGACAAGGATAGAATATGATTATCTGAACATAGACAAGGATAGAATATGGTTATCTGAACATAGACAAGGATAGAATATGGTTATCTGAACATAGACAAGGATAGAATATAGTTTTTTGAACATAGACAAGTATAGAATATGGTTATCTGAACATAGACAAAGATAGAATATAGTCATCTGAACATAGACAAGGATAGAATACGGTTATCTGAACATAGACAAGAATAGAATATGTTTATCTGAACATAGACAAGGATAGGATATGGTTATCTGAACATAGACAAGGATAGAATATGGTTATCTGAACATAGACAAGGATATAATATGGTTATCTGAACATAGACAAGGATACAATATGGTTATCTTAACATAGACAAGGATAGAATATTATTATCTGAACATAGACAAGGATAGAATATGGTTATCTGAACATAGACAAGGATTGAATATGGCTATCTGAACATAGACAAGGATAGAACATGGTTATCTGAACATAAATAGGATAGAATATTGATTTGCAATTTGTTACCTATCTCCATAAGCCTGTGCCTTAGGGACATCTGTTCTCTAAAGTTAGCGACCAGGGCGTCCCTAAGCTCCTTTAGTTCAGCAATCTGCTGTTTAGTAGCTGTAGCACCGTGATTAGTCTGCAAAATATAATTATTTAAAGAGACTAATCTGCTGTTTAGTAGCTGTACCACCGTGATTAGTCTGTAAAATATAATTATTTAAAGAGACTAATCTGCTGTTTAGTAGCTGTAGCACCGTGATTAGTCTGCAAAATATAATTATTTAAAGAGACTAATCTGCTGTTTAGTAGCTGTACCACCGTCATTAGTCTGCAAAATATAATTATTTAAAGAGACTAATCTGCTGTTTAGTAGCTGTAGCACCGTGATTAGTCTGTAAAATATAATTATTTAAAGAGACTAATCTGCTGTTTAGTAGCTGTAACACCATGAATAGTCTGCAAAATATAATTATTTAAAGAGACTAATCTGCTGTTTAGTAGCTGTAGCACCGTGATTATTCTGTAAAATATAATTATTTAAAGAGACTAATCTGTTGTTTAGTAGCTGTAGCACCATGAATAGTCTGCAAAATATAATTATTTAAAGAGACTAGTTGCAAAGACATAGTTCCTAACGATTCAACGGACGTAATATTTTCTAAAATTTTGCTAGAAATATAATATTTTTACAATATTGTTTTGTTCTGATCATTCATTGATTTGAAGTAAATTCAATTCTAAAAATATACTATTTTTAGATCTAACGGAAATATCCTTTTAAGTTTTAACAAAATCCTATTCTGACAACAGCAGACTTTGAAAACAGAAAAATATTAGAGAAATGAAATTTCAAAGGAAAATATTTTATGAGTTAAAGTTAAAAGGCGCGACATTTAATGAAAAATGAAGGGTTTAAAGACAAGTTAATATTTCATATCCATTAAAAGAGTTTGTCTAAATTAAATAAAAAATCAAAATAAACAGGAATTTAGTCTTTGCAACCAAATTTCAAAGATCTTAGTTATTTCAAACTAGGAATACTGTTAGATTATATAATCTAAGTTTGAAATATCAAATGTCTACACCGTCAGGTTGCAAAGATATATACGAGATTAGAAAATTTGAGTTTGTGGCAAGGAATTAAATCCTTTTATTTAAAAGAACATTATTTTAACATTAATAATTTATTTTAGTGAAGAGTTGTGGTCAAAACAAACAATGATATATTAGTAAACCTGTTTCAGTTCGTTATCGAAATCTTTCTATTTTTGTTTTACTCAAGGTTGATTAAAAGGTGTTAGGTACTTTTACAAAGGAATTTTCCCAAGGGCAACTTCCAAGTGACAATTTCGCAAGTGGCAACTTCCCCATGAAGTAAAAATGGCATTTTCCCCATGAAGGAAGTTTTAAATGAACATTAAAGTTTTACATTTTTAAAAGAATTTCTCAACTTTTTTCTAGAAAATACGCAAGTAAAAAAAAATTCTTTCAGTTTCTCTCTGAGTTAAGGCAAGAACATGTAGCGGCCTAACGTATAACCATTCTTCAAAGGGTAAAAATGTATTAAACGATCCTTATTATTATTTACGGTTAGGTTAAGCCATCTGGGGCTAGTATGGGCTAGGGGGGCGAACTATTATTTGTTTTAAAGAAAATATTGTACAATGTTTAAGAAAATATAGTTCATTGCTTAAGAAAATATAGAACATTATTTAAGGTTAGGTTAGGCGTCTGAGGCATCTGAGGCGCCGCAGGCTACGATGGGGGCTGAGCGCTGCGGCTTGGATGGAAGCTTCCCTCAGATGTACACAACCGACCGGCGACCATATTAATTAATTAATAGCTGGTGATCGGCTGTTTACACATCACAATATGTTTACGTATCTATACACTGTATATAGAGTGACCGTATTTCTAGGGGGGTGGTTAAATGTATAAAACTGAAGATTTGTAGCCTATAAACCTATAGTGAACCCTTGTTTTACGCGGGCTGATCTTGCTTCCTGTTTTTCTTTAAAGAACATATAAACAAAAATCACACTGCAGTGCTTTAGAATAAAAGCAATGGTGTATGGTCAAGTAAGAATTCATTTTGTTTCTTTTAACAGCATAATTATATAAAAATGGAAATCCCGAATTTATATTTTACCGGTTCATTGCTGATTTTCTCCTTGAGCCTTCCGATTTCTCCTTTTAGTTCTGATATAATATTCTGGTATTGGGACACGTGATAGGATACATCCAGAACATTCCTTCGCACCTAAACAACATTTTTCAAGTCGGAACTTTTAAACCTCGGGATTATGCATTGATCTACATCATCTGCAGATCAACGGATTAATTTCATTCCTCATGGATATTCCTCAATGGTTATACCCAGCATGGATAACTTCAATTGAGCATAGATCCTCATCAAGCACATACGTATTTTTTTTAATTAAATCTAACAAACAAAATAAAGGTAAAGCTCTTCGAAAAAAGGTACTCAACACATGATTTGAATTTGTATTATACTTTATATTGGCTAGAGCAATTGGCTGTTTTTTTTGGAAACCCATGGTTACCCCCCCCCCTTCCAAGGGGTAAGTTAACATTGGCTAAAAATTTCGAAAATTTTGTTCTTCAATTTTCAATTTTTGTTCAAAATTCCACTGGCAACGACGGGCACTTCAGCTACAGGGTGTCCCTAAAAATATGGGAATTGAGAGACGACTTGAATAATGTGTTTTATTAATTTCCGATAACTGATAAATGACATTAAAAAGATTGAATGTCTTTCCAAAATGTAGTCTACCCTTTTTGTATCTTTTAAATTGACGGAGATATTAACATTTGAACAGTTTTGTTGATTTTTAATAAACTGGAATCTGGACATATATCATCTCCGTCAATTTTAAAGGTGAAATAATGGTAGACAGCATTTTGGAAATCCTGAAACTTCTGGTTTTCGGTGTCTTAACTTTGATACTACAAAATTATATTTTCGAAATAGGGATTATTTCGAAAGTATAATTTTGGAACAACAACAATAAGGAAGTCGTTATTTAATTCCCATGTTTATTGGGACACCCTGTAGATTATATTTAAATATTGATATTCATATCGCAATTGCAATGCTAAATTTATTTTATAGTGTACAAATATTAATACAGATATTGATGTTTTACTAGTGTCATTATGATTTATGCTGTATTTTTGCGACAGTTATTTTTGGTAGTGCCATATTTTCTGTCAAAACTTTAACTGAATGTGAGTGCAAATATATTCTCTGGTCTTATCAAATCAAATTTTTTTTTATTACCTTAAATTTTTCATTTAACATAGTGCATCCTTGAAACTTTAATCTGATCAATATAATATGAAGAAAAAGTCCTTTTTCTAACCTAGAAAGGTTTTATTGGGTTTAAAAGCACAAAATGAGAATGTCTCTTTTTGTGTTTAAATGAAATGTAAATGAAAATAATAAGTTTTCAAAGACCAAAAAATATATACATATCTAAGGGGACCGTTATGTATCGGACATGCCACTCTGTCAATGGAGGATTCACCCATTTATGTAATATAAACATGCATCTTATTTTTTATTTGCCTCCCCCGGACCCACCCCCTCCCATCCTGTCTAAAGTTTGGTATATGTTTGACAGATTACTTATATCTCAAGTTTTGAAACTGTGCAGTAGTATCTAATCCATTAACTATATTAAACTTATACAATGCAACCATTATACTACTATACAACATGTACTACTGTACTATACAGTAGTATCTAATCCATTAACTATATTAAACTTATACAATGCAACCATTATACAACTATACAACCTGTACCCATGTACTATACAGTAGTATCTAATCCATTAACTATATTAAGCTTATACAATGCAACCATTTTATAACTATACAACCTATATACCTCTGTACTGTACAGCAGTATCTAATCCATTAACTATATTAAACTTATACAATGCAACCATTATACTACTATACAACATGTACTACTGTACTGTACAGCAGTATCTAATCTATTAACTATATAAAACTTATACAATGCAACCATTTTACAACTATACATCCTGTACCACTGTACTGTACAGCAGTAGCTAATTCATTAACTATACTAAACTTATACAATGCAACCAGTTTACAACTATACAACCCGTACCACTGGTCTGTACAGCAGTAGCTAATTCATTAACTATACAAAACATATACAACGCAACAATTTTACAACTATACATCCTGTACCACTGGACTGTACAGCAGTAGCTAATTTATTAACTATACTAACGTATACAATGCAACCAGTTTACAACTTTACAACCTCTACCCCTGTACTGTACAGCAGTACGTGATCCATTAACTATATGAAACTTATATAATGCAACCATTATACTACTATACAACCTGTACCACTGTACTGTACAACAGCAGTAGCTAATTCATTAACTAAACTAAACTTATACAATGCAACCATTGTACTACTATACATCCCGTACCACTGTACTGTACAGCAGTAGCTAATTCATTAACTATACTAAACGCAGGATATATTTTCAAATATCATATTCATTCTTACTCTCTGAGTGATGTGATCTATCACTAAGAGAAAATTATTTTCTAAGAAAATTCAAAAATCTAATCCACAGCAGATATATTCTAGTACAATAGATGGCAACGTAGAATTTGTACACTCTCAGTACAGCTGTATTCTGACGTCACAAGTGTCAACTCAGTTTGTGTGTCCGACAAAATTATTAATCATAGTGATAATTTTAGAATAAAGTGCTTATTTTACAGTAAAATAAGTGCAATTTAATGTGTTCTTTATTTTCTGTTTTTACGCTTTTTTATTTAATCTTGGAAAACATGTCAACTAATGTGAGAAAATTCGTTTTCCTTGTTATATTTGACACTTGTGACGTCGTGTATAATTGGTCCATTTCTCTGTTGCCACGTACCTTATGTACTTGATAATCTATTTGATCATGATAAATGATTTCCAAATATCACATTGTGTTAGATTTAACAAGTTTCTTTCCAAACTTTTTAGGACAGTGACAGTGATAAAAGTAAGGAAACTGTTGATTTTAATTCAATTTTCAGAGATTTGGTAGGATTTTACTCAAAATATTTTGATCCGTGCACTGAACATTTTTAAAAATTTATTTTAAGGCATAATTTTTTTCAATTTGATTTTTAACTTGTGTTTTTTTTCCTGTTTAAATTCATAAATTCTTTGAAATAAACCCAAAACAATCATGAATAAGATAAAAACATTTTTAAAAGAAGGCAGATGCATAAATATATATTTTCTACCTTATTGGATATATTTTTGGCTCTGTCTGCATAGACCAGTGTGTTCCTGCTCTCATCAAAGTGTCGGTCAGCTGGGGATATATGAGCTATCATTACTGTATGACAGTTCCCAGATAGAGCATCTTTCAGTAATCTAGTAAATATAAGAGCTATATTTAATAGTAGATTTTTTTAAGTTGCGGGTAATAGGACCCACTTTTAATGATTGCAACGGCATAAAAGAGCAAAATAGTTCTTCAACGAAACACCCTTCCCCTGCCCCGTTAACTCAACATTTAGATTCACAATACCAAGCTAAACATCCCCGTGGTTCTCTCGAGTTCCCCAATCAAAATTAGTGCAAAATGAGTTTTCAACAAAATCCTTCTCCCCCTTTCATGGACATTGTACCCACTTTTTCTCAATTTAGAATTTCAAAACCAAACTAAGAACATTCCCGTGGTTCTCCCGAGTTCCCCAACCAAATTTTGAGGCGAATCGGTCCAGGGTTCAAGAGTTTTGATCGGAAATACAAACAAACAAACAAACAGAGATTACTACTTTATATATATAGAAAGCCTTTTTTATATTAATGAATGAAAAGTTTTTAATGAAAATTTTTTTAAAAATTATTTTTAAAAAAAATTGATAACCTTGTAAGTTTACTGTCTCTGTAGTTAACATATTTAGTTTTATTCTCAGCCAAGGCATTTATGCAGTTCCCAAGAGCCAGAAGAGATCTAAATATAAAAATATTCTTTGCATTTTTATTAACAACATGAATCTTAAGTTATATCTTTTTAATATTCATTGGTTATTTAAAATTAATATTTTTAGAAAATCAAATTCTGAAACAGTTATACAAGATGTTTGTTTGTATAAAATGCACCATGTTTAGTTAGTTTTGTTTTCTTATCAGACTTGTCTTTATTTGCTTATCAGTCTCTATACACCCGTAGGGTGACCTAATATGTTTGCATATTTTATAAGGTTTATTAGTGTGTTCAAAACATAAAATAGAACTAATATTTAATCTTGATGATGTTTGAATTTTGCATGCCCCCTGCTAAAGATAAGAATGAGTATTTAAGAATTGACCAGGTAAGAAAAGATAGCATTACTAATCATGCTGCTATGGGGGCTTTTGTTGTTATCTCTTGCTGTGGCATACACCCAAGCCCAGAGCTGTGATGTTGCTAACACTGACAAATGGGACTGTGGTTTCTCTGGAATTGACCAAACCAAATGTGAAGGTGATGGCTGCTGCTGGGTGCCTGTAACAAGAAACGAATCTACTAAGGATACTCCATGGTGCTTCTATCCCAGTGACCACCCCAACCCTTGCAGTGATGTCAACTGGTCAGCATCAGACGCTGGATTCACTCAGGACTATTATGATATTATGTACAACTACTATCTTGCCAATCTTAACATTGAAGGTTCCGGAGCTGTGGTGGCTGCACCTGATCAAGAAACACCTGGAGGCTCTTACTACTACCACTGGATGAGAGATGCTGGTCTTAGTATCAAAGCTTGGCTGGACATTAATGACAATGATTATGAGAAGGTCAGACCTGTTCTTGATGCATACGCTGGATGGGTTGCTAAGGTCCAACATAAAGCGGATCCTAATAACATTGATGTCAGAATTGAGCCAAAGTTCACCATTCCTGACGGTGAACCATACACTGGGGGCTGGTGCAGACCACAAACAGATGGACCAGCACTTAGAGCAATGGCAATGTCCAAATGGGGAATGATTGTCAAGAACAGTGGAAGTGGAGACACCCAAAGCATTTGGGACATTGTTAAGTTTGATATGGCCTGGGTTACAGAAAACTGGAGACAAGATGGATGTGATCTGTGGGAAGAAGTTAGATCAAACGACTTCTACTGGAATAGAATGGCTTACATTTATTCGCTCAATGTGGCTGCTGACTTTGCCGATAGTATTGGACAGAGCGGAGCAGAGTACAGAGCAGTGGCTGAAGAAATCAAGGGAGAAACCATGGGCCATTGGAAAGATGGTTTCCTTTATGAATCTACAAACCGACCATATGATGGAGCAGTAATTCATGCGATTGCCACATTTGGAGAGTATCTATTCCCTCCATCCTCAAGTGAAGCAGCTGCCACTATCAAAGTCCTTACCAAAACCTTTTGCCAAGAGTATCCAATCAACCAGGATGAAATTGCTGCTGGAAAACCTGGAATCCTTATTGGTAGATACCCTGGGGATTCCTATGCCGGAGGTAATCCCTGGCAGTTGTTGACTGCAGTACTTGGAGAACTATTCTATATCGGAGGACAAACAACTCTAAAAGAAGTCAAGCAGAGAGGAGATTTCACTTTAAATTACTCAGACAACAAAGAATGGATGGATCTGTTGAAACTTGAGGAGGGAACAACTGCAAGAGAATTTGGATCTGCTCAGATAGCAGCAGGAGATTCTGTTATGACAAGCCTCTGGTCCCATGTCCAAGATGCTGGAGGGAGAATTGACGAACAAATAGATAAATTTACAGGGGTTCAAACATCTGCTGCTGGGCTTACATGGTCCTATGCTAATATTCTTCATGCTCTTCATACAAGAGCATCCGCAACCAAACTCAGAGATGAACTTTAAATTATTTTCTAAAATTGTAGTAGTTGTACTTGTGACTATGATGAAATAAAACTGATAACTAAGTAAATAAATAAGACGTAAATAAAATTATATCTTTTTGAATTTGAGATTATACCTGTTAATATGTGCTCCTTCCTTTAATCGAATCCCTTTGTTCTAAACAAAGTATTTGCAGAATTTAATTTTAATAAATAAAAGCATTTCTGTTTGTGAACTTGGTTTCAAATATGTTTTTAACTTTAAACATTTATTTCATTTTCAGTAACCTGAGTGTTTGATGCTCTCTCGCTGCCAGCCAGATCAATCATGTACAATCTTGAATTTAGATATGCATCACTTGCTTATCAAATAAAGGGTATGAAATGATGGTTGCCCTCCCTTTTTGGGCTCTTTAGCCCCCCCCCCCATTAATTTTTCATTTTCAAAAAAAATCTGTTTCCCATACCTGCCATTTTTTACCGAATGTGATGTTTTAGACTTGCTTGTCTGTTTATAGTTGACCATGAGTAGCGCATGACTTCTAGAGCTTGTCTTATTTGCAGCAGTAGGCTCCTGGGTTCTTTCACGGTTCCCTGGCATTATCAAAACTTTAAAATCATATTTTTCAAGCATTAGAAAACTTTTTAAGTCATAAAAAAGGTGTAATTAATTGTTCATGATTATTTCAGCATTTAAAAAAAATACAGATTTTGGTAAAAAATCAACTATATACAAATGTGGCGAAAGATAATCTATGACCATATGGTGTATTATCTGAATGATTTGTTTGAAATTAAATGGTTTTTTTTACGGTCTAAGTCGTATGTTGCATCTTTCTGAATTTGTATGATTACTACGTTCTTCGGTATTAGTCGTTTTTAACAATTTTCTCCTTATATTATTCTATTATTTCAAGAATATTTATACCTCTAGTCTATCCCTCCATACAACTCTCAACATTCAAACATATCTTTTAAGACTGATAACATGAAAATGAATTAGCAAGGACAATATTGTATATTCAGGGATAGGCAGTTGTGTACGAAATCCAAAATGCAGTAGAAAATTCCCCCCTGTAAAATTGGGGGGACGTCTCCCTCCCTGGAAAACTGGGGGGACGTCGCCCCTGGAAGCATTAGGAGCGCAATAAGCGAAAGCAGGAACCTTTGAGTTCTTAAATTTATATTTTTAAGAATAGATTTTTAAAAAATTTGGCCTGCACTTTTTCACTTAAAATGTTGATTTTTTTTAGATAAAAATCCGAAATTTTCCTAAAACACTTTCCACCTCCCACCCTCCAGCTGTTCATGGTTTTGGCATAAAGTTGAGCAAATTCTCTGTAAAAAATTCCAGGGAGAAAACAATTTGGCGCGCGCAATCTTTTAATTATTTCCCCCCTGGATATATGAAGCCGCCCTGCAGATCTATTCAAAAATAAAGGTGCTAGGCCATATCCACAAGTGCTATCTAAGTATTGAAGGGCATTCGTTGCACAACTTTAGCATTGTAAATTTAAAATCTCTTACAATGTTTTTAGTTTAATTTACCTTTAGTGAGCATGCGCATAACCTCATCTGGACTACTGGTAGTTATCTCTGAAAGTCCAGTCACCTGAACATGTATACAGTTATCAATCAATCAAGTTATCAACAGTGTTTCAATTAACATGTATGTTGTACAGTTATACTACAGGGTGGTTCAATTAACATGTATGTTGTAAAGTTATACAACAGGGGGGTTCAATTAACATGTATGTTGTACAGTTATACTAAGTGGGTGTTTTAATTAACATATATGTTGTACAGTTATACTACAAGGTAGTTCAATTAACATGTATGTTGTACAGTTATACTACAGGGTGGTTCAATTAACATGTTGTACAGTTATACTACAGGGTGGTTCAATTAACATATATGTTGTAGAGTTAAACTACAGGGTGGTTCAATTAACATATATGTTGTACAGTTATACTACAAGGTAGTTCAATTAACATGTATGTTGTACAGTTATACTACAGGGTGGTTCAATTAACATATATGTTGTACAGTTATACTACAGGGTGGTTCAATTAACATATATGTTGTACAGTTATACTACAGGGTGGTTCAATTAACATGTATGTTGTACAGTTATACTACAGGGTGGTTCAATTAACATATATGTTGTACAGTTATACTACAGGGTGGTTCAATTAACATGTAATTAAGTGACGACTATTTCTATATTGTTATTATTCCATTAAGGATAATATCCTGATACCTGGATATTCTTCCCTTTACTATCCTCCCTGAGCTCTAGAAACCCTGATGCTGGATCTAGTAGGTCCCTGATATTCTCGTTATAGATCTCCAGGTAGGACATTGTCACCTTCAGTGTTGAAAATAATTATTTTTCTGAGTAATTGTTTTGTCATTTTAATGAATATTATAGATTTTTAAACTTCAATAACTTTAGACAAATTTTTTCACTGACCTACCAAAATACAAACTATATTTGCCTGCTCTTATCAGACTTTCTTTAAATGATTTTATTTGAATTGAGCATTGTTTCTTAGACATGGAATATATTCTGTCTTTTGATATTTGTGAACGTTTGGTCACATCTAAACATATATCTGTAATCGATTTTAATCGTTAGTTACAAAGTGAAAGCAAAGTAATGTGTAAAAGTATTGCACATTTTTTTGAGCTTAAAAATTTTGGCTGAGATAGAATTGAAATAAAATAAACGTAAGTTTTTTTTTTTTAATTCAAGAATTTAGCTTGTGAATTTGAAAAAATTTCAATCCTGAATTCGTTTTTCATGGTTGGAAATATAGGGATGTTGATAAATATCTCCTGTCTTTTGATGGGGGAGGGAGTATTCTATTATTTCAAGAATATTTATACCTCTAGTCTATCCCTCCATACAACTCTCAACATTCAAACATATCTTTTAAGACTGATAACATGAAAATTTGCTCGTTTCTGTAAAATGTGAATTTGTTTCATTTCTGAACATTTGTTACATCCCCAGGCTGAAATTGCATATTCTATAAATGATCGAAATAAAGAGTTGTAAATGGTTAGTTTAATATTACTAGTAAGAAAATTTTTTACACTTGACAAAGCAAAAACTGCACTGGAAAGGTTTTCCAACCACCTAGTACACAGTACATCCATATTATACATACCAGTACAATGGTTGATCTTGAGTACCAACCATAGTATAGGTTTTCCCACCACCTAGTACACAGTACATCCATATTATACATACCAGTATTCAATGGTTGATCTTGAGCACCAACCATATTATAGATCTTCCAAATTCCAAGCTCACAGTATATATATATTATATACCAGTACAATGGTTGATCTTGAGAACCAACAATTGTATAGGGTTTCCTTCCACCCACAGTACATATAAATTATATACCAGTACAATAGTTGATCTTGAGTACAAACAATAGTATAGAGTTTCCCACCACCCACAGTACATATATATTATATACCAGTACAATAGTTAACCTTGAGTACCAACACTATTTTAGGTTTTCCCACCACCTACAGTACATATATATTGTATACCAGTACAATAGTTGATCTTGAGTACCAACAATTGTATAGGGTTTCCTACCACCCACAGTACATATATATTATAAACCAGTACAATAGTTGATCTTGAGTTCAAACAATAGTATAGAGTTTCCCACCACCCACAGTACATATATATTATATACCAGTACAATAGTTAACCCTGAGTACCAACACTATTTTAGGTTTTCCCACCACCTACAGTACATATATATTATATACCAGTACAATAGTTGATCTTGAGTATAGGGTTTCCCACCACCTACAGTACATATATATTGTATACCAGTACAATAGTTGATCTGAAGTACCAACAATAGTATAGATTTTTCCATTTCCTAGCACACAGTACATCAATATTATACATACTATACAGTACAATGGTTGATCTTGAGTACCAACCATATTATAGATTTTCCCATTTCCTAAAACACAGTACATATATATTATACATACCAGTACAATGGTTGATCTTGAGTACCAACCATAGTATAGGTTTTCCCATTTTCTAGCACACAGTACATATATATTATATACCAGTACAATAGTTGACTTAAGTACAAACAATAGTATAGGGTTTCCCACCTCCTGCAGTACATATATATTATATACCAGTACAATAGTTGACTTAAGAACAAACTATAGTATAGGGTTTCCCACCACCTACATATATATCAGGAATTGCCAAATACGCCTTCAAAATTAAACCTTGAACTAAAGTGGAAAAATGGGCCCAAAGAACAAGACCTGATAGAAATGTGAAATTTCCTGATCTATAAAGAGGTTGAATAATGTTTACAGCTTAGATCGCTGTGCACTGTGAATGTTAACTATAATACAAAGTATTATACCAATAATTACAATGCATTTAAATAAATTACATTTCTAGTTTTCAACGCTGTATTGTCAAAGTTATAAAAAAATACATATTGTGTAAAAAAGCAATTAATAAAAGAGGTGTTACTTACTTATTTCTGCCATTACTATATTTTCAAGTATCGTGAATTATAATCATTAAAGGGAGTGACCGGCTATGTAAGGTAGTTGAACTGAGTATGCAGTGTTGTGGAAAACTTCTTTCGGATTCATTTGATACTTATTAAACTTTTTAAAGATCTGCTATTCCTGAGTTTGAGCGCAAATTCGACGTTCAAAACTCCTACTTTTGGGGTGGATATGTTTTCAGAATTAGTTTTTTAAAATTATTAAATAACGACAACATAAAATGTAAAAAAGTTCTACAATAAACTACAGACCATCTGATTAGATTACTGTATAATCGTTACTTTATTTTTCGTCTCGTTATTCAATAATTTAAAAAAAACTAATTCTGAAAACGTATCCACCCCCAAAGTAGGAGTTTTGAACGTCGAAAGAAGTTTTCCACAAAACAGCAAACTCAGTTCAACTACCTTACATAGCCGGTCACTCCCTTTAAACCATTTTTTAACTGTTATTAAACTTAATTACTTTAACTTCTCAGGATCACCAATCATTTGTTGAACAATTTAAAAGGATTATTCACATACTTAAAATTACTCTTAATCCCCACACGTTTAAAAGTTATTTTCGTTTGCCAGAAAGATCAATATTTTTGTGCTAGACATGGTCGCAAATTGAAGGATTAGGTTTTTAGGCGCCCGTCCAATATCAAGAGCTTAATTCGATAATGTAAACGAAAAACAACGTTTGTTTAGCCTAAAGCCCAAAACAACAATTGCCATTAAAGAAATCATTTGTTGATTTTTTTTCACGTAGGGAAGCAATCCTTGTGATATTGTGAGAAAGTGTATTGTTTCTAGGAGGAACTAACCACACCCCTTGAAAGTTTAACAAACTTATCCCCCCCCCCCTCCTCCGTAAATCCTACGCCCCTGGTGTTTTACAACTGTACCTGTAGCTCCGTATGCGAATACAGTAGCGTTGTACCCTTCAATCACATTTTGTACAAGATGTTTAGTCGTCTCGTTGTAAACTTCCTCTTGGGTAGAATCCGGACCAAAAGCCTAAAGAATTAAATTATTTAAAGGAATTGTAGAAGGCATCTCCGTATCACAGGAGTCTTTTTTAAACCTTTGGCTGACTTGAAAGAGTACAATTGTGAATATGACATTCCTCGTTTTAAATGGAGGTTTACTAAATTATCCCTACAATGATCTAAAAGTGAATTTAGAAGACATTTAAAAACAAATTTCTATCTGGAAATGTTGTCTAACTGCCACTGAATAAAGGTTTACGGAAACAATAAACGAAAAATTAGCGTCGTGACTTTTGAAGCTCCTTAATGTGTAATTTTTTTTAAGTTAAGTTGGTAAAACCTTTGAACTTCTTTATTTGGCCAAAGACACAACTTGTACGTGTATTTTCCAAGTCCCGTGAAAAATGTTTTTTTTTAATTTTAAACCGAACCTCATCTGTGTTTCATTGGAAAAGTTTGTTCATTAGAAGATCGCTTTGGAGAAAAGAAAATTAATTGTTTGTTGCAACATTTCCAATTTATACCCAGACAATATCTAGTATTATCCCACACCCAGACAATATCTAGTATTATCCTATACCCAGACAATATATAGTATTATCCCACACTCAGACAATATCTAGTATTATCCCACACCCAGACAATATCTAGTATTATCCTATACCCAGACAATATATATTATTATCCTACACCCAGGCAATATCAAGTATTGCTATTATCCTACACCCGGACAATATCTAGTATTATCCTATACCTAGACAATATCTAGTATTATCCTACACGGTACACCCAGACAATATCTAGTATTATCCTACACCCAGACAATATCAAGTATTATCCTACACCCAGACAATATCAAGTATTATCTAACACCCAGACAATATCTAGTATTATCCTACACCCAGACGATATCTAGTATTATCCTATACCTAGACAATCTCTAGTATTATCCCACACCCAGACAATATCTAGTATTATTCACACCCAGACAATATCTAGTATTATCCCACACCTAGACAATATCTAGTATTATCCTACACCCAGACAATATCTAGTATTATCCTACACCCAGACAATATCTAGTATTATCCTATACCTAGACAATATCTAGTATTATCCTACACCCAGACAATATCTAGTATTATCCTACACCCAGACAATATCTAGTATTATCCTATACCTAGACAATATCTAGTATTATCCTACACCCAGACAATAACTGGTATTATCCTGCACCCAGACAATATCAAGTATTATCCTACACCCAGACAATATCACGTATTATCCTACACCCAGACAATATCTAGTATTATCCTACACCCAGACAATATCTAGTATTATCCTACACCCAGACAATATCAAGTATTGCTATTATCCTACACCCTAGGTATATTATCCCATAAAACAAAGACGACCTTATCAAAAATATACTGTCTCTCTGGATTTCTGTTTTTTCTGAGAACATCATTCTTTCTTGATCCAGGATCTGTCAATAAGACCATCTAAAAATACAAACAAAATTCATTTAGATAGGTTTAAATATATTTTTAAGTAACCCTTAATTCAAAGCGTTCATGTGAAATCTTTTTTATTCTGCATATAAATCCACAATTCACTTTTACAATAATATTTAAAAGAAAATAATTAATTTCTTGTTAGAAAACAGGGACGTTTTTGCACATGCAAAGATTTCAAGGTTACCGTTGTGTATCAGATGTGCATCTCAATAGATTGGGGGTTACTTAACCCAATTCTTCTACTTTAAGTTTCTCTGAATTCATTATTATAATTTTTAGTTTTGTACAGGTTTTCTGTGTTTTATTCTATTCTGTAAAACTAAAATAAATTAAACTTCCAAATTGGAAAGGAAAGAAGAAACACAACTTTATGAACATTTTATCTTGCTTAAGAAGAAAAATTCTGAAAACTTTAAAAAACATTTCCAGTATATTTATCCCTCCATGAGGCAATTTCTTACAAAATATATGTTAAGTAAGAAAAAAAATTATGATATTTTAAAATGTTTAACCTTAGAATCTACCCTTTCAGCCATAGCCCTGTAACCCCGGGAAATCTCTTCTTGTTTTAGGGGCCGTATACGGAGGGCAACCTAAACAAATAGATTAAATACAGGGATAGTCAAAAAAAGTGTGATAATAGCGTCATCTCTTTCAAACAATTTTTTCGTAATATTCTCCACTTCCAGGATACATTTGTTGCATAAAACATATAATGTGTCTACTCAACACTGGGTAGTCCAGACTGGACGGTTTGACTAAATGCATATATGCAGTACATGTTGTACCGGCTCGGTTTATGCAACATTTAGATTAGGGTTGTATTTAGAAATTTGTTCATTTATTTGTAACTCACAAGTTCACAACATCAGATGGGTCAAAAAACAAAAACCTTAAAATAACCATCAAAATTTAAAGAGTTGTAAAACAAATGCTTTTTTTCAAAACCTAAAATTCTTTACCAATAAAGAGCTTCCATATATATTTGGCTTGTTTTGAAAAATTTTGGATGGTTAAAATGAAAAATATTATGCCGGGAAAAAATGCCCACTGTTATTTTTGAAAATCCACTAATTTGAACTAAAAAATTCGCGAAAATTTTTATTTGAAAAGTAACAATTTATAGATGAATTCTGCCTTGAAAAATAAGCTTCGCTCCTAGTTTTTATAAAATTCACAAAACTTAAATTTAATAGATGCAATGTATTGTTTAGTCGACAATAATATTAACACAATAAACAGTTATCATATAAATGTCAATCATTCTTTTGGAGTCGTTTTACAGCTCTAATTTTTAGATATATTAATAATAACTTTGCTTTAAAACTACACATAGTCATACATCAGAACTAAAATTGCGAATTTTGTTAATACAATTTTCCTTTTTTTATTTCATGAGTTTGATCTTAATGAATGGAATGGTAAGACAGAACTCTACGAGGTCCTGAGAGGGTGTGGTTGTCGTCATGGGGTGTATGTAAAAGTCTATAATTATTTTTTCTTTAATTTCAAACAAGGAAAAAAAACAGTTTTCAAAAGTCAAAAATAAGTAAAATCAGAAATTTATGATTTTCCACTTGTTGCTGTCGTTCTCACATAAATTTCAAATTCTGACCTTTCATGATAAAATTGAAAATTCTTCATTTTTAAATGGAAATATAAGCAGGCCTTTATTTCACAGTTTGAAAGAAAAAAAAAGACTATTTTTTATGTTGTAAAAACCTTTTGAAAATTGAGTTTTACCTATTTCATCAAAATGTTAATATTGAACAGTATTTCTGGCTGTAATTGTAAAGTAAGAAGATTGTTTAGGTGAAATAAAAGTTTTAAACGTTTTTGCAAAATTTTTCAAAAGCAACACATATAATTGGATTTTTTCTTTGAAATGAAATCAATTAGAAAAGTAATCAATTCTAGTTAGCGCTGAAACAGACTTGTCTCCTACAAATAGGATTTAGGAGAAACATTTCTAATCTTTAAAGGGAGTGTTCGGGAAAAATGAAAGGGGGTATAGGCTTAATGCGATAAAAAAGCGCTTTTGATCGCTACTTATCTTACTTCTATCTGTTGCGTCTATAAGGAGAAAATTGTTAAAGACGTCTCATACCGAATAACTTAGCGGCCATACAAATTGAGAAAATTGCAACATACGACTTAGACCGTAAAAAAATCAATTTAATTTCAAACAAATCATTCAGATATTACAACTTATAGTCAACGAATATCTTTCGCCACATTTATATATAGTTTATATATTATAATATTTTATTTTTTAGAAAACGTTTTCAACGGATTTCGAAAATTGTGAGTGGTGTGCGGCATTCTTAGATAGTTGTGCAAGCGACAAGAGAAACAAACAAATTAATTAAAAAATATTATAAAATATAAACTATATACAAATGTGGCGAAAGATGATCGATGACTATAAGTTGTAATATCTGAATGATTTGCTTAAAATTAAATTGATTTTTTACGGTTTAAGTTGTATGTTGCAATTTTCTCAATTTGTATGGGCGCTAAGTTATTCGGTATGAGACGTCTTTAACAATTTTCTCCTTATAGACGCAACAGATAGAAGTAAGATTAGTAGCGATCAAACGCGCTTTTTTATCGCATTAAGCCTATACCCCCTTTCATTTTTCATGAACACTCCCTTTAATATTTCAATCTATGATTTCTGTTAGAACTTTTACTCTTAATTTGAAATATCAAAGGTTTACATCGGCCATCAAGTTGTAAAGATAAAGGAATATGCAAATTTAAGTTTTTGGCAAAGACTCAAATATCGCTAAAACATAAATGTCACTTTTATATCGAGAAAGAAAAATTGGACATATAAGTTTATTTTACTCAGCCTTAGTCAGACAACTGGTGTGCATCTTGAAATGAACGGTTACTTGAAAGTAGAAATTACGTTGGCAGTAATATAACATTATGTAATAAAGTATTATAAAATCCAAGAATTTTTCGGGAGAAATATTTTTCCTTATCAACACTGTGTACTTCCTTTTATCTTGAATAAATGACATTTTACGTAAAAGGTGTTTAGTCCCTTGTAAATAAAAAAAAAATAACAAATATACATACAGGTGGGGTTCAGACAGATCCAATTTCTCTCCTTTATGAACAGATAATTAGATACAAGTTTTTTCTTTCTTCACGCTGGGGAATCATTAGAATTCAGGGGTATAAACAGCTTCAGGGATTTACAATTATTATTCAAATTATTATTCATCTAAACCGTTAATAATATAAGAACAAGAATTTTTAGTTGAATACAATTTGTACCTTTAGTTGAAATTAGTATACTATTGACTTAGTCATTCCCCCTTTCATCTTGCCCTCCCTTCCCCCCTTTCTAAAACATACCATAAGTTTCTCATTGTTGACCTCCCCTCTGGCCTCTGGTTCGTCTATCTCTTGATCTTCTGACCTCTACAATACAAATGTATAACTGTAAACATTCAAATAATCAAACCCATAAACTTGTATTTAGTTGGTCCCTTTTGTTCCCTCAAATATGGCAAGCAAGCTAGAACTATTTGGTCCAACATAAATATTTTTTTTACAAAATATCAAAAGAAATAATTTGCCAAAAAATATGATTTTTTAATAACTCTTTTTTTGCAACAAAATGTAGAAGAACTTTGATATCTAAATAGTTCTGTTAAATCTAATAATCTGAATTTAAATCTAATAATCTGAATTTAAATCTAATAATCTGAATTTAAATCTAATAATCTGAATTTAAATCTAATAATCTGAATTTAAATCTAATAATCTGAATTTAAATCTAATAATCTGAATTTAAATCTAATTATCTAAATTTAAATCTAATTATCTAAATTTAAATCTGAAAATCTAAATTTGATTCTAATAATCTAAATTGTAATCTAATAATCTGAATTTAAATCTAATTATCTTGTACAAAGACTCAATTTCTTTCCAAATACGACGCATCTCCATATTACAAAAAATATCTTTTCCTTTTGCTAAAAAATTTTAACAATAATTTTCCACCAACTATTTAGTAAGTTTCTTTTGAATATCAAAATTTCTGATTTACCTTACTCTGATCCTTGTCCCTGCTACCTCTACTCTTTTCTTTCTTACTACTTCATAAATCCATAAAATATAAAATATTGGAAAATAATATTCAAGATTAAAGAAAACAAGAATAAAACGGATAATAAATATTAGAAGATGAAACCATAACAACGTAAAGAAATGTTGAGAGTGAAAAATGTGATTTTAAAACAGAACTTGGGTTTAATATTAAAAACTTTTTAAGCGCTTTCATGTTTAAACTCAAGCCTGAAGCCATTTCTTCTTCAAACTTTGCAATGGTTTTTCGCAGATTTTTCTGTTTTAATTAATAGATTAATAAAATAAATATACAACAAAATAAAACTACAAAAAAGACAAAGAAAATATACAATGGAAACCCAGCTTTGCCAGGAGACAAATTTATATTTATTAGAGTCCACCTTATCAACTTATACCTTTTATACCAAGCTAAAAATATCTCCGTCGTCATACAGATTTCCAAATCCAAATTGGTCCAGGGGTTCCTGAGTTATGATCGGACAAACAAAGAAACAGATATCACTACTTTATATTCATACTAGATTGGGAACCCAGCAAGGCCCAGGGGAATCTATAGTTAGTCCCACCGATTACCCGCAACTTATTGTAAATTACGATTTTATTTTCCTTGATTTTCTGCGGATCTCCCGAGTTACGTAAACAAAACGTGAGGCAAATCGGTCAAGGGGTTTCCGAGGTACGATTGGACATACAAACAGACAAACAGACAACTTTATATTTATATATAGATATATTCCTGTGTGATGATGAACTACTGCCCCCTCCATCATCACTTCGACGTGATCTACGCTTCATTCCAACATTTGGGATTCTGAAAATATTAATTAATAATTTCATAAAAGATTATCGAGATCAAAAGTTAATTATTTTATGGAATGAAAACTTCACTTTCCCCTCGTCTAGAATTCTCAGCTTCTTTCAATATTAACATATTTTTACTGGAACCCAAATAAAAATGGCGGAATCTTCAGAAAATAGTGCAAAATTTCAAAATATACAAGATTAAAAGCTTTGGATTCAAATCTCTAATTATTTGCAACCAAATGACGTAGACCTTTGGGATTGATGATTATGTTATGATCAATTAACTAAGATTTTGAAATATCAAAAATGTACACCATTAGGTTGCAAAGAAAATAGGGATTTGAAAATTTAAGTTTGTGAGAATTTTTAGTACGAAGAATTTCTAAATTCCTAAAAAAAGCAATATCATTTGCAAAAATATCTTAAACAATAATTTTCAAACAATTAGACGCGCTGCTCAGAGACCTATCATGGTGTTTTTGATAATTTTGATTTTGTGACTTCTTAAGGGGTCTTCCATTTGGATGAATTTGGTTCCCAGGATCATCTTAGATTAATTTTTAAAAATCTAGAGTTTTGAGGAAAAACTGTTTTATCTTTTTTATTATATTTGACGAATCCTAGATTAAACTTTCCAACTTTCAAGTTTTCATTCAACATAACAGAAATTAAACTAGATAAAGATAAAACTTTAATTAAAACCTTGAAAGTTTTTTTTCGATTAAATTTTCATAATTACAATAATAATTATTTAAATTAAAGTTTAAAAATTAAGATAACTGACAATTATTATTTGAAAAAATAGAAAAAAAATGTTAAGTTTCTGTGACTTACGAAAAATGAATTATAATTAGATTCTTGGGTTCCTTCAAAATAGTCTTTTTTTCTGCGCTAATTCCATTACACTGTATAGCTATACGTAAAATGTACATAATTGATATTAGTACTTGGGATTAGTTTATGGTTTAAATGAGCAATTAACAGTAATATTCATAGGAATACTTAACTTCATAAACAAATACAGCAGTCAAAACATGAAGCGTTCAAATATTTGAAAATACATATACGTTGCAATTTCTTTTAAAGGAGACAGCATTTTTCGGAAATATTTTTGCAAACTTAAAGTTTTAATCTAACCGATCTTTTCAAGTATCTCCGCTCAAAAACATTTCCTAATGAATTCTACTTGAACTGTCTTTTGTACATTTAATTAAAGTAAATTTAATTTTAGACAAAAATCTTGCACAGTTTGAAACACAACTTTGTATACAATTGATAAGATAAGTTTTAACATCCTTACTTACTTTACTCACTTTTGGGTGTTGAATCAAAATTAGAGAACTTGCAATATTGCCAAAATTTGTTCTTGTTCTTTCTTTCTAGAGTGTAGTATAGATTTTTAATAATTTTGATGGTCTTTCTTCCTGATTGTGTTTCTGAATAAAGAGTTTCTAGATCAGGTGTACTAAACATAAAGTCTACCCAACCGGGGCGTCATGTACTGTATATGCATTCAATTGTCCTGTCCAGTCTGGACTACCCATTGTAGTATCGACCCAGCACGTTTTGTGCAAGAAATGTATAGCCTGGCAAGATGAAAGTGTACCAAACTAACAACATTTCGGTTGTTCTACTGAATTACTCAATCAAAGTTTGATTCAAATTGGTCAGGGATTGATGAGTTATCATAGAACATAGGAACAATCTCACACACAGACAAACAGAAATCACTAACTTATATATATATACTAGCTTGAGAACCCAGCTTTACCTGGAAACTAAATTTTCTTTAAAAAAGTCAACCTTTTTAACTATTAAGGCAAATCGGTCAAGGGTTCCTGAGTTATGATCAAACAACAAAATAAAAAAAGAGATTACTACTTCATATATATTTTGATAGATGATAGATATGCTATAGGCATATATAAATGTCTTGTTTTATAATATAGATATATTAAAATATATAGATATACAGATAGAAATATGAATAAATATTTACGTTGCACCTGCCCCGGCATAGACAAGAATATATAAAGATTAAAGATAAGAACCTAAGGAATTCTATAAACCGCCATTATTGGAAATTCCATAGATTAACTGCAAACTCAATCCTAGATAGATGTATACCCTCCTAGATCCTAGATAGAGGAGACCCTCTTAGATCGAGGATACCCTCCTAGATCCTAGATAGAGGATACCCTCCTAGATCCTAGATATAGGATACCCTCCTAGATCCTAGATCGAGGATACCCTCCTAGATCCTAGTAGAGGATACCCTCCTAGATCCTAGATATAGGATACCCTCCTAGATCCTAGATCGAGGATACCCTCCTAGATCCTAGATAGAGGATACCCTCCTATACCCTAGATAGAGGATATCCTCCTAGATCCTAGATAGAGGATACCTTCTTAGATCCTAGATAGAGGATACCCTCCTAGATCCTAAATAGAGGATATCCTCCTAGATCCTAGATAGAGGATACCCTCCTATACCCTAGATAGAGTATACCCTCCTATACCCTAGATAGATTTAAACCCTCCTATACCCTAGATAAAGGATACCTTCCTAGATCCTAGATAGAGGATACCCTCCTAGATCCTAAATATAGGATACCATTCTAGATCCTAGATAGAGGATACCCTCCTAGATCCTCCTAAATCCCATATATAAGATACCCTCCTAGATCCTCCTAGATACTAGATAGAGAATACCATGCTAGATCCTAGATTTTGAAGACATGACTTTGTATCAATGCAACTGTGAAAACATAAAGTTTTTTATTATTAAGTTTCCCAAGCCAAGATTCATACTGTTCTTACATTTGTGTATTGTGTTTGATATATTGTAAACCATGTAACTTAAATTATATGAGAAATGAAATTCACAAAATTTTAATTATTTACTATTCATTAATATTTATGGACATTTAAAGTTGACCTAATTTAAGTGAAGTATAAAATGATTAAATCTTTTAATAAGAAAGCAAGGTCATATATGTATGTTTGCTATTTATTTCATAGTCAAGGATTTCGCAGAAAAGTTTAAGAACATTTTTACAGTTTAAAACTTGAAAACCTGGCCTTGAAGAAATTTTTAAATCAGAATTTAGTCATGTCATTTTTAAATTAAAAAATGCAATTTTGCATTCAATGTATTTGCTGACTAAACTTTATAATTTTGGATCAAAAACTATGCAGAATTTTGATGTACTTTTAGAGAAAAAAATTTTCTTTGTTGAACAAAACATTAAAATGCTGTTAGCCTTTTTTTAATGGATGAAAAATTCTAAATTTTGAATTTAAACAAAACAGATCTGAAATTGTTAACAGAAAATAAATTACAAATTGTATTTTTTTTTGCTTTTTAAGAATTTTTATTTGCTTAATTAAGTACACGCGGATAGGCTTTCAGCTTCTCCCGTATTGACAAAACTGCATAATATTACATTTGCTTCCATTATTTTTTATTGTTCGCTTATAAATTGCATCATTCAACTCCCCAAATTTAGATTCATATTTTTTTTTATAATTCAAAATTTATCAAGAAAAGGTTTCACAATTGTTTAAAAATTAAAACTTAAACCTTGATGAAAGATGTTTGAACAAAGAATACAACGGAAATTGTTTTTTAAGTGCTTTCAAAATGTGTTAATCTTTTAAAGTTTTAGTTTTTTTCCGTAATCCCCTGCTTTCAGCCATCAGGAATACTTATATTAAGTTTAGAACGTCGTAGATACGCCTAACTGAAGATAAAAACGTTTTGGCAAACAAACTTTTTTCGTGTCTATTTTTGTATTTATTTTAGTTTTGCGTATTTAGTTCAGTTTAACTGTTATCTTTATGAAAAAAAAGTTTGTGTACAAAACTTGTTATAGGTGCGACATGTTAATTTTGATAAAGGAATTGAGTTTTTGCCTCAACTCACATTTCCTAACCCCTATATCTTTGTATTCTGATGGTGCATACCTTTATAATTTCAAACGTTGACCATTTGATCTAACAGAATTAATAGTTTGAAATATCAAAGGTCTAGGAAAATGGGTTGGAAAGTTATAGGAATTAGAAAATCAGAGTTTGTGGCAAAAACTCAATTCCTTTGGAGGTGTATTAATTTTCAGTCCTTTTTAGACTAGCGTGATAGATATTGGTAGTTTGTACTTTGTTTAGATGTTAAACTTCTTAGAAGACAAGTGCAGTAGCTCTACACTCTGCACATTACAGTGTACAGGTGTGCAGTTATTGTATAGTATGTATACAGTGGGAAGCTCAAATGCAGTCATGGTGCAGTGTACTGTGTACAGCTCAAATGCAGTCACTGTACAGTGTTCAGCTATGATGCAATCACTGTGCAGAGTACAGCTTAGTGATAGTTTTCGTACAGTCCAATTTAGTACAGTGTACAGCTCCGATTTAGTCCCCGTACAGTGTACATCTAGGACGAAAATGTAATGTACAGCTTAAATGTAGTTGGCGCACAGCATACTCAAAAGTAATGAACAAGTGTATGTAAGGGTGAATGTGTGTTTGAAGGTTAAATACTAACTGGAGGTTCTAAGTATAAATATATATACCCAGTATACCAGTATACCATGGTTACACTTTAAACATTAGAACTATAACCACTAGAAACCATTAGATACTCAAAACAGGAAACCTTCGGAATTTTTATATTTTATTGAAATAGGAAATCTTGCACTTTCTGTCTTTACATTCAGCTTAAACTATAATCTGTTAAAATTCTCCAACTTTTTTTTCAATACAAATTTTTTAATTTCACCAATTTTTTAGATCGATTTCAAATTATCCCCTATTAATTCTCATATCTTTTTCGTCCAATTTCGTTCTACCAATCCCCCGCCCTACTCCTAATTTTTAACTCCTACTCACATACCACTCCCCTCCCCTCCCCCCTATCCCTAGAACCCCCCTCCCTCCATAAGAACCCTCCTATCTCTAGACCCTTCTCTCCCCCTCGTTTCCTACTCCCCCTTTCCATTCTGTCCATTCTGTTCTCTGTCCCTAAATATATCAACCCTTATTGCTAAAATATTAATATTAAAATTTCTATGCAAATTATATTAACAAAGGGGAGGGGTTTAAATTAAATCCTATTTACGGTATAAAGTTAAAAAAGCAAAATATAAACTCTTTTTAGACCGATACGTTTACGAAAAGCAAACAAAAGTAGGAAAAAACTAATAATAATAGAATAATAAGTTTCATTTTAAATGTAAAAAATTGCATGCAATTTAAACAAGGTGAGGCCCACTAAACTGACGACTGGGGAACCACTTAAAAGTCGTCTTTGATCTTTGAAATAATTATCAGCATTGATTTTCAACGTAATTTTACAAGTGCAATTTGTTGAAACAATAATGACATGATAAATAAATACCCCTATTCCACTTTCAAACTTTTGTCTGCCTTAGTGACCAGAGGGAAATAATTTTGTTCAGATTTTAATTTGTTATTAAAGTCAAAATAGGACACCCTAATTAGGGTAATGAACATTTTTAAATCGTTGAAAATAGTCATTATTTTATCAACTTTATTCACCAAATATATAGAAATGATAAGAATTAAAAAAAAATTTTAAACTTAAAAAGTTCTGGTTTTCCATTGAAGATTTACTTCTTTTTTTGATTCTAATGTATTTTTATACACTATTTTATTATCTTTAGTGTATTATTGTTGAAAGTATATTAGTGTATTTTGTGACGTTATATCTACACTTTGTTCCCAGTAATTACTTTTATTTGTGTTTTTCTCTGCAGGGGATTAAATATTCGTGTTTTTAGGAGCTTATATTTTATTTCATTTGGAATTAAAAATCTAAAACAGTTATTTTTGAAAATCCTCCTCTTTGGAACTTTATTAATGGATCACTGCTTTGAACATGCTTTACACGTTTTAAAAAATTTAATGCAAACATTATTACTTAGAAAAAGAATGGATATTAAAAGCCATTTTTAGCATTGCAAATTGTAATTTGATTGTTTGGTCCGAGAGTGAAAATGATGAATTTCTAATTTTTACAAAGCTTTTGAGAGATATATACACTAATAATTATTTAAAGGTTTACAGGGTACTGTTGTGAATCGGGGTTTTCCCCCTTAAAGTAAAGGGTCCCTTGAATCTACGCTCTACAACCCCTTTAACCGAAATTTGATTTTAGTAAATTTAGTTTCATTCAAGACATGAATACTGTCATACTTTTATAATTGAATAATAAATAAAACTCGAGGAAAGAATGAAAAAGTTTTAATAATATTAAACAATAAAAGTAATAAAAAAAAATACTCTCTCTCTACTCTCCAGTTCTCTACTCTTTAGCTCTCTGCTCTCCAGTACTCTACTCTCTGCAGTTCTCCTCTCTCCAGTTCTCTACTCTCCAGTTCTCACCTCTCCAGTTCTCTAATCTCCAGTTCTCTACTCTCCAGTTATCTTCTTTTCTCTCCAGTTCTCTACACTCCAGTTCTCTACTCTCCAGTTCTCTACTCTCCAGTTCTCTACTCTCCAGTACTCTGCTCTCCAGTTATCTACTCTCCAGTTCTCTACTCTTCAGCTCTCTGCTCTCCAGTACTCTACTCTCCAGTTCTCTACAATTTAGTGCTCTACTCTCCAGTTCTCTGCTATCCAGTTATCTACTTTCCAGTTCTCTACTCTTCAGCTCTCTGCTCTCCAGTACTCTACTCTCCAGTTCTCTACTCTCCAGTTATCTTCTTTTCTCTCCAGTTCTCAACACTCCAGTTCTCTACTCTCCAGTTCTCTACTCTTCAGCTCTCTGCTCTCCAGTACTCTACTCTCCAGTTATCTACACTCCAGTTCTCTACTCTCCAGTTCTCTGCTATCCAGTTATCTACTTTCCAGTTCTCTACTCTGCAGCTCTCTGCTCTCCAGTACTCTACTCTCCCGTTCTGTTCTCTCCAGTACTCTACTCTCTGCAGTTCTCTTCTCTCCAGTTCTTTACTCTCCAGTGTTCTACTCTTCAGCTCTCTACCCTCCAGTACTCTTCTTTCTGCAGTTCTTTACTCTCCACTTCTCTACTCTCAAGTTCTCTACTCTCCAGTTCTCTACTCTCCAGTTCTCTACTCTCCAGTTCTCTATTCTCCAAGTCTTTACTCTCCCGTTTTCTACTCTCCAGTTCTCTACTCTTCAGCTCTCTGCTCTCCAGTTCTCTACTCTCCAGTTATCCACTCTTCATTACTCTACTCTCTGCAGTTCTCTTCTCTCCAGTTCTCTACTCTCCAGTTTTCTACTCTTCAGCTCTCTGTTCTCCAGTACTCTACTTTCTGCAGTTCTCTACTCCCCAGTTCTCTACTTTCCAGTTCTCTGCTCTCCAGTTATCTACTCTCCAGTTCTCTACTCTGCAGCTCTCTGCTCTCCAGTTATCTACTCTCCAGTTCTCTACTCTTCAGCTCTCTGCTCTCCAGTTCTCTACTCTCCAGTTCTCTACTCTCCAGTTTTCTACTCTTCAGCTCTCTGTTCTCCAGTACTCTACTTTCTGCAGTTCTCTATTCTCCAGTTCTCTTCTTTCCAGTTCTCTGATCTCCAGTTCTGTACTCTTGCAGTTCTCTACTCTCCAGTTCTCTACTCTCCAATTCTCTACTCTCTAGTTCTCTTTTCTACAGTTCTCTACTCTGCAGTAATCTACTCTTCAGTTCTGTACTCTCCAGTTTTACTCTCTCCAGTTCTTTACTCTCCAGTTCTCTATTCTCCGGTTATCCTCTCTCCAGTTCTTTACTCTCAAGTTCTTTACTCTGCATTACTCTACTCTCTAGTTCTCTTCTCTACTCTGCATTACTCCCGGTAAGAATAGATCAGTTTGGTTTAACCTACCATCCTCCACACTTACTCCCCAGCTCTAGACATAAATAAATATATTCAAGAATCATACGAGCAGTTCTAAATAAATCCTTTTCTTTTTGCACGTTTTTACATTCTTTTATGTTTCGATCATTTTATCAAAATATTTAAAAATATGTCTATTTTAGCGCTCTAATGTTTTTACAGGGTCCCTTTAAAAAAAGCGCTGAATAAATTTTTTAATACTTATTTGGGTTATTAGGGTAAACTAATCAGCCGATGATTAGCTATTCATTAGTATTAGTCTTACTTTTCAAAGATATTTATTACTTACCGGAGAAACAACCGTTTTATTGTTTAGAATTCCAGCGGAAAGGTATGATACCTTTGCATAGACAGTTGTTTAAACGTTTTTTCAATAACACCAGCCCAATAAAATCTAAAATTATCATATTTCAATGAAATCATTTGTCAGCCATTATATAATTAAAAAACTATGATTTTAGAATGAGCAAGAAATTAATGTTTTCGTGTTCAAACATGATTTAACAAATTAGCCATTAATTACAAATTAACCATTGGATACAACAATTTAATTAAATTTTTGAAATTTTTTTTTACTAATGACTATGACAAAAAACATCATAGTGTCTATTCAAAGGTATCATACCTATGCACTGGAATTCTGAATGATAAATCGGCTTTTCTCCGGCCACAGTTGTCATTGAAAAGTAAGATACCAATGAATAGCTAATAATATTTAGTTTACCCTTAAATTACCCAAATAAGTGAACGGTTCCTTTAAATTATTTTGTTTTCAAAATTTCTGATCAAATCAAGAAGAGATCCAAATACAGGAATATAATTTATGCACTAACAAATTTTGCATCGAAAATTGTTAAACAATTTTTCTGACTTTTTAAATTTCATATTTTTTATTTTAAAGTTTTAAGATTTTGACATTTTCATCATCAGCTCTACCCTTCAACTTTCTTCATGTACAGACTTTTCAAATATTACAACTAAATATTTTCTGAAAAGAATAGAAAACTACTTTCCTCAACCTTTTAAAATTCTTTCGAAACAAATATTAACTTCCAAATTATAAAAGATCTTTTTTTACAGGTTTTAAATTTGATACGCGACGCTTTCCTTCAATATCGATCAAAATAACACTGTCTGGTTCAGCGCGCATAAGTTTCATAGGAAATTAAAAGTAGGATGAGATTAGGAAGATTTTTGCATTAAAAAATATAAGATATCGGCACCATTTTTATATTTCAATCCATGATTTATTTCAAAAGCATTTTAGAAAAAAAATTTACAACGCTTGCGCGGTGTAAAACCTTAGCAGTTAGTTAGTTCAGTTAGTTTCCTATATTTGCTACCCAATGTTGAAGCTCTTAGATATGACAGATTATGGATTCTGCTAGATCAAATAATCTAAATTTTTAATACTAAAGGTTTACATCGTCAGGTAGAAAATCTGTGGCAATTTTTGTGAAAAAGACACAATTGTTTTTTAGACTTTTCAATCTGTATTTTTCTATATATTTTTTATATGGTCTGGGTCCAGCAAAAAGACTGTTAACAATTGTTAAGGCAGGCAATGACACCAATTATATATCATTTAGAGATAATGATATCTTTTCATTTTCTTTTTTATTTCTCCCATTTTCCTGATCTACCACTATCCTTAACACTTATTCAATAGATTTTTCATTTTTAAATCTATCACTCTGTATCAGGATACCTCCACATCTACGAAGTGTTAAGTCAGGAAGGGGGGCATTTTTCCGTGTATTTTGTTCTATGCAACCATAGATAAATAAATAAACATAGATAGCTTATGTACGCAAAACTACCAAGAATTGTACAGTCCGCGAACTCATACTTCTAGGGGTCAAAGTATACTTCAATGATACGCGGGGTGGTTTGGTGTTTTAATGGATTTCATAATAGAGTGTAAAATAACTCCGGGAATGGAACTATTTGAACAATAATATTTCACTGAGCAATATATCATATTGACGAGAACTGAAGAAGGACATGAGAAGGACTAAACTAACTTAAATTTCTCTCTACAGAACTCATGTACACCACTAGTACTCAATGACATAAGAACAGCCAATGTTCACAACCGACCTAGCTAATCTATATAATAGGAATATCTTTAAAACATCTCTGTACATTTATATCTTTCAAGATGAAAAATGTCGTCTTATGCGCAATCTATCTTTATCTATGTATGCAACCCTCTAGCAACTAGTGTGTATAGTGCCCTTAATGATTCTTTTTTAGGTATAAAAATAATTCCCAATAAATTTTATCATAGTATTTCAGATTTTTATGCTCCATAAATCCGGTTAAAGCAATTGAGGTTTAAAAAAGTCCCACATAGTATGCATCCATCTATATACTCGTGTTAAACCGTCTTAAAGGGAGTGACCGGCTATGTAAGGTCGTCGAACTGAGTATTCAGTGTTGTGGAAAACTTTCGGGTTCATTTGAGACATATAAAACTGTAAGATCTGTAAATCCTGAGTTTGAGCGCAAATTCGACGTTCAAAACTTCTACTTTGGGGTTGGATACGTTTTCAGAATTATTTTCTTTTTAATTATTAAATAACAACGACGAAAAATAGAGTAAAAATTTTACAGTAAACTAATCAGATGGTTAGGAACATATTTCTCAAAAGAAAATTGTCAATAATTCAATGCTAGAATCAATTATTTCGTTTTCATCATTATATTAAATTTCTTATTTTCTTTGAATTTATTCTTCAAATTCTGCAAATGTCGTCTTTTCAATAATATCCCGGAAAATCTGCAAAAAATCTTTGTGAAAAATGAGAAACAAGAATAATAAGAAAATAGAAACTAATAATTGAACAAGATTACTTATTTTCGATGATAAGATTAATTTTATTTTCTCAACCTGTTCCTAAACAACTTATCAGTTTACTGTAGAATTTTTTTTACATTTTATGTCGTCGTTATTTATAAAAGAACAAATTCTGGAAACGTATCCACCCCCAAAGTAGGAGTTTTAAACGTCGAATTTGCGCTCAAAGTCAGGATTTACAGATTTTTAAATGAATCCGAAAGAAATTTTCCACAACACTCCATATTCAATTTAACTTGATAGCCGGTCACTCCCTTTAAGTAAAAGTTTTTCAGTCTGAAAATTATGTAATTTAAAAAAAAACTAAATCTAAATCTTATGTCTATGTTTATTGTTGCCTTACCTGCGCTCAAGTCTCTCTTCTGCGTTAACTGTGAAACAAACATCCTAAGAAAATGTTGCATATTTTGTATACAAGATCTAAAACGATTTGAGTAATTTCCAAAAACTACTATTTTCTAATCCCTACATCTTTGCAACCATGTCGTAGACCTTTGATATCTCAAACTAAATTCTGTTAGATCAAAGAGTCAAAGTTTAAAATATGAAAGGATTACACCCTTACTCAATAGGTTGTAAAGATATAGGAACTAAAAAATTAGAGTTTGTTGCAAAGACTTAATTCCTTTTTTCTTTTTAGTGACAATTTGAAATGATTATGACTGATCGGTGACCATATTAAACATCCCTGACACTGAAACCTAGACAGAGAAGGTTGAACTTATGATACATCACTGGTACTACTTTGTGACCTCGTAGCACCTCTAGTTTTGATTTTCCGCAGAAGTATATGAGAATAACTTATTTATCTTGTTATATAACAGAAATTCAATATGTTTATGTTCATCTCAAAAGCTCTTCAATAAAAGAAGTAATGATTTAAAACATAGAAGATATCAATCTTACATGCAGTTTACTGTTGTTTGACGTGGAGATTCCGCGAGAAATTGTGTAAAATAAAATTATCAGACAACTTTTTTTTATTAAAATATACTTTTTATAGATATTTAGATAGAAAATATGGAATCTACTGGGGGAGAGGCGAGAAGGAAACAGTTAGTGAGACAGCTTGCTACATCTATAGATATTGAAGGTAATACAGAGCTTGAATTGTGGATACCGAGATCAATTCTTGATCTCGGTCTTTTTTTAATCTGCAGATTAATTTAATCCAGAGATAAGAGAGTTACAGAGATCGATGAACACCTATAATATGCGATATTTTCCACAGCATGTTCTATTGTGTACAAGGACTGTACACGACCAATCAGGAGACATCTGTATTCAGGGATATTTAGCATCCTTTGAATAGGAAATGCAAAAGCTTTAAAAATGGACAATATTCATAAACGTTATTTTTATTGGAGTATTTCTTTAAAAGTTGTAAAACTTAACCCCTCAATGCAACAAATGGCCATGAGATGTAAGTTAAAAAAAACATTACATGGAACTGTAGCATGGCGTGCTGGTACAATAAAGGCCTGCTCAGCCTATCCAGGTATAGTGTATGAGCAGTCTGTGTAGTCCAAAATGAGAATAAAAAATTTTAACTTTTATTTTCAAACTGTGGTATTGGCGGTAGTGAGATTTCAAAATCCAAAATGAGAATATAAAATTTCTAAATTTTATATTCTCATTTTGGAATTTCAAATCTCACTACTGCAAAAACCTCTAGTTTGAAAGTATTTACATTTTCTAATTTCGAAAAAAAGGCATTTAATTATCTGAAAAGTGTAAAGAAAATGTACAAAAACTAGCTTTTAAAACCTTCAATACCATTTTCTTTTTTAAAAAAAACATACAATTTTCGCTCAAAAAGAAGGCATTTCATACAAACACGGTTTGGCATGAGGAAGCCAGTCGCACTGCTTTGCAGAAGAGTTCGTTATCACACACACACACTCTTTTGGTACAGACACACAACATGACTACAGTCAAGGAAATTCCAGAACAATGTTGTCAATTATAATTAATCTTGGATAACGAGTATTTTATTGTAAACTTAAATTATATTCTTTGCATGAAAACTTAGCTTAAAGTGTTGACTTAAATATATAAATGATATTATACATGTATATTAAACTTATTTTAAGTAAACAATTAACAAAAACAAATGTACTTTCCTAGACTGTACAAATACCGAGATTTTCATGTACTGTATATACCTACAGTACACGCCTTCGGTTCGTTATTACTTACACTGTTACAAACACTCTTTAGGTATAGGCACACGTACAAGACGTTTCCACCCCCTGATTTCCACTAGACTAAACAAAACTTTCTCGTAGGAGTTTCTGATGTATAATGCAGTTTAACTTCATTGTGGGATGATTTATTTTTCAGTTCAGTTCTGCGTTTGTTTACTTGTAATAAACTATATACTACTTGAAGTACGGTGTTCGTTCAGCATTCTTATATGAGGAAGGAAAAGTTTCGGTCAAGGGTTATTTGACCGTAGGTTCACGATATACTTATTTTTCTGTTTACGCTTTTTTGAGTTTTGACGCGAATTCTGTAAAGTGTATACAGTTCTCGTTCTGAAACGGCACTGTAAACTGAATTTTATATTTGCATATTTGATTTAAATGTTAAATGAATTTAGATTTGCATCTTCTTTGAATTCAAAGAAATTCTTCTACACAGAGCACATTGTTTGGAAATTGTTTATTTGTTCAAATCTTTTGAAATTTGAAAGCTAATGTTGTTTCTATGAAAGAAAATCGTATAAAACTAATATATGTGTTTTGTAATTTTCAAACTATTGAAACCAATTTTTAAAGTTGATTGAAACTAGTTTTTGTGTTGCGGTTGAGATACTTTTAAAACTAATGTTAGTGTTGCTATTGTGAAACTATCAAAACTAATGAAACTATAATGTAAGTTTTGCTTTTGTGAAACTATTGAAAATAATGATTGTGTTGCTAAAGTTAAATTATTAAAACTAATAATTTTAGTACTATTGTGAAACTATAGAAACTAAAGTTCGTGCATGCTAAATTGAGAAATTAATAAAACTAATATATGTGTTGGTTTTGTGAAACTATTGAAACTAAAGTTCGTGCTGCTATTGTGGAACTATTGAAACTAATGTTTGTGCTGCTATTGTGAAACTATTGAAACTAATGTTCATGCTGTTATTGTGAAACTATTGAAACTAATGTTTGTGCTGTCATTGTGAAACTATTAAAACTAATGTGTTGCTAATATCAAATTATTGAAACTAATGTCTGCTCTAATTGTGAAACTTTTGAAACTAAAGTAACAGTGATTCGGTTATAAAAACTATGGAAACAAAATTTTGTGTTGAATGAAACTAACAAAACTAATATTTGTGTAAGTATTGTGAAAATATTGAAACTAAAGTTTGTGAAACTATTGTAACTCAAGTCTGTGAAACTATTGAAACTCAAGTTTGTGAAACTATTGAAACTGAAGTTTTTAAAACTATTGTAACTCAAGTTTGTGAAAATATTAAAACTCAAGTTTGTAAAACTTTATGAAACTACTGAAACTAAAATTTGTGACATTATTAAAACTAAAGTTTGTGAAACATTGAAACTAAAGTTTGTGAAACTAAAGTTTGTGAAACTATTGAACCTAAAGTTTGTGTAACTATTGAAACTAAAGTTTGTCAAAATATTGAAACCAAAGTATTTGAAACTGTTAAAAATAAATTTTATGAAACTATTGAAACTAAAGTTGTGAAATCTATTTAAATGTGAACATAATAATGTTATGGTTTAATTAGAGGCTGACAGGACACTAAACTATAAGTATGTGATACTGTTGAAAGTAAAATTTGTGAAACTATTGAAACTAAATTTTATGAACCTATTGAAACTAAAGTTGTGAAATCTATTTAAATGTGAACATAATAATGTTATGGTTTAATTAGAGGCTGACAGGACACTAAACTATAAGTATGTGATACTGTTGAAAGTAAATTTTATGAAACTATTGAAACTATAGTGGTTAAACTATTCAAATGTAAATATAATAATGTTATGGTTTAATTAAGAGGCGGAAGACACTAAACAATTCTAACAGTAAACAGAGTATTCATTAAACTTATATTCCTGGCAAGGTTCTTTAATAAGGTTTGTTACTCTGGATGCGCTCCAATGTACGGAAAATGGTGTCTCTTTAGCATAGATAGAAAGATCCGTATATGACGTCACTGATTGTAGAGGCGAGCGTGACGTCATACAATTATAAAACTGTGACGACGTTATATTTATTTAAAGGGATTCAAATGGATTTAAATGGATCTAAAGGGATTTCAAGGGATTTCAAGGGATTTAAAGGGATTTAAAGGGATTTGAAGGGATTTAAAGGAATTTAAAGGGATGTAAAGGGATTTGAAGGGATTTAAGGGTATTATCGACGTGGTTTCAAATGATATCAGAGCTGAAAACTTTAGAATGGAATTCCTTAATCCTGATCGGATAATTAATCTGGAGATTAAAAATGAGAGGAGAACAAGCAATATTTAATCTCGAGATTAAGAAAAAGAGTGGATTAAGCATTAATCCCGATATCCACTATTCTAAAGTTTTCAGCTCTGATTAATTAGTGACATTTCCCATTCACATCAGTACCCCTATCTATATGTGTACTATGCTTGTCTGTCTGTCTGTTTGTATCCAATAAACGTCAAAACGGCAGAATATATCGGGCCCAAATTTTGTGTGGGACCTCACGTAACCCCAGGAAGGTGTATGAATGATCAAAATTTCCAAAATTTGTGTTTGAAAGTTTTATATTTTTTGTAAAATTTTGAAGAGCGCGAAAAAATTCAATAAAATTCGCAATTTTTTGTTTTGTTTTATACTGTACAAAGAGAAGATGCTCTCAGATAAAGCCACAATTAAAGGTTGAAAGGTGGGCGCGAAGCGCCCTAAAAGCCTGGTAACATACATATGAGTAACAATAAAAGAAACAGTCAAATTTGTAAACGGGTGGCACTGTCAATATAAGCTGATTGTTGTTTTTTAAACTAACAATTAATTGTAAGGCCTGGTGAAGATGAATTGGCTCATGTGTTAATAATATATGTGACTGGTTTCATGGATATGTTTTTATTTGTTTTTAAAAAGAAATTGTATACATTTTCATAGAATAGTCCGGTCCATTGTTTTTTAACTTAAAAGACTCAAAATTAATGTCTAAAAACTAAAAAACTAGATTTTTAACTTTTCACACATTATAGTTTATTAAGACAGATATTTTTTCTTGCTTTGCACTAGGGTTTCTTTCCCTTAAGCATGCTTTTGAGAAGCTATTCTGAAAATAGGAACAAAAAATTCGAAATATCAGGGGGGGCGAATGTCCCCCGCCCCCCCTGTATCCGCCCCTGTTTCATTTGGATTTTAAACAACATTCTTGATACATATACGTAAGCAGAGGTTTAGCGAAAAGGGAGACGGGTAAACTAAGTAAATTCAGGTGTTTAAATTTCCTCTAAAGGAACTGCGTTTTCGCCACAAACTACAATATTTTAATCTCTATATCTTTGCGACCTGATGGCGAAGACCTTTGAAATTTCGAACTTAAATCATTTGATGTACCAAAAATTAAAGATGGAATTATATCTAAAGTCTATTACATTGGATTGTAAAAATATAGAGATTGGAAAATCAGAATTTGCGAAAAATAATCAATTCCATATCATTGAACTTTAATTTTTACAACCTGAAAGATGAGACCCAAGGGGTTATAGGCCAGAGTGCATATATATTATATTAATTATTTTTATTTTAACATTAAAAAAAAAATTAAAAATAAAACAATCTTAAACTGGGTTTAGACGCAGCTGGTGCCTATGCTGGACTGTAAAATGAATTAAAGAAAATAACATAAAATAAATGAATTTTCTGGAAAACAAGATTAAGATAATCCTGTTTCATCCTTTAGATTTTAGCTCTTTCTGCGTAGTTTTAGTTTTTACCAAAACATTACAATAAAAATATCTGCAGGTAGTCACATATTAAATTTAAATTAAAAACTTGCCTTTATTTAACATTTGAAATAATTTTTATATTCTAATTCCATGAAACCCATTTTCTTGTGTTGTCTTAAAAAATGGGTCTTGATAAAGAGAAAGCAGGATAAAACGTAATCGAATTAATTTTGAGTATAAAAATAAGAAAAATCTTCATTTAAAAAAAGCTTTTGCAAAATTTTCGTCACGAAAGAAAATTGTCTAATTTACGCTTTTTCTAAAAAATATTATTCAATACATACATGGATATTCGACAACGCTAAACCAGCTCTAATACGTACGTGAACTACCTCTTTAATTTGTTAACTATCGTTCTTCAAGTTAAGTACTGTTTACTGTATGAATTGTACAAAAATTTAATAACCTGCAAATAGTGGAGACTGTCCGGAAATTTTATGAGATTGCTTTTTATCTAAAATACGTTTTTATATTTTTATACCTTTTGAAATTTATGTCACTTGCAAAGAAGATTTATTTTCTTTTTGTATTCAAACATTTATTTCTTAGGTATTTATGACTTTTTTTCAAAGCGCTTTTTGGAAGTTTAAAATTTTTCAAACAAATCAGTCATTTTGAATTTTGATTAAATCAACTATTTTAAGTCTGCAGCCTCATCCTTTGTGATTAACCCTGAACATAGATTTTTCATTAATCTCATAATTCAAACACTAATTTTTAAATATTGCTTATGTGATTTCAAGATTTTATAAAATACGAAATTTGAGAAAAAATTAAAAACCCTTTAAAGACGATACTTTCTTAGAAAACTACCTTTTCTTGGTGCCTGCAATTCCTCCGGATCTAAGGGTTTAATGTCGGTTAAACCTTTTTAGAGGACTTCCCCGAATACATCATTAAACATTTCTGAAATATGTTTTAACAATGTTATTTACAATGTCAGTTTCAATCCATTTATTTGGTCCAGGGGACATAAAATGAAAAAATAGAAAATAGAGAACACATAAAATTGCACTGATATCAATAAAAGACCAGCACTTTAGGAGTTGACATTCTGCGGGGCTGCAATCAGGGTTTCCATTTTTCCGGAACAAAATTTCCATTTTGGAAATGGAATGATCCGGAAATTTGATGCTAAAACCGGAATTCCGGGATAATTTCGGATTATTTGGAAACCGGAATGTTTACGGTTTACGTAACATAATTCGGAAATTTTCCGGTTTACGGAATGAAAGCCATTAAATTTACAGTTTCCATTTCTTAACTCAAAAATTTTTCCGGTTTACGTTATGTAAACCCAGGGCATATTAGTTCCAAAACTAACACTTGGCCCATTTCTAACACTCAGTCTGCAATGTTATCTTTTTCAAGAGTATATATCTTTAAATCCAAGTCGAGTAGAACAATGGATTATGGTTAAAAATATATATTGAAACAATAAATGTCAATTTTTAACTAACAATAAGGCGTGAGAATTAGTTTTTGATGATTCTTGATTTCATTTTTGAACATATCCCTATTTTGAAACAAGTACCGGATTTCAGCTCATGTCGCGTTTTTGGAACATATCCTGGTTTTGAGACAATTACCGGAATTTATAGCAATGTCAATTTTCAAGTATTTACGCACTTATGAAACAAAAAAAGATTTTTTGATAAGGTAAAATATAAACAAAATAGAAAATAGAAACAAACTGTTCTTTTATAATTTAAACATCATTACAGCATTTAGAAATCAAAATATTAATATTATTTATTCTTACAATATAGATTTAACTAGAAATGCGGGAAACTGTTGAAAATAAATCATCCAAATTCTTTAATTTAACAGATAAAATGTAGAAACTTGGATTCTAGAAATAATTCAAAAGTTAATTTAGTCTTCATAAGTTAATTTTGGTTTTCAGTGATTTATTTTGTAAGTTATGAAAGTGAGTTTTGTTTTGAATTGTGGATTATACTCAAAACCGGGAGAGTGTTTTTGTCTCGAAAACGCGACAATGTTTCAAATTTAGGATATGTTCGAAAATGAAAACCTAACATTGTCTTGAAAACGGTCAAGAGATTTAATATAAAAAGAACTCCTATTATAATTTTGATCTAAAAAAAGTTTTAAATAGAGAATTGTTATTCTCGTCATGTTTAATAAAATGTTGGTTATAGTATTTATTATAAACTTTTACTCTGGATATTGGCCGGGATCCCAAAAACCCAGTCTTTCACTTGGTGCCCATTTCTAACACTCAGTGTTAGAAATGGGCCAAGTGTTAGTTTTGGAACTTATGTCCTCTGAAACCGTAAAACTTCCAGTTTCCACCGGAAATTTTAACACAATGTTAAACATTGAAAGCAATGTTAAAACATTAAAAGTGGAAACCCTAGTTGCAATTTATTGGAACCACAGATATATCTGGAAGGTATAGACGCAGGGTTGACGCAACCCAGGCATCTGAAAGTGGCGCAACGTTCATGTAAAATATCACAATGTGCTTAAAGGACTAACATATTTGTATTTCCATAACTACCGAGAATATGCTAAAGCCACGGTACCACTTAGCATATTGTGGAAATATAGACAACCCAAATTCTACACCTGGATTGAATGATTAACTCAAAATATACAGCTATATTCATGCAGCAGCGGGCTATTTAGCAAATATCATTCAGACCAGATAGGCAGGGCGGTCCGCGTCAATAATCCATCTATGACTTCCTGATCTGTGATTAGAACACACTGATTAACCTATTTTAGTCGATCGGCACTTTTGTTAGCTAATTTTTATTCATTTCCTTGAAGTTACAAAATTCAAATCCAAATCTGAAATAACATTTTGCAACTTAGCTAGAAATATACTGAGGTCGTGGAGAGCTTTCAAACAGCTAAATTATTCATCCAATAAAACGTTTCCGTCAAAAATTCAGATCATCCTGCCACAACTAAATTAACAAACAATTCAGATTCGTTAAGGATATATATTTTTTAAATGATGAAAAGAAAGTAAAAACCGGAAAGTGTATTCTATATTATTACTCCCTTTTTCAATTTTATATACAGGGTTACCCACAAAGCATGAGACTGTAAAGAATACCGGATTCTCATCAAATATGACGATTACAGGTTAAATTAAGTCTTCTACTTTGAATATTGTCTCTTGATGGCTTATTTATTGACATGGCAACTCTATAAACTAGTTTATATTTGCAGAGAATTTTAGATATAGGGTAATAGACAGTGTAAATTCTGTACAGTCGTCTCTGAAGTCTCATCCTTTGTGGGTAACCCTTTGTATAAAGTATACATCTTTTAACTTAAAAATGAATTAACAATAAAAGTAAATAATAAAATTAAAAAAGTGACTTTTAGACCCTTAAGTTCAACTTGAAGAAAGTGCAATTAAAATGAGGCAAGTGACGACGTGACGTCATGTCATGCAGTTGGCACAGAAAATTTCACTTAGTAAAAATTAGTAGCGATCGAACTCGTATTCAATTCAGGATCAGTCTATACCCCCTTTAATTTTTCGGGAACACTGCCTTTAAGTTTTTGAGCACCACAAAAGGAAGGGCAACAAAAACTTTATGCCTAGTCTTTTTATGAAGTTCGAGCGCAAATTTCTCCATGCAATTATTCTATAATCATTGAATAATCTCTTGGAATAAGATGAGAAAACCATTAAAATTTTTTCTTTTACTGATCACAATGACAATATCAATATTCCATAAAGCCAAATTTTCAAATACTTAATTTAATTTATATCGATCAAAAATATTCTTTAGATTCGAAAATTGATAATTCCTACAATGTTTAAAAGAGCGTATTCAAGGAACACTATCAATGTTTTCAAAGTTCTTAAATTTTCTTAACAAATACAAATCATCTTAAAAAACTTCAAAATCAAGAATGATAAAAAAGGGATTTTAATCTTAAAAACGATTTAAAAAGTAATGTAAATTAATATAGATTAGCTATTTCTTATTAACGGTGTGCATGGTCTGCAGTGATGGACTGTAGATTGACAGAAAGATGGCCAGATAGATTAGATGATTGATAAATTGCTAAAATAAAATGAAAAGTGGAAATATTATTTCTTTGAGCGGGAGAATGTGAAGTGGTTGATGGAATTTTGGAAACTAGAAACCAAGGGATATTATAAACTAACGCGTCGGTATTGCAACTAATTCTGTATTCGGATATCAAGAGGATTTATATTAATACGTATATCTGGTATAAAATAGTATAGATCAATTCTGACCTCTAAATAAATTTGATGATCGTTTATTTTTTAAATGTTTTTTTTTCATGTAATAAATGCTGTTTGAACATACCTATATATACCTGTATATATATGTATATGCGTTGTACAATGTTTCAGGATCAAACTTAACTAAGTAAAATTTGTGACGCAATTCTATTAGCTACGTATTGTGATTAGATTATATACCTGTGTAATATTGTGAATACATATTGGAACTTACATATAATACAGATTTTATAAAAGCAGGATAGCCATTGCTATAGTATATACTCGTTTTTCTGCAGCATTTGATCTTAAATAGGTTAAGAATACGACATTATGAAAAACTCTTGAATCTACCCCGAATTTTGGGTTGTTGCCCAAGGAAGTTACGTGCACTTGGCGCGTTAAATAAAAAGGAGAGAGATATAAGTTTATATTTTGGGGTTAGGTTAGATTAAAACACTTTCTGGGCCGAGCGCTGCGACTTGGACAGGTTAGGGGGCTTAGCGCCGCGGCTGGAACAGGCTCTCTCTGTTTCTTGTAATACAACACGGCATGCACACGTACCTTCCTTAGGCTTCTGCCAGAATTCTAGGGATTTAATCTTCCCCCAGCCAGGAACCAGTCTACAGGAGAAATTTACGTTTGATAACACAAGTACATTTTTGTTATAGATGACCCCGAACCAGATTTTAGTGATTCAATCATCCCTCTGCCTGGAATCAGTCTACAGGAGAAACGACATCTGATTCAACAACAACAATCTAGTTTACCAACAAAACCTGCAGTACACAGGGTTGTACCAAGACAAGCTTCAGTAGCGTCATACCCATTTCATTCCAGGTACTTTATCTACCGACATGTAAGTAAATAAGGATTTTGCCAAATACACATTGACAACTTCTGATTTAAAATATATTTTTTGTCCAAAAAAACTTTATTTTCTTTAGATGTTTTCTGTTTAGTTGGCACATCATATAAAAAATGCAAATTTTTCCAAATACTTCTTTAATACAAAACATGAAGAAAAAAAACACTTTTTAGCTAACAACCTGTCTGGCAAACCTTCAAAGTTGGCCCTGTCTTATTAGTTGATGCATAAGATTCATAATCACGCTTTAAATTAGTCATTAATAATATATATTGCTCAAATCATCAAATCATATTATTTATTTGGCCACATTTTTAGAACTTATACATTGAAATAAAGTGCAGAACCCTATATTTCTTATTGTGGACGGGAAGCTACAATGTCGTTTATTTTCTATGAGTCAGGTGTTTTTAGAATATTTTGTATTTATAAATATGACCCTGCCTTTCTCACTTTGATATTCAATTTTTTTATAGAATATCAAATCAACATAAAAATAAATATGGGATGAAAACTTTTGTATATAAAGAAATTATAAATAACTAAATTTTTGGGTTTTGTTTATTTTAATTATTAACTAGGCGCCCCTTTTCTAGTGATATTTTAGCTGTTAAAGGTGTTGTTGCCCTTCAAGCTGCCATCACAGACAAACAAGCAAAGTACATATATAGATAGTTTTAATCTGGCTTACAGTGATAACCAGAAGACTCTGAAATAGGAAGACGACTTTTAGATTCAAGTTATACATATAAAAACTCCAATGAGCTGGAAACATTATAGCATTTGTGCAGTTTAAAAAGACCCATTTCACTAAATTAGTGATTAAATAACTATAAACATGGTTAAAAAGTTTTTATTAACTGAAGGGGAGCAATCAGAAAAAAAGTTTTTTAATAAATATGAAAACTGAGAAGCTGCTCTGATTACTGCTTTATAGTTATATATATAAAAAAGAAATGTTTTTTCTTCTTTTTTTTCTTGTATTTATGTTTTTAGAGTTACCTTGATGCGAGAGAACTCCGGTTCCATGCTAGATATCCCTGGTTTTCTAGGAACATCCCTAGATATTGCAACTGTTCCATTTTCTTCAGCCCAGAGGTAATATATTCCGACTTGTCGCACTTATACCACCTTCAGCTTTAATTCTTATGTTGAAAGGGACTGTCATCAAAATAGCAACAAAAAAGGAATGCCCGATTCACAAAGCTACCTATCCTTCGTCTGATGAAAGAATCTAAATGTTGAAAAAGAATAAAATTGATCATTTCAAACTGTTGTATTGTTGGTGGTAACAATTGCGGAATTAAGCAACAGAAGAATATGAAGGTTTGTGTCTGAATAATTTTCTTTTCCAGGTCGAAAAAGGACCAAATTTTCTTTTGGTTGTTCAATGCTCATTATTTCTAAATTAAATGTGTATAGAGTACTGTTGAATATCAGACACGTCTTGCTTCAATTTATGGTTCAATTTCAGTTTTTAATTCAAAAGTAGGATTCTAAAGAGTAATCGACCGGTAATAGCACAGGAGGGAGTAATGTATTTATAAGGGTCTCATGAGTTGTACTGCCTCCACTTTTTTGGGGTTTTCATTTTAAGGGACAAAAATTCAGGTGGTCCTCTATTTAATAATACATTTTTATATTTTTTTCCAAATAGAAAAACGGCAACATCTTCCTTATTGTTGCTCAAATAATTATGTGAAGGGTTCCGTTGTGTTTCAGACATGCCTTGCTTCAAATTGAGGTTTTCTTGAAATTACGTGCACTGTCCCATTAATATAACAGTTTTTAATTTAACAGTAGAATTCCAAATTGTAATGGTAATAAAACACGAAAAAATGAATTGGCTTCACCTGGGGTTTCCAGCGAAAAGGGTAAATCAATTCGCGAAAATTTCGCATTTTTCGCAAAAACAGATTTTCGCCGAAAATTTCGCATTGTTTCGCATTTCGTTCGCTCACAAAAAATGCGAAAATTTTCGCTTTTTTCGCAAAATTTCGCTTAAGTGTGTTTCTCGAAACATGCGAAATTTTAATATAATCAATAAGGTTTTATCTATAGAGAGACTTATTAAACAACCTTGCTTGAAACTTAATGTAATGTTATTTTAAAGTTTTTTTTTTCTTTAATGTTTAATAATAGGGTATACACTCCAATAGCCAAGATTGAGATGTTTTGTGATAAACTAGTCTTAGATATTTCAGGAAAAGGTAGTTCCAAAACATTATCTTTTTCAATCGTATATATCCAAAAATATACCTTTTTCAATCGTATATATCCGAAAATATACTTTTTTCAATCGTATTTATCCTAAAATATACCTTTTTTAATCGTATATATCTTTAAATCCAAGAGTTGAACAAAACTACACCAGAAAAATGCCTCTCAATAAAAGGATCAATTAATCAAATATAATGTTAAAATATATAAATGTAAAAAGGTGATAAAAATATTAATGCTTTAAGTCAGAACTTAAGTTTTTGGAAAAAAGGTTTTAGTAATTTTTATTAGAAACTGAAATAAATGTTCTCAATTGTTATCTTTTTTTCTCTTTATGTATTGTTTATCACAAAAGATTGTATTTTCTCGCATACAAAAGTAATAAATAAAAAAGGCTTTCACCCCCTGGGTAGCGGATTTATATTTCTTGGGATATTATATATACAATTTACATGAAACTTACATTATACAGAAGTAACCCAAAGGATAGATCTTGAAATAGATTTTGTAAGAAAATTTATGTAGAAGTAATCTCTGTTTGTTTGTTTGAATTTCCGATCATAACTCAGGAACCCCTTAACTGCATGATTTGCATCAAATTTTGATTGGGGAACTCGGAAGAACCAGAGGAATGATCTTACCTGTGTTTAAAGATTCTAAGTTCAGTAGGTTCACTTTTTAAGGGAAAGAACAGTTTCCAGTAAAAGCTGGGTTTCAGAATAAAGAACAAAAATGAATTAACTTAAATATTAATTGCTATTTTTTTAGATATATGGAAATCATTTGAGTATACCTTAATGATTAGAAAAAAAATTAAGAAAAACATGAAATACTGCATTAGGGCGCAATAACCTGTACAAAAATTCAAAAAATTTAAAATTGGCAATTGAAAAACGATAAAATTGCCTGAAGTTACATGTTCTGTGGAAAAAGTTCAAAATATTCTTCCAATCTTGAGCTTGGTTGATGCAAAACAAATGAAACATTTTTGTGAAAATTTTGTCGAGAAGTGTTACAAATACTAAGAAACTTGGCAAAATTATATACAGAGTGAGTAACCCTGCTATTATTTTTTCAACCTGTAAGAATATTGAGGAAATTGGGTTTGAAACTAACCTTCAACCGTTGTCGAGTCAAACATTCCTGGATTGGAAAACAATGATTATTTTTAAAAATTCTTGTTTTTGATTAGGTTTGTAGCAACATCTACTCCTGTATCTGCTAATGCAGCTGGACGTCAAAGATTAAGGATTGATTTAACAAAGGTAATAAAAAAATAACGCCCCCACCTACCACTGAGGTAACTGAAGAACATCCCCTTCCATTCTTATCGCAAAACTAAGTGATTAGGTTTTTTTATTAATCTTATTTATTATGTTCTATTACTAATTCTTCTAAATTCTCCTCTTTGCGGCTCAAATTTGCAACTTTCTTCTAAAATATTCTTCAAACATAAGCTTGGAAAAGATTAATGGATTTTGTTTCAATTTTGAATATGCGACATGGTTCACTTTTTTTACTTTACCCAATAAAGTAAGGAATAGTGAGAAGGAGCTCAACTAAATAGTACTAGTTTAACTACTTCCATAATTTTACTCTCAGCTACAGTGGTCGGCGATTATATCAATATAATGAAGACGACTTTTGATAAATCTTTCATCACTAATTAGCCTTTTTTATTTTCTAATTACAAGTTTACAAGTAAATAAAGAAAAGTTGATTATTGATAATTTCTCTTTGCTAAAATGTTTTAGAATTTCTGTTGTTTGAAAGCGTGGTGGAAATAAAAATTGAAATTGAAACTCGTCTTTATTTTATTGATATTTACGACGACGACTGAATAATAATTTACTAAAGTACACAAAGTGTACAAACCAGCAGACAAGAGTACTTTTTAAACTTTTATTAAGAAGTTTTATTTTCTTTACGTTTTAAATACTATTTTATCTAACGTTTACCCTCTGCACAAAAAGACGGGTTGGAACTATGTCAAGTTGAAAACAAAGATGATCTCCATCAAGAATGTAATGCAAGGAAAGTTAATTGCGGTCGTGTATACTCTGCGTACATATTGAAACCAGTTCTCTTTGAGTGGAATTTGTAAACTAGAATTTAGTATCCGAGGAGGTTAAAAGCATTTAGTTTTGAAAATTTTGATAATTCACATAATAGTTTCCTATGACCAGAATATTTCATTGATTTTTTATGGATCCCATGTCAGGCTTTGACATCCGTCTTGTGTTTACATTACCGCCCAGAGACAGTACACTGCAGTACAAAAGATGTGTACACTTCTGAAATAACTTTTTTTGCATTACATTCTTGATCTCCAAAATTTCTTCAATTCCCAGTTTAGGGCTGGACATCGTTTCTGGAGAACGATTTTACAACGAAGGATTAAAAAAGGTATTTGATATTTAGAAGCAGGTGGTAAAGCAGAAAAGTACAGATGACGGGCGGAAGGGAACAATGGTCTGTGTTCTACTTTGCCTCCTTATACTTATCATACTAATCATTGGGATCTTCATATCAATAGACTTTCAGGGAACCTATAGACAGTTTTATTAAACAATTCATAAAGTAAAAAATAGACTATATGCATGGTTGTCTTCAAAGAATGATACTTTAAGTGATCCTCAATATATAGAGTGGCATCAACGATTCAAAGTAGTGTCCGTAAAAGCTTTGCTTGAAAAATAATGAGGGAGATATCCATCATTTACTTTAAAGAAATTGGTTATAAAAGAAACTTTTCGATCTAGAGAATCTAGAAAATCTAGAAAATCTAGAAAATCTAGGAAGTCTAGAAAATTCAGAAAATCTAGGAAATCTAGGAAATCTAGAAAATCTAGAAAATCTAGAAAATCTAGATATCTAGAAAAACAACAATGTTTTCCATATGATCTATGGTATATAAAGGGTACCGTTGTGAATCAGCCATTACCCTCTTTATAAGGAGGGTCACTAACTACAGAACTACAGAGACAGTCCCTTTAAAAGGTTTATCCAGTGTAGACTACTAGACAGACCCCTGTACAATAAATTTCCTTGAATTTAACTTTGAATTTTCTAAATCAAAGATATTCCAAAGATATTCCATTTTAAATTTAAGTTCTTAAACCTTTTTTCAAGAAAAATTAAAAGACTAGAATTAATTTAAAATTTGTATGCCTCCAATATGAGAGTCACTTTCCCAGCTGCAATTTAAGTAAAAAGTAATATTTAAGAAAAGATGTGATCTGTATATTTTGATGAACTGGAAGAAATGAAGGAGGCTATCAAGATAATATGCTTCCAAGATGGGGGAAATAGATAAAAATGGTTCTCTCGCATAAAGAATATAAATAGAGGGACATATTTTATATTAAAGAAAATTTGAAAGAAAACTATAAAACTCAGTTAGGCTTTGAACTATTTCTCTGTTTGCCTAACGGGGATTAAAGCAGAAATAAACTTCACTTCAGACTTATGATTTAGAAAATTAGATTATCTTGAGAACTGAGATTGGAACTTTTGGATCGAATTAATCCCATTGTATAGTTTTTGGCCCAACGGATTAAATTTGCTTCTTTCTGTAAAGATGTTAATGAGAAGATTAAAAAATACGAGTCGGCTGTTTTGTAACCGATTAAGAATATAATCGTTTTAATGGTTTTAGGACATTTCACAGAAAACATTTTTTAGATAGGACATTTCATAGACAGGGCATTTCATAGACAGGGCATTTCATAGACAGGGCATTTCATAGACAGGACATTGCATAGACAGGGCATTTCATAGACAGGACATTTCATAGACAGGGCATTTCATAGACAGGACATTTCATAGACAGGTCATTTCATAGACAGGGCATTTCATAGACAGGGCATTTCATAGACAGGGCATTTCATAGACAGGACATTTCATAGACAGGACATTTCATAGACAGGGCATTTCATAGACAGGGCATTTCATAGACATGGCACTTCATAGACAGGGCATTTCATAGACAGGGCATTTCATAGACAGGGCATTTCATAGACAGGGCATTTCATAGACAGGACATTTCATAGACAGGGCATTTCATAGACAGGACATTTCATAGACAGGGCATTTCATAGACAGGACATTTCATAGATAGGAATTTTCATAGAGATAAATTCTTTTTCATAGAATTTTTCGAATTAATCTTAACTAATAAATCTTACCCTTCTATTTCTACGATATCTTTGATTTTTATTCCACATATTAGTCATGTTTTCGCTTTATACTGATAACATACATCTTGTTGATATCTTTTTAAACAAACGCATTGCATGTGTATTTCAAACTGAGTAATTTTCTAAAATTGTGACACATTGATTGACCAAAAACCTTAAATTGTTCTGAAAAAAAAGTTTACCTATCAATGACAATTATTCTGAAATTACCTGTCTATGTCTATATTCTGCCTGTAAAATGTCCTATCTAAGAATGTCATACATTTTACAAAAGTTCCAACATTTTATTTATATATCGCAACTTTCAAACAAAAGTTTTTCCCGAAACCTTAAAAAGAAAATCTTAAAAAAAATTTATTAAGTTCTAGAGGTTTCTCTTTCAGGACTCAGAGACCCACCAAGATCTAAACAAATCTCCCGTCAACAGATCTTCAATCAATTCTGAAACATTAAAAAAATCCTTGATAAATCATCTGAATTCTGTATCATTCCACCCCTCTTCCACATACTCCAGGCCAGGGTCAGATATCTCATCGCCTTCTTTGGTTCCTTCAACCTCAGAAAGTTCTTCAACACTTGATTCTTCTGATTTGTTTGTTACTAAATCCTTTCCATCAATGTCTCCTTTAATATCTACTACTTCATCCCTTTCCAGTTCTTTGCTTCCCCTCTCCTCCTCCTCTAATCGGTCTCCTTCCACAGTCTCTGCTTCCTCTCCCTCTTATCCAGCAGTCTTTACTACATTTTCAAATATGGCCTCTTCAGTTCAAACAAAGGAACTACACTAAAAACTCCCAGCTCAAATGTACGCAAATTGTGTATAGTACTCTCTGGGAGGAATGTAAACATCAAACCCAGTGCTCCCAAAACCTGTGAAACGAAGCTTTAAAGGGAGTGCTCGGCAATGGTGTTTGAACTGAAAATGTAGTATTGTGGAAATTTGTTTTTAGGAATTATTAAAACCTATAAAACTTTCAACGGCTTAAAAATAGTGAGTTTGAGCGCAAAGTCGACGTTAAAAATCATCAATTTGGGTGGTTAAGTTTTTAGAATCGGTTTTTACAACCATTAAATAAAGTCTACAAAAAAAGTTACACAAATTTTACAGTAAACGAATTAGTTGTCTAGGAACAGGTTAAGAAAATAAAAATTAACTCTTATCATCGAAAATAAGTAATCTTATTCAAGTATTAGTTTCTGTAATCTCCCATTCTTCACAAACATTTTCTGTAGATTTTCCGGAATTTTTATTGAAAAGATGAAATTGGAAGAATTTGTAGAAATCTGCGAACAAATTTGTAAAGAATAAGAAATTTAATATAATAATGAAAACAAAATAATTGATTCTAACATTGATTTATTGACAAATTTCTTTTGATAAATATGTTCCAAAATATCTAAACTAGTGTGCTGTAGAAATTTTGTTTTCATTTAATAATAATAAAAAAATCGATTCTCAAAACGTACCCACATAAATTGATGATTTTGAAATTCGACTTTGCTCTCAAACTCATCGTGGAAACGTTTTATATGTCTTAAATGATTCCTAAAATTTGTTTCAGCAAAACTACATTTTGAGTTCTACTACCATATATTGCTGGTCACTCCCTTTAAGAAACGTACGTAATTTTCTTAAACTTGTGTTGTGACGGTAAATATCGAAGAAATTTTAAATTTTATTTCTTTATTATCATTCCCCTTTACTACCTTCAGAACATAGTTACATGGTTTTACGCCGCAGATATTCATATCCTTTAAACTAACTATTTGCCCATTGATTTTTAGCTTTGACCATTTCACAGATTTTACACAGATATAGCAGTCACCAGTATATATATATTTATGAGTTGAAACATATTTTTAGTCCCTTCATACTGAATAGTCCTTTATTAACCCCACTTCTACTGAATAACCTTTTAGTAGTCCTTTTCCACTGAATAGCTTTTTAGTAGTCCCCTTTCTACTGAAAAGTCCTTTAGTAGTCCCCTTTCTACTGAATAGCTCTTTAGTAGTCTCCCTTCTACTGAATGGAGTAATCTCAAGCTGTCAACATACACCTAAATCTTCTAAAAATACTTTTAAACTGTCATAATTCAACCATATACTCCCCTTTCCCATCATATTTAGATCTGAAATCCAACCATATACTCCCCTTCCCCATAATATTTAGATCTGAAATATCCAACCATATACTCCCCTTCCCCATCATATTTAGATCTGAAATCCAACCATATAATCCCTTCCCCATCATATTTATATATAGATGGTTATCTGTATAATAATACTTTCATTTTGTATAACAAAAACAGTTCTCAATGAGACTATACACGAATTTTTAAGATTTTCATATTTAGATCTGAAATACAACCATATACTTCCCTTCCCCATCATACTTAGATCTAAAATCCAACCATATACTCCCTTCCCCATCATATTTAGATCTAAAATCCAACCATATACTCCCTTCCCCATCATATTTAGATCTGATATCCAACCATATACTCCCTTCCCATCATATTTAGATCTGAAATATCCAACCATATACTCCCCTTCCCCATCATATTTAGATCTGAAATATCCAACCATATACTCCCAATTCCCCATCATATTTAGATCGGATATCCAACCATATACTCCCTTCCCCATCATATTTAGATCTGAAATATCCAACCATATACTCCCTTCCCCATCATATTTAGATCTGAAATATCCAACCATATACTCCCCTTCCCATCATATTTAGATCTGAAATATCCAACCATATACTCCCTTCCCCATCATATTTAGATCTGAAATATCCAACCATATACTCCCTTCCCCATCACATTTAGATCTGAAATATCCAACCATATACTCCCCTTCCCATCATATTTAGATCTGATATCCAACCATATACTCCCTTCCCCATCATATTTAGATCTGATATCCAACCATATACTCCTCTTCCCCATCATATTTAGATCTGAAATATCCAACCATATACTCCCCTTCCCCATCATATTTAGATCTGAAATATCCAACCATATACTCCCAATTCCCCATCATATTTAGATCGGATATCCAACCATATACTCCCTTCCCCATCATATTTAGATCTGAAATATCCAACCATATACTCCCTTCCCCATCATATTTAGATCTGAAATATCCAACCATATACTCCCCAATTCCCATCATATTTAGATCTGATATCCAACCATATACTCCCCAATTCCCATTAATAAAACAACCACATTTATAATCCTACTTTTATTAAGTTAACAACTTTTACATTAAAGGGACTGTTAACGTAATTTAAACTGACTCTGAATCTGCAGAGGGACAGGCAAATAAAGATTCCTTGTTCTTTTATCTAGAAATTAAAATTATTTAATTGTTGTTTATTTATAAAATGGTATTGTGGATGCATACAGCAGAGATAAATAGCTATTAAATACGACAGAGATCTTTCTCAATGAGGCTCAGATAAAGGATTCCTTTGTGATTTAAGCATGTAAGGTCACTTAAAAATTTGTGTATAGTCTCATTGAGAACTGTTTTTGTCATACGAAATGAAAGTATTATTATACAGATAACCATTTATACAAATAATATCAGAATAAAAAAAGATAATAACCTCAAGATATTTAACTATTTAAGCATAGCATTATAAATACTGTATCATTGTAACCTGAATTTTAACCAAAAAACAATCCACTGTATAAATGTTGATAAACCTCTAATTGTGATTTTGTAAATATTACTTGGTACGAGATATAATCAATATATCATATTATACATTTTACAGAATTTATATTAATTCTTTTTATCTTGTCCGCAAAATCTTGGCAATTTAGAACATTTTATCAATACCTCTCACAGAAAATGAGCCTTTGCCACGGACTCAATTTGTCTCATTACGATATTTTGGCAACCTGATGATGTAAACTTTTAATATTTCAATCTCAGATTATTTTATCTTACAAAATTCATAGTTTGAAGTATCTAAGGTCTCTGACATAAGGTTGCAACGATATAGGGATAAGAAAATCAAAGTTTGTGGATAAGAATCAATTTCTTTATATGTTCACATTGTTTGAAATATGCTGCAGACATGTTACTGTTTTTTTGTAATCATTTTTGTAATTCTTGATAGACATGAGTTATGAAATATTTTTCTGTATTCAATTAATAAAATAAACTATGTACCACAATGTAAATGTAGAAATTATACATTTATATCTGTGTGAGCTATGGCTGTATGCTGGAATAGAATTTCTGGTTCGGACAGCTAGATACATTTATATCAGATTAAATATGTTATCTCTTTAGCTCTCCTGCTACCAGGGGAATTATATCTCACATTAAAATCAAACTTGGAATCTAACTTTTAATAAACATTAGCAGCCCTGTAAAAGCACAATATATAGTAGTACCCGATTTAAAATTCGGTGATGGTGATGGACCAAACCTCTGTAAAGTAAAAAAGTAGATATTAGTTCCACATTTATTGAAAATATATTTCTTCTGGGTTAACCCTCGTCAGTTCTAACGATATAAATGAGTGTAAAATGATAAATTGTAAAGATATATTTTTAAATGCAGAAATACAATAAGGCTCGAATGCAGCCATTCCTCTATTTGTCCTGCTTTTCTCCGGGATCCTCCTGGGCATGCGTGACTGCGGGCTAGGTATTTCAGATCGGGTTCCATCAACTAAAAGGTGTTAAAAAAAAACGCTTTACACTTTTTTCTCTCAAAGAATTAATCATTACCTGATCATAATGAAATTGATATTACAAGGACTGGAGAATGTCAGGACTTATTAGTTAAAAAAATTATTGTATTTTGTCAATCCTCCTCGGAATGACGGATCTTTATTTTTTATTTATCCTTGTGTCTAATTAAAAACCAGCCTTTAGACTTAATTATTTTTTGATCGGGTTTTACTAAAAAAAAGTGATCAGAGAGTGTACCAGAAAATTCAAAATATATTTTACAAAGCTGTCAATCTCAGCTGTCAAGAAGAAATTTTCTACTGTGAATTAAGGAGCGTCAAAAGACCATTATGTACCGGCCAATTCAAATTTTCTACTGTGCGTACAGGAGCGTCAAGAGACCATGATGTAGCGGCAAATTCAAATTTTCTACCGTGAGTACAGGAGCGTCAAGATACCATGATGTATAGGCCAATTTAAATTTTCTACTGTGAGTACAGGAGCGTCAATAGACCATCATGTACCGGTCAATTCATATTTTCTACTGTGAGTACAGGAGCGTCAAAAGACCATCATGTACCGCCCAATTCAAATTTTCTACTGTGAGTAGCGGCAGCTAACACATTTAATTTTCTTGCTTGTATCACTGATGTATGTAACATTTTATAATTTTATTGTAAAATTTTGATTTATCTAAACAAAAAGTCTGCATCAAAGAAGTTAATCTTATTTGAATGAAGTATTTACAATTTAAAAATAAAAACTTAACAAAATAGATACAACTGAACTGTATTTAACGTTTTCTATTTAAGCATACAAAAAAAACAATTGTTTTTCAACAAATTATAAAAGGAAATTGTATAAAATATACTATCAACTGCCCTTGGCTTAAAAAAATATTTCGAATTTTTGGTCCAGCCGTTTTGCCAGCTATAGCTATCATATACATAAGCAAAGAGCTTTATTATATGATTTGTTTTGTTTTGTTTCAACGATTTAATGAAAAATTAAATCTGATACAAATTCGTCTAGATGCTATCACATCTGAAATGAATACAGTATTTAAAGATATTAAAATAATGTATTATTTCATTACCACGTGGATTTATCAGTTCGCCCAGTGACTTTTAATCACAGTTTTGTCAAATTAAACATTTATTCTTGGCCCCCTTTCTGGTAAGTTCGGGGTGTTAAAGAATATGGTAAAAGGTAGTGTAGAGTTACGAACATATTTATTAAAAATAGAAGTCTATTTTAAATCAAAATTGGGACTTTCAGCGTAATTCCAAGTTACCCAAACCAAATTAAAAAATTGAGCACAAAACTTTAATTAAATTCGGTGAATTTGATGGACCAGACCTCTGTAGAGTAAAAAAGTAGATGTTAGTTCCACATTTATTGAAAACATATTTCGGTCTGGGTTGACCCTCGTCAGTTCTAACGATATCACCTTTTTTTGAGAAAAAGAAGGAAGATATCATCGTTTTTATCTATGTGAATTATTCTAATTTCCTGTTTCATCTCCTTGGTATAAATTACAAGTCATATAAAGAGATACCAAAATTGATGATAAAAACTTTTCAAAAAAAATCTCTTCAAGGTTTTTGGTCAAACGAAAGTTTTGTTGTGAATCTTACAAACAATTCTTTAAGTTGAGGATCACTTGAAAAATACATTGCCAGTAACCCGTTTCTTTTAGTAAAAATATTTGCTTTAATAAGGCACTAATAACATGAACCTTTTTTAAACTCGAAAATCTTGTATAAATAAATCAGTCTTTGCCACAGACTCAAATTTTCCCACCCCTATATCTTTTAAACTTGATGGCAAACACCTTTGATATTTCAAACTTAGGTTTTTTGATCTAGAAGAAGTCATAGTTTGAAATATCTGAGATCTACGATATTGTGTTGAAAAGATATAGAGATTAGAAAATCAGAGTTTGTGTCAAGACTCATTTCCTTTAATGTTTTGTTTCTTTGATCGAATTCATCCAATTTAACATAAATATTTTACCCAATAGAATTTTAGAATTTTGAATGATTTGAATAAAAATTACGTTTAAGCTTTGTTTATACAAAAGTTAAGTATTAAATACTAGATACTAAATCCTCATTATGCATTAAACAAGATTAGAGAATAACAAATCTGTACTCAAACTTCTCTCAGTCTTTAGGATATATAGTAAACAAACTAACTTTCACAAATTGACAGAGATTAAAAAAGTTATATACTTCTTTTTCGTTTTTCGTTTATAGAAAAGATGTTTTATTTTCGTACACATTCCTTGAGAACATCAAACATAAACTGAATTGTAAATATATGTATAAAATAGAAGTCTAAAATAGTAGTCTCTGTCTGTTTAGATGTCTGATCACAACTCATTAACCCCTGGACCGATTTGCCTCAAACTTTGATTGGGAAGCTCATTAGAAACCCTGAAATTCCAAGTTGAGTGATCGCTTTTATGAACCTAAATCTTAATTCCATTACAACTCTAGTGAAAGTTCTCCTTATTTCTAAATTTATAGCTTTTAATAAAAATCTACAATTGGTAAATTACTATTATAGAGAAACTTAACCTATGCTTAAAAATTCTACTTAATATTATACAAGTTTGATTGGGTTGCTGTTGCTGCTCTCAAACTCCATTTTGTACTTTTAAATCCATTTTGATATATTTGGACCAAAAAAAGTTTGCCTTGTTGAGAGATTTTAGCTTTACAAACTTTTTTCAGCATTCAAAATTTTCCCCATCTTGTCCTGGGGCTTATATAAAGTGACTTGTGAATTGATGGAGCAGTTTTCCTCAGATTAAGTTGTATCCAGGGAGTAAGGAATAGAAAGGAGATATAATTGACGCGGTTCCCCCTACCATATGATTATATGTGCTTTGCTGATGGGTACTCCATTTGTATAAAAAATATTCAGAATAGGTTATTGTATACGCGGTAATTGTACATCAGACAAATATTTCTTATTCAAAAGAAGTACCGTCTGCAAAGTATGTATAATCATATGGTAGGGCGAACCGCGTCAGTTATATCTCCCTTCTATTCCTTACTCCCTGGTTGTGCATGTGGTATGCAATTCTCTAAATCGAGGTTGCTGGCTTTAAATTCAATCTAAATATTTAAAGAAAAAAAAACAATGTTTGATTAAGTTTTATTCCAATTGACCAATTATTTTTCGTGAATAATATTTCCATATTTCCATGGCTTTAAATTCAATCTAAATATTTAAAGAAAAAAAACAATGTTTGATTAAGTTTTATCCCAATTGACCAATTATTTTTCGTGAATAATATTTCCATATCTATGAAACACAACTGATGTTGCACCTGAACCCAGTAGCGTGGAGTCTTTTATTTGCAATAAACCTGAATGTAGTTCTGACCCTAAAATAGTAAAAATAAGTTAAAGATAAGTCTGCTAATCTCTTTAAAAAGTGCAGTTTTTTTCAGTAAAATAGCAATATGTTTGTCTTATATGTATTACAATTATATTAATTCAAAATATATTTTAAAATCTATTAGATCACTTCTCTGTTCTTCATTCAAAGGAAGTGTAAGAAAATATAATAATAGATTCTTTCAAAGTAAGGATTTCTTTAAGCAGCAAACATTTGTATATATTAAGACAAGAGCTGAGAATTTAAATGCTTATGAACCCAAGTAAAACTCGGCCTATTGAGAGTTAAGCGTATGTAACTCTTGAGTTAACATGGATCTGTTTGCTTCTAATTTTCACCAATGAGACTATTTAGAAAGCTTTCTCTGCATATGTAGACAGATCAGCTGTGACAGGTCGAAAATGTCAATTGTGAATTTCGAAAACTTAAACTTTACAACAACAAATCATTTACACAGTGTGTTTAAAATATAAATCTAGCCATCTATAAATCACAGCTGATCCGCCTGCTATGGAGAGAGAGCTTTCTAAGCAGTCACTCATTGGTTGAATCAGAACCAATCAAAAGCAAACCTGCTCGGGTTCTACATACACTACGGGTCCTACGGGTTTTACATACACTTGAGTCTTTACATAGGCTGGTTTTCCTCGGGTTTGGTTTTTTTCTTGTGATGTTTTTACCTTTTAGTGAAGATCTCTCCGTCTGGGCCATCCTCATTACAGTAGGTCTGAACATCGGTTCCCTAGATAATACAAGATTTTGTCTGAACATCAGTTCCTAGATAATACAAGATTTTGTCTAAACATTGGTTCCTAGATAATACAAGATTTTTTCTTAAAATTGGTTCCCTAGATAATACAAGATTTTGTCTGAACATCAGTTCCCTAGATAATACAAGATTTTGTCTGAACATCGGTTCCCTAGATAATACAAGATTTTGTCTGAACGTTGGTTCCTAGATAATACAAGATTTATTCTTAAAATTGGTTCCCTAGATAATACAAGATTCTGTCTAAACATTGGTTCCTATATTTTGCAAGATTTTCTCTAAACATTGCTGGTTCCTAGATAATACAAGATTTTGTCTGAACATCATGGTTCCTAGATAATAAAAGATTTTGTCTTAACATTGGTTCCTAGATATGAAAAGATTTTGTCTGAACGTTGGTTCCTAGATAATAAAAGATTTTTTTCTAAACATTGGTTCCTAGAAAATACAAGACTTTGTCTAAACATTGGTTCCTAGATAATAAAAGATTTTGTCTGAACATTGGTTCCTAGACATGAAAAGATTTCGTCTGAACGTTGGTTACTAAAAAATAATGCAAGATTTTGTCTAAACATTCGTTACTAAAAAATAATGCAAGATTTTGTCTATACATAGGCTCCTAGAAAATAATGCAAGATTTTTTATAAATATTGGTTCCTAGAAAATACAAGATTTTGTCTAAACATAGGTTCCTAGATAATAAAAGATTTTGTCTAAAACTTGGTTCCTAGATAATAAAAGATTTTGTCTGAACATTGATTCGTAGGGCTAAGCAAGATTCTGTTTACAAAAGAAAAGATTTTGAAATATCTTCTATTGTTGCAGTTGATAAAATTGAGTTTGAAAAAGAGCTGAAAATGAGCAGAAAGTGCTTATAATGAATAAAAGTTTCAATTCTTAGCTTATAGAACAAATGTTATTGAACAATGTTAACTAACAGTTATCAAAGGGCTTGCAAAAAGTCGGAAAAAGGCAAGCCCTAGTTGGCGGAGTGCACCATTTTACAAGAAGTGCACCATGAAATGTCCACTGAAATAAAATATACAGTCAAAGATTTTTAATTGCCTCCTAAAAGCAATATTAAAAATAATTACCCTGATAACTTTCAGAAGATCTCCACCAGAGCAATCAGCATTTGATCTTGTACTGAACCCTTCACATGTGACCTGTAAATAGTATTTATCTCAAAATTGCTGTCAAAACCCCATTTGTTTCTTTAGCTGGTCTTCAATATTAGGATTCCTAGTCCCATAGAATTGTATTCATTCTATTTTCTAATTATACAGTTTAATAACTAACCTTAATGTCGCAGCGAGGGTGCTTGATATGCCAGTATGTTCCGCTTCTTCTACCATATTTTGTTACTCCATCCCAGGAACCATGAGACTGTATAACCCGGCAGGTGTTTAGGTTTACTAGGGAGATTCTCTTCCTCCTTGCTGATGGACAGAGAGTAGGAGGAGCAGTAGGAGGGGCTGTAGGAGGAGCAGTTGTAGGTACAGTTGGTGGTGGTTCAGTCCCCCCACAAGCAGGAATAGTAGCAGGTGTCCATTCACCAGCAGTTGAACAGGAGGCATACAAGGTTTGCTCATCTAGATTTGTTGTTTAAAGTGGTGGACTGCCTTTACATGGGGTATTCTAGACTGCTCCGTTCAATTGAATGCATAAATTTACATTACAGAACTACGCCAGGCCAAGGTTGTATAATAAGCATAGATAGTTTGCTAAGAAGACAACATTTTCTGTACATTGGAGGGCATCGACAGTAAGCAACCTTATTATACAACCTTGCACTGGATCGATTAACATTGGAGCCATGTGAATAACTTACCAGAACATTTGTAAGACACAACAGTGTTAACTTTCGTTTCTGAGTTCCAAGTAGTTACCGCACCACTTGGGGCTGCAGGAATAGTAGGAGGGCATTCTGAAATAGTCATTGCAATTCTTTGCATTAGTTTCCATTTAAAGCATTAATGGCATTAAGTTTGTAATCAATCAAATTAATGATTAAAATTTAATTTATAACTTACGAACTGCACATGTAGATGTGAGAGCTGTGTCGGGCACGATACCACCAATAACCTAAATTAAAAAATTTTGTATTAAGGTAGATAAGATTTGATAATGCACATTATTATTTGGCATAGTTGAATAGTTTTGATATTGATTGGAAACTTTGGTTGTTTTTATTTCAACTGCGGAATTGTTGGGCAAAACAAAATAGCAATTCTTTTGGAAAGTTTTGTGTCTTTAGTTTATAGTATTAAAACATCTATCAATTTCTGAAAACTAAGTTCACATATATGTGAAACAAATTTATAATAGATTTTTTACTTCAAATATTTAGAGTCATTGCAATCTATATATTTTGTTTGAACCCAAATCAAATAAGAAGTTTAAATTAAACTTGTTTGGGTTGTTTTGTAAACAATTACTGATCCTCCCATGCACAACAGACAATTCCCCGTTTTCTATACCAAGAAAATTTGCGATAGAATAAAGTCCATCATAACATTTCACTCAACCTGATCATTGAATCTCCATTCTCCTACACCAGTTGGGCACATGGATGTTCCTGATCCAAACATCAATCCACTTCCGGATCCAGGAGATACCCCAAACTTGAAAAGGCAAAGGTTCATCATCTATTTTTATGTTAATATTTAAAAGTTTAGACTTACTGCCGTAGAAGAAACAATCCACTGAGTTCCAGTGCTTGCTAACCATCTGGCCCCTGAATTAAATCAGAAATGATTTCAAATGATCCAGGTTTTTAGATTAATTGCTATTTTTCCCAATGAATTGTTGAATCAATGGATGAAGTGCATTTTCAAGTTTTTTTGAGGACAGAAATAACTGTATAATTGTAATCTTCTGAATTCTGTTTCAGATTTAGACTAGATATCCAGTGATGCCTTTACCATTTCTATAAACAGGTCGTCCATTAACATCATCTCCTGCTACATGAGTATATGTGATCATATAGCTAGGTAGTTGGGCTCCGGAAACTCCAGTGGAAGCCATTTTAACACTGTCACAACATGTAACTGAATTAAAATTTCATGATCTCCCATATCTAGTAAATAAGGTTGTATCCAAGAAAACTAAACAAATTCAATTTTGGCAGTTCATCTGTTTTAACACATATATATGTATATATAATGTCATTCAAACAAACTAAATGACAAGCTAAAATTTAACATCAATAATTTTACCTGCCACCTTCTCCCAAGTAGCTGTAAAAGATTGTCCAGCTCCCACCATGGACCAGGAAATATACATAGATGCATCAGGAGAGATGATCATGGTTGGTACATCTAAATTTATTAGTTCAGTGAACAAATTTTGGGATTTGACCGGGACACAACACTGTCAGGTATGGACAACATCAAAGATGGGAACTTCCAAGGTTCCCACCCTGTAGTTTCCACCTTTACTTGACTGAAACAAGGTTCCCAATCATGTTTTGACTTAGACACAACCCTCAGTGTCAAACATGGGTCTAAAGCACAGTTTGGAACATCGCTAATCCCTATAGTTTACATCTTTACATCTGTATCAGTGTTCCTAATCATGTTGTTACCCAGACACAGCACTCGGGTCAGGTATAGACCAAAAGCAAAGATAGGAACTTCCCAAGTTACCACCTTGTAGTTTTACACCTTTACTTGAATGAATCATGATTTAACCCAGACTCAGTGTCAGGTATGAAGTAAAATTTAGTTGGGAACTTTAATTCTGACACTATAGTTTTGCACCTTTAGTTGGCTGGCGCAATTGAGATTTTGTTATTCAAAACTTTTCTACTATCTTTTCCTAGACATTTTTTGACACTTTTATGCGATAGTAAATATTAATTTGTTTTGTATCCTAACAAGCAATGCACTCTTAAATAACTATTTCTAGGTCATTGCATGCAGTATACTCACATTAGTTTAGGTTGAAAGGTTATTTTTTTACCTGCGCCACAAAATGAATTTATGATTGCTGATGATTTTGTGTTACCATTCCTGATTTCCAATTTTGATGGGCATACTGCCTAAATAGCAAGGATTTAAGTATATAAAAAAGATATATTATCCATAATTGTCAGAATGAAATGAGAGTTGTGTGTACCTGGAAAGAAGTAGTTGAAAGCTTGATTGCATATCCAGGTTCAACCTCAATCAACCAATCACAGCTACTTTGTCCTCCAGTCTATAAGTTGGGTATACTTTCGATAATTTTGGCCAAGAGGTTTTGTAAAAAGAGCTAAACTTTTCTTGCTTAAATCTGAATTTTAAGGGCTTAGATTTTGGATGCCTTTTCAAATTTAAGTCTCATAAAGACTCTTCCACAATTTCAAGAGTTAAGTTCTTTTAGTTTGAGGTTCTCAGTTCAGTCACGCCAGCTAAGAAATATCCCAACCATTATGTTCCCATTTCATGATAGATTTAAATATGCTTACTGTAATTGTGCCACTGTCTCCTCTCACATAGCCTCCACAGCTGTTAACTTCAGCAGCCTAATATCATGTATATTATTTTCTTATATTTATCACAGATAAATTAATATTTTACAGAATTTCTATAATTACAATAAAACACATCCATAAACATAACAACTTACACTGCAGCTGTACCCAGCAGAGAGTTTCTTGATATCTAGAACAGATAGGTCATCCCCACCAACTGTTGTGATGCTAGCATCTTTAGGGGTCATAACATTATTTGCACTGTTCACTGCAAACCTAGTATTTACTTAACTTTTATCATGAACAAAATTGGGAGATTAAAAAGCTAATTTAATGTGTGCATTATGTAAAGGGCAAAATCACAAAAGAAAGTTGAAGAAAAAAAGCTAAAAAACTTTAACACTTTTAAATGAGGCCCAGTAAGCCAGAGCATTGGCATTTTCTTGAAAAGTTTTATAACTAAAAACTTACGATTTGAGACCATACATCATGACAGATGTAAAGTCAAAAGGATATCCATGAGCAGTAACTCTATCACCAGACCAACAGTTAGAGAAGTCCCTGGTTTGGGTACCTTCAAAATTTCAAATTAAAGGAACTGTAAGCATACTTTTAATCGACCCTCCTTGCAAAGATGGCAAAGTCTAAAAACTTGTAATGGGTATCATTGTAAATTGAGCGTTGCCATCTTTGTATGAAGACTCACTTGAAAATCACAATGTTGTAGTAAATAAACTATTTTGAGATGACTGTAATGCTTCTCAAATCTGACCTGATAACCCTGAAGAGCTACAAACAGATGCGGGGAGATTAGCATCAGGAGTAGTGTCCCATTGATCCAACCAGAAGTTATTGGCAGCAGTTCCCTTTACATATTTCATCATGGAGCAGGTTTAATTGAATTTGTGAGACATTGGTAAACAACCACTGGTTCAAATCCTGAACCACCGCTTCAGTCTGAAATTACTTACCTGAATACTCATAAAATTTAACTTTGAATCAATGAATCATGATTTGAACTGGCAGTAGGTTGTTCAGCAACCTCTCCAAGTCATTAAAATCGCTCCCAGCTGTAGTTTTGCTTTATTTGCGTGTATATGCTTGCAGTTGATACTATGATACTCTACACCTGACAGGGAAAAGCTCTGTTAACCAACAAATGTTCATGAAATTTTACAATTTGTTAAGCCTTCAATGCAGTTTTTGGGGCATCATGACAAAATTTAAAAGATAAATTCCAAAAATAAAATTATGAAAAGTTTCCAAGTAGGAAGGATTAATTTCTCACTAACCTTTAGGTTGTTCCAGTGCATAATCAGAAAATCATCTCTAAAGCAATATTCGTAGATGTAAATGTAAATGATCGGACATGCCACTTCATCAATGGAGGGCCACTCCATCTATAGAGTGGCATATCTAATTCAAAATGGTACCCGTAAAATCTTTGTTTGATCAATTAAGTATGAATTGAATATCCATGTATTGTTTTTGAAAAATGTTTATTTTCATTTGAGGCTTCTCTACAAGGATGACGTGTGTATATCTTACTTTAGAAAAAATGGACAATTTTTTGGGATAAAAAAGTTTTGAAGCCAGAAAAAAAAACATTTTACTCTACATTATTATTTGATAAGAGTATCAAGGGCACTGTTGTGAATCAGTGATGTTCCATGGAGGGTCAAGTAAAAGTTACAGTGATAAATCCTAGAAGCAACTTTTAACCATAAAATATTTCTTGGAACTTCAAATTAGTTCCCTCCAATTCTCAGTATAGTTTACCTGTCTGGTCTGCACTGTAAATAATTTACCTATCTGGTCTGCACCGTTCATAATTTACCTATCTGGCCTGCACTGTTCATGATTTACCTATCTGGTCTGCACTGTTCATAATTTACCTAACTGGTCTGCACTGTTCATAATTTACCTATCTGGTCTGCACTTTTCATAATTTACCTATATGGTCTGCACTTTTCATAATTTACCTATCTGGTCTGCACTGTTCGTGATTAACACCAAGAGTATGCAGAAGTTCATGAAGAACAATTTTCTTGTACTAAAATGAAAATATGTTAAAAAACATATTAATTATTTGAAGATAAGATGGTTTAACCAAGACTTACCACACATCCATTCTGTTGAAGATTCACGATATGATATTGGTTTTGCCCATTATAATATCTAAACACCACATCAGTTTTTAAACAGATTCTTATATATATATATATATAATACTAGCCTTAGAGGGCGCTTCGCGGCCATCTTCTAAATTAATTGTGAACATGTTCTCTTTGTGTACATCGTAAAACAAAACAAAAATAATTCGCGGATTTTCACAAAAAATTTCGTGGATTTTCAAAATTTTCAAAAATTTGATGGAGACAAATATTTGAAATTTTGATCATTCATAAACCTTCCCTGGGGTCCCTGGATGTCCAAAAAAAAATTGGGCCCGATTGGTTCAGCCGTTTTGGCGTTTATTGGATACAAACAGACAGACACCCAAACAAACAAACAAACACCCAGACAAGCCAAATTTATATATAGATAGCATAACTATATATATCTTTATTCATATATCTATAAATTAGATAAAAGATAAAGAATATATTAGAATATTTATATTTCTGTATTTTAATTTATTATAGTTTAATTTTGTATTCATATACTAAGAAACCCTATCCGTGCAGGATATAACCATAATCATATAACTTGCTTATATAGGAGTAACCGAGCATGGAGAGACAGGAAGCTTGAGCATACGATCCAATGAGAAGAAAGAAACATACATGCATCCTAAACGTCTTTTTTTTCTTGAGAAATTTTTGAGAAATTTTCTTTCCTGGCTTTAACCAGCAGAATGGTTTAAATTGGTCTAAATATCAATCCTTTACCATCCTCTCCTATCAATGAAGATGGATGAGACGATCAAAGCCGGAATACTTTAGCCGCTCTACTCATATTCCGATTAATTACCGTGGTTAAACGGTAACCAACTTATTTAAATGCTCTAAAGCGGTTTCTGCTTCATGCGATACTCTTTACCATATTACTGAATAATATAATATTTAAATAGTTATATGCGATATTCAAATTTTAATATCCACAGTATGTTTCTCAATATTCTTAAAAAATGTCGTCCTTAATATAAAGTACCTCTAATTATATCTATGCAGCAAGAAAACTTATAATTTTACCCAACATAAGCATAGCATCCTGAATCTCCAGTCTGTATCTTCACAAAGTCTGCCTCAGTAGTCCTCGGAACGAATCTTTACAAAAATAAACAGGTATATGGTGCTTTTTCCTGTGTTTGTATATCTTATTAATTTCCAAATCAAAGGCCTCGAACTTATTAATGTCATAGTGCTAATCTGCATTATCACAATATTTACAATGGAAACTTTTAATTTGAACCGATTAAATGTGTGAATCGTAAAAAACAGTTGACTTAATTGAGCATTTTCTGATTGGTCAAAAGCAGATATTTTTTGGCCTATGATTAGTTGATGCTTTCAGCAAACAGAGATATTGAAAAAATGGCTGAAAAAAGCTTTTTTTTGGTTTTCTGGAGAAGAAACAAAAGTTTTGTTCTCATATTAGTTTTCGAACAATTCTTTCAAGATTGGACGTTTTCCTAATTTTTTAATTCCCTTAAAGAGATCGACTGGTAGTGTAATTTTAAGTCTAGTAAGTCCTCCATACAAAGAGGGCAAAGCCCAATTTACGAAGGAGCAATTGAGAAACTCACAGAAATAAGCACTTTTTGTGTCAGAACAACGAAGATATCTTCCACATTTTGGATCAGATTAAGATTTCGAGGGTACTGTTGTAAATCGGGCATTGTCATTTTTCAATGTTAAGGGTCACTTAAAATTAAGCTAACCATCTCATTTAATGGTCATGTTTAAAACCATGTCTAATGCTTGTCCCACTGAAATTTGTTAATATAAAATCGTCAACCCGTGAATTACCTAATGCAAGTTGTTGCTTGAATATCTGCTATACCAGCAGCTATTACAGCTCTTTCATCAGCAGTAAATGCAGCGTCTAATGTGTAAGGAACCTCAGCGTTTGGCCAACGTCTCCTGCAAGATACAATAGTTCATTTCGATCCCGTCATGATATAAGAAATAAAAATGTTTACTTGATTGGTGCCATAATGTTACGTGTTGGTTTATTCACGTAAGCTTTTTGTTCCCCTTCAGCTACAAGCTGGTGCATTTCTTCATGAGTTATATTAGGCTTAGGTAGCACTGCGGCACGAGCAAAATCATCAGCATTTAGAGGAGGTCCAACATTCGTATCTAAACATATAGGAACATTTAAAAGGGGTCCAACATTTGCATCTGAACATATAGGAACGTTTTGAGGGGGTCCAACATTTTCATCTAAACATATAAACATATAGGAACATTTAAAAGCGGTCCAACATTTGCATATAAACATATAGGAACATTTAAAGGGTGTCCAACATTTGCATATAAACATATAGGAACATTTAAAGGGTGTCCAACATTTGCATATAAACATATAGGATCATTTAAAGGGTGTCCAACATTCGCATCTTAACATATAGGAACATTTAAAGGGAGTCCAACATTCGCATCTTAACATATAGGAACATTTAAAGGGAGTCCAACATTCGCATCTTAACATATAGGATCATTTAAAGGGTGTCCAACATTTGCATATAAACATATTGGAACATTTAAAGGGGGTCCAAACATAGAAAAAAATTAAAGAAGGCTATTTTAAATATTTACATGTATAGAAGCATTCAAAGGGGTTCTAAGATTTTTTATATATACATAGAAACATTAAGATGGGTCTAATATTAAGAAAGATATTTTAGTATTATAATCCCCTTTCAAGCAAAAATCAGTGAATTGCATTGAATTCTCATAGTTTACCGTCAGTAGTTATTTGTTGACAGACAACTGCTTGTATCACCAACACAGTGGTAAAGTATCGCAGCATCTAGAAACATTAGTAGATTCTTAGACCAGGGACGATATATTTGAGCTAGATCACTGAACTACCAACCGCTGACTTAAATCTTAAATCATCGATTCAAAGTTAAAAATTCATCAGAATTTGAATCGGTGATTCAGGATTTGAACCGGAAATAGGTACTGGATGACCATAAAAAAACAGGGATTAGCTTTTCAAAGCCCATATAATCTTTTGAAATTGATCAAAAAAAGCTCAAGTGTTCATTTTTTAATTTTAGAAGGGGTCGTTATATTAACATTTTACCATTCGATGTTTCCGTTTGGCTCAAAATTGAGTCTTTGCCACAAACTCAGATTTTCTAAACCTAGTATCTTTGGAACCGGATGCCCGAAACTTTTGATATTTCAAACTTAGATTATTTCATCTGACAGAAATCATAGTTTGAAAAATCTAAGGTCTACGCCATTGGGTTGCAAAGATATAGTGATTAGAAAATCAGAGTTTGTGGCAAAGACTCAATTTCATTGTTTACATTTTTTGTCGTCGTTATTTATTAAAAATAAAACAATTCTAAAAACGTATCCACCAAAAAGTACGATTTTGAACGTCGACTTTGCGCTCAAACTCGATAGGATTTACAGATCTTTAAAAAGTTTATACATCTCAAATGAATGCTAAAGAATTTGTCCACAAAACTGCATACTCAGTTCAACTACTTCACAATATAGCCGGTCTGTCCCTTTAAATTAAAACAATTCACATTGCATGAGCAAAATAAATGGATTTTTAATTACTTTTGAATTTTTGATAAAAGTCTTTAAAAATATGGTTGTTTTTACCAAATTAATAGAAAAATTTTACGGCAAAAAAAAGATTTTTTGGTTTGGTTAAAAATTTTAGTAGGTTTTTAAACATTTACCTTTTAGTTCAGTCGTTATTGAAGAACTGATTCTTGATAAAATGTCGTGATATATATTTGCAATTTTATTTAAAGTGTTTTATTAAAGACAAGTGTGAAATATTCAATGACTAACTAATTATATATAATTAATCGAGGATTAAAAAATGAAAACTAACAAGTTGTATAACGAACTGTACAGTGTACTTTAACAGTACACGTACACATAGGATTACTGTGCAGTGTACGTGTATCAACCTCAGTGTATGTATATCAACCTTGCAAATTTTTGATATTCATATCTTTGCCACCCTTGATATTAAAATTTTGATTATTTATTCTAGTCTAGTGCAGAAAACCATAGGTCTACAACATCAGGTTGCAAATATTTAAGAATAGAAAGAGAGCAATCAGTTTCTTTGGTCATCGGCGTTGAAAATTTAAATGGTGCTTAGTGATTTTATATAGAAGAAGCGGAGAGTTTTCAGGGGAGGGAGCCAGGAAGAATTTATAAAATAGATTGAATAAATTCCGTGTATACAATCCTCTCCGAATCTTCTTGAAAACTTCATACCTCCCAGCCCTTCCATCTAGAGGGGTAATCGTTATACAATTGGGACATTAACCTCCTTCATCCTTTTCCTTGCCATATTTTCAACATTTAATAAAGTTATCTTCAAAGAAGTTTCAATTTTAAAAAGTAAACGATGAAAAGTTTCCTTGCGCTATCTTTCTTGTCATCACTTTACATGCATTTTTTTACGGTACCCCCGATGTATTTTTTACTGTACCCCTGATATATTTTATACGGTGCCCCTGTTTTTTTACGGTACCCCTGATATATTTTATACGGTACCCTTGCTGTTTTTTTTACTGTACCCCTGATATATTTTTTACGGTACCCCTGATGTATTTTTTACGGTACCCCTGTTTTTTTACGGTACCCCTGATATATTTCTTACGGTACCCCTGATATATTTTTTACTGTACCCCTGATATATTTTTTACGATACCCCTGATGTATTTTTTACGGTACCCCTGATGTATTTTTTACGGTACCCCTGATGTATTGCTCTGAACTCCTGTGCAATGATGCATGTGCAAATTTCACATTCACATTTTTCCTTCTCTCTACTACATTGCATTTAGAGGCAAAAGCTAACTCTTGTAAAACTAAACTTAAGTCTGGTTTTAAAGATCTTGTAAAACTAAACTTAAGTCTGGTGTTAAAGATTTTGTAAAACTAAACTTAAGTCTGGTGTTAAAGATCTTTGTAAAACTAAACTTAAGTCTGGTGTTAAAGATCTTGTAAAACTAAACTTAAGTCTGGTGTTAAAGATCTTGTAAAACTAAACTTAAGTCTGGTGTTAAAGATTTTGTAAAACTAAACTTAAGTCTGGTGTTAAAGATCTTGTAAAACTAAACTTAAGCCTGGTGTTAAAGATTTTGTAAAACTAAACTTAAGTCTGGTGTTAAAGATCTTTGTAAAACTAAACTTAAGTCTGGTGTTAAAGATCTTGTAAAACTAAACTTAAGTCTGGTGTTAAAGATTTTGCAAAACTAAACTTAAGTCTGGTGTTAAAGATCTTGTAAAACTAAACTTAAGTCTGGTGTTAAAGATTTTGTAAAACTAAACTTAAGTCTGGTGTTAAAGATCTTGTAAAACTAAACTTAAGTCTGGTGTTAAAGATTTTGTAAAACTAAACTTAAGTCTGGTGTTAAAGATCTTTGTAAAACTAAACTTAAGTCTGGTGTTAAAGATCTTGTAAAACTAAACTTAAGTATTAAGTATTAAATACTTTTTTTAATTCAAATATTATTATAACATAATATTTAAACGATTTTTGGAATTAATTTGTTCAAATGCAGTTTCTGACGGAATAATCAGTTATGTAAAGGTTTTAATATTTTTTTAAAAATAAGTGAACGAACAAAATCCATATATTTCTTCTTCTACAACTTCTATCAATGTAAGTATTAATAATTCTAAAATATGAAACAGCTTCCAATCAAAGTTATCAACAATTTTATAAACTTTACAAATACGCTGACAGTCCCTTTAAAATGAAAAATAAACAAAACTGTACAATATCTCGCTTGTGCGTAGTGGCTGCTTAATTCGAAACATTTGTTCCTTCACAATTTTCCTTGCATATAGCTAATCCTCAATCTGCGTTCTTATCATTAGTGGTTACTGTACTTATTAAATTCAATATAGAAATAAGATCAAAATCAAACGGAATGACTAGTGCGAGTTTGTGACCTCGTAAACAAAAATACCAAGAAATGCAACGAACGTATACGCATTCTCAAAGTGACCATGTAAATATGAAGTTGTCATAAAGACAAAAATAATAACATGCATAGGAATCAGTAACTATTTTAGGAAAATAATTAATATTTTATTTACATTTGAGACATCTTTCTATAACGTGGATGATTCCTGCGCGCTAAATTTTTATTTTGTTCTCGTGCGCGCAATTATTTCTTCTAGTCATACGACAGTTAGACAATTGCGCGCATCATAAAATGCAACTTAAACTGCAAATAAAGTGAACCTTGTATTTTCATGTATTTAAAATATGTTGAACCATTTAAGATAAGAAAGATGTTGAATATATTAAAGGTGGAGATATTGAAGACCACACCCCTTGGTCTTTTCACGGTTAAACAATATTTGTAAATACTTGTTGTGGAAGTACAGTTCCGTATTACAAGTTTTTCAGATAATCGTGTCAAAGGTAAACAGAACCCCCCCCCCCTCCCCCCTCCCCTCTCTGCTGAAACCATATCTTTCTGGTCTAGTACTGAAGATCGCTGTTGTATGCACTAAAAGGTTGGGGTAGGGTCCCCCCCCCCCCACCAAGTATTTTTATATAGATTTAACTGTGTTTGACCTAAAGCTCCAAGTGTTAATATTTTATAAATATTTAGTGAATACCTAATTAAGTATAATCAAAATAATTAATTACCTGATTTCATGACAGTTATTTTTAACTTGAAATTTGTATCAAAGTAATATTTTTTTTAATATTCATGTTATTTTGGACATTAATTGATTTTTTTTATTTACAGAATTTACAATTTTGACTATTTTCATAATTTTTCCCTTGCAACATTTTTTTCACATTTTCGATAAGTTAATCGAAAAATATAACCTAAAAGAAGAATGAAATTAAATGCAACCCCTATTTTTTTTGCAAAGCTTGAGTTAATTTTGCATAAGAAAATGCATAATGAAAAGGGCGGGGACAAAGTTCAAAATTTTGATCTTTAAAAATTGATTTGCTGTTTACAGTGTTTGAACGTAACAAAGTTAACATTTTTTAAAATAAAAAAGACAACAAAAAATTTATGTATTCAAAATGACCACCCGCTCCTTTTTTTGGCTCCCCTAAAACTCTTTATGACAACGGGTTTTTCTTAGATTTTTAAATCAAAACTATCCCTATGTTTTCAGGATCTTTCTTACATTTAAAGTAAAAATAAAAATTTTAGATATAAAAATGAATATTTTTAAAAGATAGATTTTTTGCAATTTTGTGCCAGGGAGTTTATGCCAGGAACTTATACATCTGTAGAGTGCTCGTTTTAATCAAAAACTTAATGATGTAAAGCCAATTTAAAACAAAACGAGCATAGAAATTAAACTCTCAGAAAATTTTGAATTAGTGTTTGAACGTAACAAAGTTAACATTTTTTAAAATAAAAAAGACAACAAAAAATTTATGTATTCAAAGTGACCACCCGCTCCTTTTTTTGGCTCCCCTAAAACTCTTTATGACAACGGGTTTTTCTTAGATTTTTAAATCAAAACTATCCCTATGTTTTCAGGATCTTTCTTACATTTAAAGTAAAAATAAAAATTTTGGATATAAAAATGAATATTTCTAAAAGATAGATTTTTTGCAATTTTGTGCCAGGGAGTTTATGCCAGGAACTTATACATCTGTAGAGTGCTCGTTTTAATCAAAAACTTAATGATGTAAAGCCAATTTAAAACAAAACGAGCATTGAAATTAAACTCTCAGAAAATTTTGAATTCTTTTGATTAAACATGCAACTGCATAAATTAGCTTTTGTATTTGGGGTTTTATAATTTCTTTTATTAATATTTGAATTTCAGGTAGAATGATTCTTTATATTTTTCAATATTTCCTTCTTCAACAAGTTTCAGGTAATTTCGGAGTTGAAGGGACTAAGGCGTAATTCTAAGTGACCCTCTTTTGCATCTTAAAATGTGTTGATTCTGAAAATGTCCTCAATTGTCTCTGAAACATAAACTGCAAATCACTCCAACAGAAAATCTAAAGGAATTGAGTCTTTGCCACTAACTTTGATTTTCTAATTCCAATATCTTTGCAACCCAATGTTGTTTTTTAAAGTCATAAATTCTGTTAGATCAAACAAGCAAAGTTTGAAATATAAAAAGTTTACACCATATGGTTATTAAAATATACATATAAGGGTTAGAATATTTAAGCTTGTGATAAAGACTCAAAACCTTTAAAGGGCACTATAGTGTGATTGTGATTCGTAAAAGAGGAAAATTGTGAAAAGTACAGTTTAAACTTTTTACTGGAATAATATAATTCTAATTAAATCCTATATGTTTTTACCATGGACCTCGTTAAAAAAAGGTTATTCCCCTTTCTGAATGGGGGCAATGCCCCCTGCATTCTTAATGCACAACCCCCCCCCCGCACCCTAAAAAATGTCAAATTAATTTACTATCTTCTATATTTCACGAAGTTCTTTTAAGTAAATTAAATGAAACAATAAATGTTAATGTGTACTCAAGAGAATGTAATAAAATTACAACTATGAAGAAATATAATTCTTCATCTTTTCGATCAAACTGAACATTTTATTTTTTCTTAATAATCTCACGATTTATGATAACTTTATTTTACACAAAACTCGATGCAATCGGAACAAAACAAGATTAATAGAAAGTTTACGTTAGCAGAAAGAACAGTTAAATTTTTGTAAAAAACTAACAATTACTTGATAGGCCATCCACAGATGCAGTCACATTAATTCATATAACTTGATGAGAGAAATTTTTTTGAGAAAATTAATGAAAAACATTGTTAACGAAAGGACAGAGTCGTTAATACATTATTAAAAAAACAAATAGTTACACTAATGTAACTAACCATCCATGAACGAATGTTTTTTTTTAAATTAACGGAAATTTTTTTAATGAACGTCGAAAGACCTGTTAAGTTATTGGTTAAAACAAAATGTTTCTTTTAGACCTAAACTTAACTAACTAACAACCGTTTTTTTTTTGAATAAACGGAAATAAATATGTCCTGTTTAGTTTTAGGATCCATGAAAATGTCAGCTAAGTCTAATATGGTAGACTGGGATCCATACTATCCTGGAGAAGTAAATGAACAGGACAAAACCAAACCCCCTTCTCCTCTTCAATATCAACACAATCTCGTCAAGGAGGACCATCTCCAGATTGTTGATGACCTTCTCCCCCTGGGTAGAAGGGATGAGAAGACTAGTAAACAAGATGAACAGAATATAAATACAGGTTCATAAAATAACTTCTATTTTTGTAATTAAGAGATACCTATATTATGCATTTATCTTTATTCTCTTTATAGTGGCATATAAATGTTTGGTCATGTCCTCGGAATGTTTGGTCATGTCCTCGGAATGTTTGGTCATGTCCTCGGAATGGTCCTCGAAATGTTTGATCATGCCCTCGGAATGTTTGGTCATGTCCTCGGAATGTTTAGTCATGATGTCCTTGGAATGTTTGGCCATGTCCTCAGAATGTTTGGTCATGTCTTCGGAATGTTTTGTCATGTCCTCGGAATGTTTGATCATGTCCTCGGAATGTTTGGTCATGTCCTCAGAATGTTTGGTCATGTTCTCAGAATGTTTGGTCATGTCCTCGGAATGAAAAAATGAAAATTAACGGCCAATGTTGTGAACGAACGGAAGGAACCGTCAAATAAAATATATTAAACAATGTCGATAACGAACGGAAAAAATCGTTTTGTTACTATTTTTAACGAAGGGTCAGATGTTTACCTATAGGACATGTTGATTGTCGGAACATTAATTTAGCTAATCATGTCCGCACTAACGTACACATATTGATCCAAAGGTTGCAAGCTCTTCGCAAAAGAATTTGGACAATTACTTCTTTGGCTACAAAAAAAGTATGTATGCAAACTGCACAGCCCTAGCCTGAGAATATTTGTAGCGGGAAGAGGGGGGTGGGCGCGAAGTAAAATAAAAAGTATACTTTTTATTTTATTGAATTTTATGAATTCTACGAAAAAATAAGAATGGTCAATTTTGCGATATTATGATTAACGATAGTTCAAAGCAGTTGAATATATTGAATACAAATGTGGTTTTACCTTCGACGATACGTTTGATTCAGCTAATTATTTATCTGTATATAAATAAAGTTGTAAACTCTGTTTGTCTATTTGTTTGTATGTCCGATCATAACTCAGCAACCACTTGCCCAATTTATCTCAAACTTTGACCGGAGAACCCGAGAAAAAAGCGGGAATGTTCTTAGCTTGGTTTTGAGATTTTAAATTGAGTGGGTCCACTTTTATAGGGAAAAATAGCCAAAATCGTAATTTATGAAAGAGCGGGGAAACGGTGGTTATAGTAACTTTGAGTACCCTGGCTGAACGACGCTATTTTAAAATAAAACTTTAAGATTACTTCTAGATGAGCTGGGTCAAGATGAGAAACAGTTTGCTGGTATCACAGTTAGCCCTAGTCTCCTTTATGTTGGATTGTATCAACCTGAGAATATTATTATCCATGTTACTCAGAACCTTATTAACTTCGTATCATCCACACTCTTCTGGTTCTTCCTTCTCTTCCTTACCAGGGTAATTATCAAAATGGGGGCCTAGGGTAATATTTAAGACCTCTAAGGACCTTCAGGGGGGGGCCAACAGTGATATATAGGGCCTTCAGGAGAACCTAGGGTAATATTTGGACTTTTAGGACCTTCAGGGGGGCCTAGGGTAATATTTAGAACCTTCAGGGGGACCATGGTTAATCATTAAGAACTTCAGGGGGAGCTAGAGTAATATTTAGGACCTTCAGGGGGACCTAGGGTAATATTTAGGACCTTCAGGGGTACCTAGGGTAATATTTAGAACCTTCAGGGGGACCTAGGGTAATATTTAGAACCTTCAGGGGCACCAAGGTTAATCATTAAGAACTTTAGGGGGACCTAGAGTAATATTTAGAACCTTCAGGGGGACCTAGGTTAATCATTAGGAACTTCAGAAGGACCTAGAGTAATATTTAGGACCTTAAGGGGGACCTAGGCTAGTATAAAGGACCTTTTAGGACCTTCATGGGGACCTCTGGTAATATTTAGGACCTTCAGGAGGACCAAGGTCAATCATTAGGAACTTCAGTGGGACGTAAAGTAATGTTTAGGAGCTTCAGGGGGACCTAGGGTAATATTTAGGACCTTTTAAGACCTTCAGTGGGACCTAGGGTAACATTCTAGGTCTTCAGGTGCCCTTGATAATATTTAAAATCTTCATTGTTTCTAATTGGGTAAATTCCAAAGGCTTGTTTTAAGCATTTTTTAACCAGATCATCAAATTGTGCATCTCTATACCACAGATATAACCTGTACCACAAACCTTCAAGGACTCTCATGCAGCAAATGCATTCTAATCAATTGAAAATACACATGATGTCAGGAAAACCCGTTTGTTTATTTTACCAACGTCCTAATTTTAATTTTATTTGCATTTTTAAAGAAATTTAGAACATTTACTAACATTTATTTTCTGTTAAAAAATAATGTAGCTTGTATCATTCGCCACAGACTCTAATTTTATAATCCCTATCTACATAGTTCTATGCAATCCAAAGGGACTCTAAGTGTTGAGATGGTAATGCTCGATTCACAACGGTATCCTAGAAACCTTTATCTGATCAATAATGTGGAAGATATTGTTGTTTTTCTGCAGTAGAACTTTTGTGACACCCTTTACTTTCGTAGAACTTTTCCGTTTCGAAGTATGAATTTTGCAAGATCAAAAAGTCAAGTATAGATTAAGATTAGAAAATTAGAGTGTGCAGCAAGTGTTCAGTTTCTTTTATTTACGTTTGATGGGCCATAGTTTTTTTAGTTTAGGAATAAGAAATAAATGAAGAGTAGGACTCATAAAACTGTGGAGTAGGAAGACGACATTTAATAAATCCTCTGTGCATTTTATTTTGATTTGAAGCAAATAGTTTTACCAATCACAATGACAGAATAAGAAGGTCGAATCAATGCAAGATCACTGACACGACTTTTTGACATCGTAGCTCCTATAGTTTTGATTTTGGCACAAATATGAGCAAAACAAATCTATTCAGCTACATTTTATAAATTATAAACTAGTTGTTCTTCTCAATAGCTCTTCTATAAGAGGAATTATAATATATATATATATATATATATATATATATATATAATTTCCTACGTGCAATTTACTTTTGATTGACGTGAAATAGCTTCAAAATCAACTGCAATGGGTCTGTGTACAATGCAGCACACTGTGCACTGCAAATATGTTGTGGTTCATTTTTATAAAATATTTAAAACCATAACTATATTCTAACAGTCGTCTTCATATTCTACAGTTTTATGACTCCCACTGCATATTTACATAATATCTGTGAATTGTCTATGTTTAGGGAACTACCAAAAGGAAACGTAGATCTTTAGAAGATGAAGAATTAGAAGAAACAACTGTAAATCATTTTTATTATTACAACTTTTACAATTATCCGCACGCTAAACTAAAAATGTTTCAAAACCAGCTTATGTTTTCTGCAAACAAAAATGAAATCTGTAATAGAATAAAAAGTATTTTTCGTTCAAACAAAAAAAATCGAAGTCGAGATACAAAAAATCTAAACCAATTGGAAAATAGTAATTGCTCTTTTTCTTCATCATTTTGAAATTGCTTTAATCCATAACCAGCTTGGGAATCCATGGTTATTCCCACCGTTCACTCGCGCTAATTACGATTTTAGCTATTTTTCCCTATAAAAAATGACCCACTAAGCTTAGAATCTCAAACCAAGAAAATTTTTGTGGTTCTCCCGAGTTCCCCAATAAAACGGCAAATCGGTCCCGGGGTTTATGAGTTATGATCGGACATACAAACAGGGAATACAACTTTACATATATAGATGCATCAGTTCATAGCTGTAAATACTCTTATAGCTGTAATTCAAATGCATATTTGCATATATAAATATAATATATACTTTTAAAACACTACTTTTGATTCTAAAAAAAGTTTGTTTTAATAATAATTACTTTATTGAAGGAAATCATGTTATTTGATTTGATTAGAAATCATTTGACACATCCATAAGATTTAAAGTTATCGTAATAATATTCTTCATATGTATTGTTAATTTTAAGCTAAAATATGTTTTACAATATAAATCATATCATTTAGCAAATTTCGTTATTTTAAACAGTCTTAGGCGTATGCTTTCATAATTTATTTCAAGTCAGAATATTTTATTATTATTTTTCTATTCTAATTTTTTCTAATCATTTGGTTGTGTTGCATGTTGCAAAGATATTACAGTATGATCAAGTACTACTGCAGCAAAGTTTGACTAAAATTAAGAAATACATTATTTGTATTCAGTACAAAATAGAAGAAGAAAAACTAAACATTAACTTTATCTGATCTCTATTCCTGCAGGTTCCATCTTGATGAGCTGATCGTTACTGATGTGCTTGGCAAATTCCTCAGAGCTGAAAACTTTAGAATAGGATATTTTTAATCCCATTCCCAATCGGTTAATTAATCTGGAGATTAAGAACAAGAGGAAAACAAGCATTATTTAATCTTGAGATTAAGAAAAAGAAGAGATCAAGCATTGATTTCGATATCCACCATTCTAAAGTTGTTAGCTCTGATGAATTTTGCATTGTAAAATAATGTTTTTTTTACATAAATCAAAAAGCTGAACTTGCGAATTTTTACAACATTTTAGTGGATTTCTGAAGGCAAACCTTGCTGCAGTAATACTTGTTCATACTATAGGATTAAAATTAGAATTGGAGTTTCCTGTATCTTCTTATTTTACAGGCTTCGGAGTCAGAATTTCCCTTATCTTCTGTTCTTGACGGAGACAATGTTGCCAGGGTTCTCCGTCAGCTGGCTAGCACTGCGGAGCATTATAAAAGGTAAATAAACTGTCAACTTTTCATCTAAAAATGAGTTGGAGCAACGGAGCTTGATTCAGTATAGCTCGATTCTTTGTATGGTGTTGATCAAACACATTTGTTAGGTATAATGTCAGGAAAGTTAATTGCGGTCGCGTATTCTCTGCGAAGACAACTATCGATTTTAGTTTTTACTTAAAACAGCATGATACAAATTAACATAGAAGTCTAGAGAAGCTTTCATTAAAAAAGCTTCTCTTTGATTAATTGTAAACCTGTAATTCGATACAAGCTTGTAAATAATCAAAACTAAAATAAAAAAGTCGTCTTTATTGTATTGATATATAATCACCTACCACTGCAGAAAAATGTAGGGAAGCATAGCATGATTTTTAGTAGCATAAAAGGAATTAGAGTAGCATAAATATGTATTACTAGGCTTTTAGAGCGCTTCGCGCCCATCTTCTATTTCATCTTTTAGTAGTGCCTTTTTCTGTGAGCATCTTCTCTTTGTTCAGTATAAAAAAAGTTTGCGGATTTCAAATATTTTTTCGCACATTTTCAAAATATTACAAAAATGAAAAACTTTTAAACACACGTTTTTTAATTTTGATCGTTCATAAACTTTCCCTGGGGTCACCAAAGGTCGCACGCAAAATTTGGGCCCGATCAGTTCAACCGATTTGACGTTTATTGGATACAAACAAACAAACACCCAGACAGACAGAAACAAGCAAAGTATCTTTATAGACTAGGCTTTTAGGCTGCTTCGCGTCCATCTTCTATTTCAATTGTGAACATGTTCTCTTTGTGTGCATGGAAAAAAGAGAGTTCATTAATTAAAAAGAAACTTTGTGGATTTTCAAAATTTTCGAAAAATTAATGAACATTAAATTTTGTTGGAGGCAAATCATTGAAAATTCAATCATCCATAAATCTTCCCTAGGCTCACGTGAGGTCCCACAAAAAATTTGGGCCCGATCGGTGCTGCCGTTTTGACGTTTATTGGATACAAAAAAAAAACAGACATGGACATTGGACAAACATAGTATATATAGATAGTAGCTTAAATGGCATACAGGGTGTCCCACGAAACATGACAATAGGAAGACGACTTGAAAGTCGTCTTTGGTATTTGAATTTATTTTTGACATTTAGTCTTCTATCTACTTTAACATGCATGATTCTGGAAACAATTATCACATAATTCTCCTAGCCCTGGCATTTCCAAAAAGTGGTCTGCGTTTTTTGTGCTTTCAATATTACCGGAGATATAAAGTGTTTGGTTCAGATTTCAATTTTGTTAAATAAAAGCAAAATTGTCGAAATCTGAACGAAATTCTTCATATCTCGGGCAATATTGAAAGCACACAAAAGGCAGACCACATTTTGGAAATGGCAGGACAAGGGAAATTTTGTGATTATTATCTCTAGAAATTTACTTCTAAAATTAAGTTGACAAATAAACGCAGCAAATTATATCAAAAATCAAGACGACATTCAAGTCGTCCTGCATACTGTCATGTTTCGTGGGACACCCTGTATCATAATTTAAAGAATAAACAGTTGGTGAATAGTTTAGAATGTCTTCTTCCATAATTTGTTTAGTTGTTTGATACCATATGGGAGTCATGTTGAAGTAAAATTGGGTTGAAAGTAAAATATGTTTTAGAAAATTTTTTTTAACAAAATAAAACCACAAAAGTTTATGAAAGACGACTTTCATAAGTATTTACCAACTGGCATGATTTGTGAGACACCCTGTCGAATAATGAAGAGAAGCAAAAATATGTATAATATGTACTAGTAAAGATTAATTAAAAGAATCATACAATATTTTAGAGATGCATACATATTAAATATATACAATTAGGTTCAAACATAAAGAGAAGACATTGGAAAAATTTATAAAATGTCGTATTCTGACAATGGAATGCTGCATATATTTAGTTTTTTAAATAAATAATCATATGGAGCTCCTTAAAACACTGTTTCTGCATATTCATGGCTATTTATTTATTTATTTAATTACTGAGATTTACGTAAAATAGTATATAACCCATGGACAAATTGTCAAGACGACATTTCATAAATTCTTTTAATGACTAAAAATCTCTGGGGTAAACTGTATTATAGTCTATTTTTGTTCAGGTTAACTGATGAGCTTTAAAGAAAACTTTTTTATATAAAAATAATTTTATAAATGTGAGCAGTGTGACAGTGCCAATAATTAGTCAAAAAAATGGAGGAAGATGGGAGAAACTAAAATCTGGAAACATTATGAATGACTGAAATCTTTATTATTTTATGCACGATTACGTTAAATATTATTAATATTGTCAGAGGTCAGGAAAAGGCCTAATCCAAAGACTTAGGGTCATACAAATCGTTGAGATAAAACAATTGTTTCGATTTCCATGATTTCAGGTAGATATAAAGCGATTATAATTTTATACTACAGAGCTGAAAACTTTTGAATGGGATATCCTTAATCCTGATCGGATAATTAATCTGGAGATTAAAAATGAGAGGAGAACAAGCAATATTTAATCTGGAGATTAAGAAAAAGAGTGGATTAAGCATTAATCCCGATATCCACCATTCTAAAGTTTTCAGCTCAGTATGCATAGACAACATTTTTCAAACCCCTCAAAAGACTTGGGGGGTCGTTATTTGGGGCCCGGCCTCTTCCCCTGTTTTTAGTAATTCAACTTTTTTTATAATTTTCAAATACATCCCACCCCCCTCCTTTTAAAAATATGATAATTTGCAAGTTATAAGAAGAAAAGCTATAATTATGCTACTTGATCAGCTTTCTAACATCTAATGTAATGTTTTGATACAAAAAGTTCAACCTACGATCTCAGATAATAAAGTTTATATTGTTACTGTATTTTTTTGTGTAAGTCTATTTAGATTTTTATTATTTTGTAAAATTCTTATCTTATTTAGTTTTTTACATGTTTATCTTATTTTTACATGTTTATCTTATTTTGTTTATTTGTGAGATCTTAATTTGTGCAAATGAATTTTTCTTATTTTTTAACACATTTAAGAGATATCGTTTATATGTTTATCTTATTTTGTAAAATATTTCTTTATTTTCTGTAATGTTTATCTTAATTTTAGAATGTTTCTTACATTTTTGAGAATTTTTGTCTTATTTTGTTAAATGTTTCTTCATTTGTGTTTATGTTTATCTTAATTTGTGAACATTTTTTAATCATATTTTTAAACATTTTTTAATCATTTTGTGAACATTTTTTAATCATATTTGTGAACATTTTTGAATCATATTTGTGAACATTTTTGAATCATATTTGTGAACATTTTTAATCATATCTTTGAACATTTTTTAATCATACTGTTTAAATGTATGGGTTTCTTTAGCATACAACGTGTAATTCTTGAATCATTACAAAACACCCCTATCTATGTGTCTTTTTTCAGCTCTATTACAAATTCATTTTTTTAATTTCAATTTCATTTTCTCTCGTTGTATTTATTTGTCATGCTATTTACAAATCTGGTGAGCATGAAAATGAATCCTTTTTATCAAGTTTAAATTATTAGTTTTCACTCCGTTACTTTCATTCATTCAACCCCCCACCCCCTCCACTAACACGATAAATTTGACCGTATTAATCTGATTGGTAAACCATAGCATCCCCCCCCCCCCCCCTCATTTGCAAATATGAAGCCATATTACCCCACCTCCCCCCCTGTGCAAATTTCAAACCATGGTATTCATTGTATGGTTCCAATTGACTGAGTAAGTCCTTTGCATGGATTTTTGAAATGCATAGAGAATAGAATATATATTGGAGGGGAATTTACTAGAAAAAAGTGTAAAACGGCCATTTTGTTGTACTGTTTCCATACTGCAGGTGTACTTCACATATTTATGTTATATAACCTTTTGGGCCCTGGAATATCATTTTATAGAAAATCTAAAATTATTGTTAAAAGAAAACCAAATTATGAAATAGGCTGGTTTCATAATTGACCAATGATCATTTCACATAGACTCTATGCCTTCCACTTTACAAACGATGATTTTCCGTTATAACTATAAATCAAATGATGTTTTTTATTCACCTAATTGATTATAAAGTTTATTTAACAGTTTAAAAAATTCGAAATTGAAATGAATAGTCTAGGGAACATACTGCATTAATGTACTCTACTGCATATAATTTGTGAACATTTACATGATTTGTACACTTTGAACTCCCTTTCAGGCTGAAAGGGACTGAAAAACTTCATACCGAGAGATTCTTTAAATTCCACTCTAATATGTATTCTATTCTCTATGTTGAAATGTCGTCTTTCTACTTATTATCAATTTGTACAAATATCATGCTTTGGTATATCTTTAATATATTTTGGACCAAATTACGTCCGACACAATATCTGAGTCACAATTCAAAGTCACAACTATGTCTAAGACTCATTCTAAGTCACAATGCTAAGAAAAAATTCTTAATTTGGAGACATGCTTATGCCTGAGACACATGCTAAGTCACAATTAAGACAAAACCATACTTTTTAGACCAAATTATGTCTGAGAAGCTTTCCAAGTCACAATTTTGTCAAAGACTTATTCCAATGCACAACTATATGGCTAAGACTCATTCTAAGTCACCATTTAAAGATAAACCCATAAGACATGATTATGTCTAAGATACAATGCATGTTTGAATGTGTGAAAAACCAAAGCCACAGTTGACCCGGAATTCTATTTTAAATTCAAGCCAATAGTTTACCTTTATCATCTAAATTTAGACCTACTTACAGACAGTCATTGACTTTCAACATTTTATAGCCTTTTGGAAAGCCTTTAACAAAAGAAGGCAAAAACAAAAGATATTTTGCGTAGATTTTTGCACAGAATCCTTTAGAGGGAATTTTCACAATTTTAGTTTTTCTTTAATACACATTTAGGTTTTGCAAATTTTGCAATTATTTTTGCATATTTGAACTCGCTGCAGGTCAAGGGCTTTTCAAAAATGTATAATTTTTCATATTTCACGAAATTTTTGTTTTTTGCACACTTTTTGCTAACTAACTAGTTTTCGCAAAAAATAGTTTTTTCAAATTTGCAATTTTTTCTTCAAATAATTCAAGCAAAACCCAAGGGCTTACCAAAAATGTATCAAATGTTTTGATTTGTATCATAAAGAAGGTCACCAAGGGGGGGCAGTCTATTTTGGATAAACCAGACGTAAGTCGGAATAGGGTTAAAAAGCCGCATTAAAATAATATATGACAGTTTTAATTAATTGAGACCTATACTGGGCGTGTAGGTGAAAGTGTCTCGCAATCAGATAGCTTTATCAAGCCAAGTGTACGAGGGAGGAGGTTTAGTGCTGCAATGAGCCCCGCAAAATGACCATTGTAGCCTTATAATACCTAGAATGTCCTCCAAGCCCCACAAGACCATATCCGTGCCTCTGCTATTCTGTGTTAGGAGGCTCCAGAGGTCATTTCGCGGGGCTCATGGCGAATTTGTACCCCCCTTCCTCAGTGTGCACATTCTAAATTAAAAATATTGATATAATGTTGTATCAGGAAAAACTAAAAATAAAATCTTTAACCTTCATCGTTAAGAAGAAATTCTAACGTTGGGTTCGCCCTTTCGAAATATCACAGCATCAGGTTGCAAAGATTTAGGGATTAGAATATCGAGTAATCAGTTCTTTTAACCAACCTTCCAATTTGTGCGGCAATATATGGATAAGAGAAATATCAAATTTATGAGAACCAAGTGTAGCAAACTGCACGCAAGTAAATAATGAAATATTTAACTATCTAAGAGAGTCACTGACTCCTCACCACAATCTAAAATTTTCTAATTCTTATATTTTAATAACCTGATGCCGTTGACCTTTGATAATCCGATTAAACAGAGCCAAAGTTTGAAAGTGGAAATTGATTATCTTTAAAGCTTGGTATCTCAATATCTAATGTGGGCATTTTTACATTTGAGGATACATGCTTTATCCATCAAGTAAAGTTCTTTCTCCAGGGTATGATCATCACAGGATATCAAAGAGAAGTTAAAATAATCTGTAGATCAGCAGAAGATGGAATTAAATCACTATTAAAGGGGGTGTTCGTGAAAAATGAAAGGGGGTATAGGCTTTCGGCGAATAATAATCGCTTTTGATCGCTACTAATCTTACTTCTATCTATTGCGTCTATAAGGAGAAAATTGTTAAAAAAGGCTTATACTAAAGAACGTAGCGTCCATACAAATTCAGAAAATTGAAATAGACGACTCGGATCGTAAAAAAAATCAATTTAATTTCAAACAAATCATTCAGATATTTAAGCCTATAGTAATCGATTATTTTTCGACGCATTCATATATAGTTAATATTTCATAATATTTTTTATTCGTTATGTATAAGATACACTTAAAACGCCGAAATAGTTGGCCGCTAGATGTCTCTGCTCTCGATGCTTTGAATGATTTCACGTGTACCTTGAGTCGTACTATTATAAAGGCGTTTGTTTTTAAAAACCATCTTATCAAGGTCAGACTAGAAAACAAACAAGATAAGAAAAACCGGGCGGAGGACTTTTTCTTTACAGGGTATCCAATAAATATTAGATTTTATAATTTCTTCTTTTTTTGGTCGCGAATGCAGGGTAAAAGTTATAAGGCGTATTCTGACCTTTTGTTATGTATGATGATGTACGTGTGAGTATTCAGAACCAAGCAATAGAGATTACGATGGCGGCAGAATCCATCTATATATCTATTGATTCAAATCTTAGGGATCCATTTGTAAATTAGTGGTAAATACTGTAAACCGCAATTCTTTTTCCTAAACTAAAACAAGGGTGTCTGAATCTATGTAAAGACAAGTATACACCCCATTTGTACATTTGTACATCGGAATGTCTGTTATGCACTGAAATCTAGACTACTCTGAAACTTAATCATCAAATTTTTTAGACATCCTCGATTACAAAAATCTTCTTTCTTTAATTTTCAGATAAAGAATGGGGTGGGGGGAAACTTTATAATTTTTAAATGACAGGAAAATGTTTCTTCATGAATTGAAGATCACCTGAAATTACGACTACAGTCCCTTTAATGTTACCTTAATTATGAAGTAATAATAATAGAAAACAACTTTTACAAATCACAAGAAACGGAATATATTCGAAGGAACTGAACACGTGTCACTAACTCTAATATTTTGATTCTCATCTTATTGCAACCTGCTGCCATTCAAGCTTAAGTTGTATTTAGAAATATAATCAAAGTTTGCAAAGATATAAGTTCTTTTCATAATTGAATAAGTATTTATATTTTAGCTATTTACAAAATAAAGCGAGTTCTCTGTGAATATTGATTATTTAGACATAATAACTGTGCTTGGTTTTTATCAGGCTTATACATAAACATAAACATAAACATAAACATAACATAAACATAAACATAAACATAAACATAAACATAAACATAAACATAAACATAAACATAAACATAAACATAACATAAACATAACATAAACATAAACACAAAAAATTCGTGAACATACACATAAAACTAATCATATCTCTTAAATCTTTTATCAACAGTTAAATAAGGAAAATCTGTGAGGTAATTGTTGTTGTTGTAAAGAAACATTAAAAAGCTAAAATACATGAGAAGGAGAAGTGCGAAGCTCCCGGAAGCCTAGTAATTAATGTATTATGCAGAATTTGGAAGAAAAAAATACAGCTGACCGAACATAATAAATTCAACAAATCCTCATGAATATTTGTCTCAGTGATTTAGGATTTGAACCATTGGTAAGGAGTTCAGCGACCTCTCTCCAAATAATTAAATTTGGTTATTCTTTGCAAAATTATCGCTTTAAATTTAAAAACTCCGTGTAAATTCAAATTCGATACAACCGTATTTACTATTTTCAAATATTTTTTGGTGAAAAAAGTAATTTACAATTGTGGAATATTCCTGGAGAATAAAGCTCTAGATGCATTGTTCTTAAAGCCCTTGAATTATTGGGCTTAGAGGAGTAGCAGAAATAAACAGGTTTATAAAGAGAGGAGGTGGTGGGGGGGGGGGAATCTGACAGTTTGTCTTCGTCTTTCAACTACTCTACACTGACCACATCCTTTGGTTTTTTCAAAACTTGAAATTCATTGAAAAAATTTAATCTAGTTTTCTGTCGAGAAAATGATTCGTTAGTTTCAGTTTCTAAAGATATCCTTGTGTTTAGAGTTGTTATTACAAACTAGAACAAGTAGTTAAAAAGATGTCGGGTACCCTCCGACCATTTTTTAATTATCTGATTAAATATCTCAGATCAATGTAAAAGTCATCTGATAAATATTCGATATCTCCGATGTATATATCTTAACCCTATCTCTGCTGGGGTACTTGAAAACCAGGATATATATACTCTAAATCCCATGTTTGATGTCTCCAAATATGACAAATGATACATCATTGGAAAGCTCTTGTGCTCTACTTTTAGAATCTGCAAAAAAAATTGCAAATTTGCAAAAAAAAAATTTTATCGCAAAATCAAGTTTATAGTAAAAATGTTTGCAAAAAAAATTTGTCCAAAAAATGAAAAATTATACATTTTTAAAAATCCTTGACCATACCATTTTAAATATGCAAAAATATTTGCAAAATTTAAAATAACCTAATTTTTAATCAAGAAAAACTAAAAATGTGCAAATTTCCTTTGACAGATTGTTTGTAAAAAATTTGCAAAAGTCAGAAAATTTCAACAGCCTCAGACCAATTTCTCTTTGAGTTATGTAAAAAAAACTACAGCAGGAATAAGGTTAATTTTTCCAATAGATTCAGCTATTTGATAGTTACAGATTACTCATGTCAAGGATGAAACTCCAGAGATGACTGTTAGAATTGTGTTCAGTCTTATTTCTATAATATCTATAATCTGCGCTCTAACAATTTGTCTTCAAAAAAATATTCCATTAAAATATGTATATTATACGCGTGGTAAAACTCTAAATAATTTTACCTTTACACGTCATATTTACAGATTTTCAGGTCTTAAAAGGCCTGATCCTTGGTAAGTAACCTTCAGCTAAGTTCTCCCATTAGTATCTAACTTATTCGATGATTATCTAAAATATTCGATGATTATCTAACATATTCGATGATTATCTAACATATTCGATGATTATCTAACATATTCGATGATTATCTAACATATTCGATGATTATCTAACATATTCGATGATTATCTAACATATTCGATGATTATCTAACATATTCGATGATTATCTAACATATTCGATGATTATCTAACATATTCGATGATTATCTAACATATTCGATGATTATCTAACATATTTGATGATTATCTATCATATTCGATGATTATCTAACATCTAATGATTATCGTCCAGGTTTTTAAGGTATTCTAAAAAAGCTTTCTTTTGATGATGCAAGGGTGTAATGCAAGGACAGTTAATTGCGGCCGTGTATACTCTGCGTACACATTGAAACCAGTTCTCTTTGGGCGGAATTTGTAAACAAGAATAGATGCATCAGTGTTTGTTTAGCATCCGAGGAGGTTAAAAGCATTACATTTTGATAATTTTGATAATTAACATAATAGTTTCCTATGACCAGAATATTTCATTATTATTAATGTGAAAGATGGATCCCATGTCAGGCTTTGACATCCGTCTTGTGTTTACATTACCGCCCAGATACAGTACACTGCAGTACACAGTGTTACTCACAAGAGATGAGAGTTCAGCGACGATTGTACGAGATTTATTCTGTCTGTTTCCTTACATTTATGATTCTCTAGAACTTGAAATTTTTTTCTTTCTTTTCCAAATTATTAAATAAGCCATAAAAAGACTTTCTTTGGAGACAGAAGACTTAATCTAACCTTGGATTTATTAAATTTAAAGAATTTTAGGTCGTCTTTAGAGTCTCATGCATTGGAATCATCAAATTTATTAGAATTTTATGTCGTCTTTACAGTCTCATTTATTGGAATCATCAAATTTAAAGAATTTTAGGTCATCTTTAGAGTTTCATCCATTGGAATCATCAAATTTAAAGAATTTTAGGTCGTCTTTGAAGTCTCATCCATTGGAATCATCAAATTTAAAGAATTTTAGGTCGTATTTACAGTCTCATCCATTGGAATCATCAAATTTAAAGAATTTTAGGTCGTCTTTACAGTCTCATCCATTGGAATCATCAAATTTAAAGAATTTTAGGTCGTCTTTACAGTCTCATCCATTGGAATCATCAAATTTAAAGAATTTTAGGTCGTCTTTACAGTCTAATCCATTGTGGGAAGCCCTGTATGTAACCAAGCTTTTAATAAATATATATAGTCAAAATGAAGCGGATTAACTTTAAAGTAAAAAGAAGACTTGAATATCGACTTTCATTTGCGGTATTATTTTGTCATTCTCATAGTAGAAATATAAACACGTAATTCTTAATTTCTGTAGAATTTTAAAGGCATAAAAGGGCTGACCACATTTATTTTATGTCAGAGAACTAGGGGCCAAACAAAATTTACAACTTATCATGTTTTTGCATTAATATGCAAATATCTATTCTTATCGTACCATGCTGTGTTCCCTTGATTTTTACAAAATTGTTTTCTTTGGCAAATTCCGAATAAAAATAACAGTTTACCTCAACATTATAGAAATCTGCTCCATAGTGTTCAGGGCTGTCAAACGTTTTCTCATCACTTTAATTCAACATAAATATTCTTCTTAAAATATTAAGAACTAAATGTTTTCTTGCTTTGTAATAACAACCCATTCTGTACGTTTTTATAATCGTTCAAATAAAAATTGATTTCGTTTGTTTTCAAAATTTTTCTTCCTTTTCCATCTATTTCGTTCTTTTTCTCAGTGAACAATAGTTTAGTAAAATCGTTCGTTTAGTAAAAAATTATAGTTTTTTTCAGAACTCACAAATTTCGTTCGTTCACAAATTTTGCCCATCTCTACTAACATAAACGTTATACAATGTGTATATTTAAAAAAGTCTGTCATAGCATACAGAGATATTTTAATGTATCTCTTCGTTAATGCCTCTTCTCTTCCACAGACTACTTGACAATCCCCTACCTCCCAATCAACTCCCTACCTGTATTGTACCATCCCCAACCATAATTTGATGTGCGTATCCAATTACATCAATTATCGTTAACTTACAAACTGTAACGTAAATTGTGATTGCTTATTTATGCTTTCTAGTTGAATAAAAATATGAAATATTAAACCAGAAAGTTCTGGAATAGGTACACGGCTTTCAGACTCAAGTTTGGACTTTAAATAACCAAGACACATCAATTAATTGTGCAGTGCAAACAGGCTCATTTCATAAGCTAGTAGTAAAACGTTTTCACAGTTTTCTTAAGGACGAAATTTAAACAAGATAACGTTTTTTGATTTTGTTATAAAGCAAATCGTTTTATCGGTGTAGTTTGAAATCAAATTATTTAGTACAATTTGTCTAATGTACACTGCAGAATTGCCATGTTTTATCTTATTTTCACTTTTTGAAATTACACCTTGGTCAGACAGTCGTCTTTATTTTCCACCGTTAAGAAGAAAGTCCCTAATTTTGTTCACTGTATCTATAATCCAGGATTCAGAAGTCAGGTTTGAAACCACACCTTGCACTAAATCTCTAAACAAAACAAATATATGCGATAATCAAATTAAATCAAATCAAATCAGGCTTTTAACCCTATTACTGCTGGGGGAGGGGGGGGGTCAATTTGAAAGAAAAAGCGTAAAAATGATGTCTATTATGTCAAATTGTCTTTGAAAGTCATCGTTTTCTGGGATAAAGACCAAACCAGCCCCCCCTCACAAGTCCTGGGCAGGGCATTGCCCCCCCTCCCCCTGCTTATCTACTTTTAGGTTAAGTTTAATAGTTTTCAAAGTAATAAATAAGATGATATTGAAAAAAACATCATAACTCTTTTTTTTATTTGTTTACGTTACAAGCATTTTTAGATTGTAAAAACTTTTATGTAATATCCAATCGTTTTCTATCAATACTTATTTCTTTCCTTTGCAGGTAAGGTAAAATATAAACAAAATAGAAAATAAAAACAAACTGTTCTTTTATAATTAAAACATCATTTCAGCATTGAGAAATAAAAATATTAATATCCTTTGTTCTTACAATATGGATTTAAATTAATTTTAATTTCGTCTAAAATAAACCACAGTTTCTTGGTTACCCATGAAGACTAAGATTGTAAGTACAACCTAAAAATCTTTAAATCTGGAATTCCAAGGTAAAATTAAGTATTCCTACATCAAATACAATCTTTTAATAACTTATATGTTGATTATAACGAAACAAGTTTACGATTGCAGATTGTGTCTCTAAAGTCTCATACATTGTGGATAAACAATATGCTTCCTTTGAACAATCTAACCTGACATCAGCGGACTGCCAATCTCCGAGCATTGTACGCTTGGCGTACGCAAACTTGCATGCCTCAACAAACCTGGCAAAATACGCATTTTTAAATTAATTTTTTCATTTTAGAAATGTGACTCAGTGGGAAAAAAACGTTCTATGAACTTAAATCACATTAAATTAAGCTGGGTAGGTCACACAGACGTACAGGGTGTCACATTAAACATAGGAATTCAGTGACGACTTTCTTATCGTGTTTGATCCAAGCGGGTTTTTTCATTTATTTACAATTATTGCAGTATTTCAGCTTAAACATCTGATATCGAAAACAACTGGTCATGACATTTTCAAAGTGTAGTCTGCCATTTTTGTATTTTCAAAATTGACGGAGATATTGCAAAATTTGTACGAATTTCAATTTATTTAACAAAATCAAAATTTTCTTAAAATCTAATATCTAATATCTACTAATATCTAATCTAATATCTAATATCTTCGTCAAAGACGACTTTCAAGTCGTCTCTGAATTCCCATGTTTATTGGGATATGATAGGTCAGGACTGAAACAAGTCTTATCAGGTAATCAAAGTTTAAAGTTGGCCGACATAGGATAAGGTCGGGCGGGTACATGCCACACTTACTAAGACTGGCGCAAGGGAGTCGGTCACAGTTGTCACAGTCAAAATGAAGTTTAGTTTAGTCGCTGAACCTGAAGTTTCCCCCTCCGGTATCATAAGTGAAACATATATTTTGAGAATTCAAATATATAAATTAAATTAAGTAAAAAGATACTAATTACCTATGCCAAAGAAGAGGATCTCCTCTATCTAATGGGTTTGGTTTGTATGCCCCAGCTATGCCCAAAATAGCCGCCATTACCGAACCGCTTCCTAAACAAGACGATAAATTCAAAATGGCTACCAATATTTGAACATGCTACTTCAATCACAAAAACAAATTCAAAATGGCCGCCAATATTTGACCATGGTACTTCAATAACAAAAACAAATTGAAAATACTCGCTATTATTGGACCATACTACTTCACTCACAAACAAAAAAAATCAAAATATCAAGTATCGGACCATATGCTTTTTCAATTACAAAAACAAATTTAAATTGCCTGCCATTTCTAGAACATGCCTTTTTTATGGATCCATGCTTCCTTTTAAATACAACAACAAATTTAATGTATCCAAATTCATCATGGCGCAGGTTCGAAGGGTAACAAAACAAGGAAACAACTTTTGGTTAGCTAAATAAACAATACAATACAAAACAAGAATCGTTTTTTTTTTCTATATCTCTATATAAGTCAGCTTATATAAAGATGGGCATTGATTTATTGTTAGTTTTAAACATAAAAAGGAATTTCACATTTAAAAAGGTCCACAAATCTGAAATTCGTTTTAAAAATTGTTTTTTCTCTTAGTTTGCTTTTATTACATCGTCCAAAATTTTGGTTTTTCATAAAGACACTGTCAGAATGATCTATTAAAATAATTCTACCAATCGCGTTCATCTTTCCTTTAAGCCTTAATGATAAAAATGATAAACAAAAGTTTAAGACATTTTGTAATGTGCAATAATTGCAATAAGTGCATAAGCTTTCAGTGGTAATAACACGCCAACTTTCAGTTTATAAGATGCATTTTGAGTTGAACAATGTTCCAATTGTTCCCAAATGCAAATTGTAAAAGCTTAAAAAATACTGCATTTAAAAGGAAGAGAATGGCGGGTTTCCTCCACCCCCCCCCCCATAAAGATTTAGAGTGATCTACACGTACATATATAAAAAGTTATCAGACTAATAATGTGTTAGAAATAATGACCACTTTTTTAACCTGGAGGGGGGGGGAGTTATTTTACCTGGAGAGGGGAAAGTTTATTTTACCTGGAGATGGGGAAGTTTTGTTTACCTGGAGAGGGGAAAGTTTATTTTACCTGGAGAGGGGAAAGTTTATTTTACCTGGAGATGGGGAAGTTTTGTTTACCTGGAGGGAGGGGGGGGAGAGTTTTTTTTACCTGGAGGGGGGGAAGATAAAATTGTAAACTCTGTCCCTGGTATTTTTGCTGTAACAGGTGCTTCCCAGGATACTCTAACAAATATAAAGTACAAGAAAAAATGTCTTTGTTCACAAAACATGGGTATAAGGGGTCAAACAGCAATTTACAGCAATTTTCGTTTGATAACGGAACCAGGAAATACGAATAAAGAGAAGGGAAATGGCACTGGTCTGGTATTAGAAAGCCAGTCGCAATGCTTTGCAGCCGAGTTCCTTATCACACACGCACACTTTTTGGTACAGACACACAACATGACTACAGTCAAGGAAATTGCAGAACAATGTCGTCAATTATAATTAAGCTTGAAAAATGAATCAAATTATATTCTTCGCATGAAAACTTATTTTTAAGTAAACAATTAACAATAAACATATGTCTCTCCAAGACTGGACAAATTTCCACAGGGTGGGCTACGTAGGCCTTAATTGACCCAGCACGACATGCTACGTTTTTACGATAGGTTTTTAGTGTGCCATCTCACGGCCACTTGTTGAATATAATACCCATTCAGGGGTTAAGTTTTACAACTTTTAAAGAATTACTCCAATTTTAAACATGAAACATAACATTTATGAATTCAGTCTTGTTTTGAAGATTTTGTGTTTCGTATCCAAAGGATATCCTTAAATATCTCTGAATACAAATATTTGCTGCTTGATCGTGTACGGTACTTGTACACAATAGAACATGCTGTGGAAAATGTTGCATATTAGCTGATAATCGATCTCTGTAGTCTGTAACTCTCTTATCTCAGCCCTGAACGGAACGTTTACCATACTATATACTTAAACAAATCACTACTTTGGTGCGTACTGCAGATCACTGAAGTAGCCACCGAACGTTTTGGATGACCAGAGCCCGAAATTTGAAAGAGTATGGTTGAAGGAAACTACCGAGTTTCATTTTTGGGGGGGCCTTAATATTTGTGTAGATTTTGATTTAAGAGATTCGAAAAAAGATTGAGAATATGAAGAAACTAAATAAAATAATAGTTTATCACACAAATATTGATATCCACAAAACTGCCTAACCTCATTCGTGAAACCCGAATTTAAAAACTGGTTTTCATAACGATACCCTGTCTTGGACTCAGAGACCTGGGTTTCACGAAAAGGGTTTGGTAGTTTTGTGGGTATCAATATTTTTGTTATGAAATATCATTTCATTTAGTTTCTTCATATTCTCCATTTTTTCAAATCTCTTAATTCTTAATTCTTAATAATATGCACTGTACACATTACTCTGATCGCCAGCGTTTTGTGGCCGGCTCAATGATAGTCTTACAGTGGTAGGGTAACGCCAGGTCATTTTAAGCACTCATCTGCGAATACGGGGGCTTGGAGACCATTTTTAGGGGCTCATGACGGCCCTGCACCCCCTCCCTCATCATAACCAGGCCGAAGTGAACCCATTGTATCAAATATTTTAAACAAGTTGTAAATGCAGAGAACAATAGCTTAATAAATATTAATATGTCAAACCTTCTTTAAACTTTTAAGAGGAATTCAAAGGAACATAATTATAGGTTTAAAGGGTACCGTTGTAAATCCTGCATTTTCTGTTAATGTATGAAACTATGGATGGGTAACAGAACTTTCTTAAATCCTAATTATATTGCATATAGTGGTCGACGTTCATATTAATATTACAATGATGAAAACGTTCCTTTCAACCTTTGATTTCTAGTTCAAAAATGAAATAGAAAGTCGTCCTCATTGTATTGACATAAACGCCGACGACTGTACTAACCTGTAATTTTTCATATCCTCCATTGTAATGATTCCTCCTGATTTCTGAATATCATCAACTAGTTTCTTTGCAATATCTCCTTTATAGAACTCATCACCACCCTTAATTAGTCGGTTTAAAGGGACTGTTAATTCATAGAGACCATTCATGTAAAGATAGAAATGTCCATTTTACAACTGTATCCACCTAACTATGACCCAGAATGTGGAAGATAACGTCGTTTTTCTGACTCGAAAATAAATAGTTTAAATTAACAAAAATATTTATATCTAACTGATACTTTATCAGACAAAAATATTAATATCTAACTGATACTTTATCAGACAAAAATATTTATATCTAACTGATACTTTATCAGACAAAAATATTTATATCTAACTGATTTTACGTTTTTGATCAAACCTTTAAATTATAAATATTGTTTTCTTTGTTTTGTTTTCGAAGTATGAAGACAATAACGAAGAATGATTTTTGGGCTTGCAAAATTTATTTTAAAAGTAACAACTTTGATTTAAGCATTGAAACTTTAGGTTATTTTTAACAAATTCTTAACAAAGACGATTTAGAATTCGTCTCTTAATTTCCATGCTTATCGGGACACCCTGTATACCCCTGTACCTTCTGTGCAATTTGTTCCAGTGTGTGCGCAAGTAATGGATGTTTATAAACGTCTCCTTCTTGAAGAATATTCCCATCTGAATTTAGAAAGACCGATCTCATTCCTGGGTAAGCATCATCAATATTGGAAATGAGCCCACCCTAGGTTTGTGCATTACACAGATTTACACAAGCTACGATCACTAAAACTACAAGTTTAAAGATTGCAGGGAACCCTAGCTGAATGTAATAAAAAAGGCAGATGAAATTTCTCACAGTCGTTTTTAAATTCAAAGTCCATTCTTTGAGAGTAGCGTTGTTCAAGGTTATAATGCAAGAAAAGTTAATTGCAGTTGCGTATTTTCTGCGTACATATTGAAACCATGTTCTCTCTGGGTGATATTTGTAAAAAAGAATGAGTGAATCAGTGTTCGTTCAGTATCCAAGGAGGTTAAAAGCATTAAATTTTGTTCATTTTGATAATGCACTTAATAGTTTCCTAGTACCAGAATATTTCATTAATGTTTTATGTGAGATTCGTCTTGTGTTTACATTACCGCCCAGATACAGTACACTGCAGTACAGAAGATGCGTTAATATGTTAAAACAAATTGTTAAATATAAATCTACCTTATTTCATGAATATGTTAAAACAAATTTTTATATATCAATCTACCACCTTATTTCATGAATATGTTAAAACAAAATGTTATAAATCAATCTACCTTATTTCATGAATATGTTAAAACAAAATTGTTATAAATCAATCTACCTTATTTCATGAATATGTTAAAACGAAATTGTTATAAATCTATCTACCTTTTTTCATGTATATGTTAAAACAAAATCTTTTTAAATCAAGCTACCTTATTTCATGAATATGTTAAAACAAAATTGTTATATATCAATCTACCTTATTTTCACGAATATGTTGAAGCACAAATTAAAAAATCAAGGTCATTAATAACATATTTATTTAAGTTTTTTCGGTGAGTTTTAGAAGTCAAACACATTCAATTTTTTAATTGATTACAGTTAAACATGTGAGTTTTTAATTTTCTTTTTTAAAAATCATAATTTGTTTAAATTTTGCACAAACTTTGGTGGGCTGGGTTATGAAGAAAAAAAATAAAAATTAATAAAGCTTATTCCTGGGTCTTCCTTCCAGCTTGATTTCGTTATATTCATTGCACTAAATAATACAAAGGAATTGAGTTTAAGCGACAACTCCACAACTCAAATTTGGTATTCCTAAATATTTGAAACCTGATGGTGTAAACTATTTTTGTTCTTACAGAATTAATAGTTTGAGAAATATCAAAGGTCAACGACTTTGGGTTGCAAACATATATGGATTAGAAATCAGAGTTTGTGGCAAAAACTCAATTCCTTTATCAGAAGTTAGAATTTATACGATGTGAATCTGAGGATTAAGCATTGATCCCCCATCTTCTGAAGAATTTTATTTTAATCCTCTGTTCGATATCACACAGTTTTTATACCCTGCAAGGATAACTTGGATTGTGAGCTCAGGCATTGATCATCAAATTTCAAATTGCCCATATCAAGATAAAGTGTTAAATATTAACGACATTCAACACAAAACTAATACATATCAAACGGTTAATAAGTGCAAAAAAAGCGTTTTAATGTCAGTCCTAAAATATTTTTATGTATTCACAATATGCAAATCAGGGAAATCTGGAATTTTGATCTTGGTATTTTTCAAAATAAACGAATAAAAAACGCTTGGACAGATAAATGATAAAAATGATGACAAGCTCATTCAGAAAATATGCTATTTGCCTGAAAAAGTGAAATGTTTTTAAACATACTTAGCTGCATGAGCACTAATGGTGATCCCGTTCCTGCAAAGATTTATGGACGGCTGAATCAAATCAGACCAAGGAATGTTAGGGTTGCCAAGCCTCTTAAAAATAATGCAAAATTATAGAATTTTTCAAAATGATGAAAATTATTTGCAAAATTGATTTAAAAAAATGTTGTAACACCTGTTTTGCTTCCCATAGACCCATAACCTCCCCCGGTACCCCAGCTGCAAGAGGACCCAGCAAACTACTCGTTCTAGAAAAAGATTTTTCAGGAACAATGTCTACCAGTTACAGACATCTCTAGTTAAAAGATGAAACAAAAACAATATTTATCCATATTATAATTCTAGATACTCAAATCAAAGGAACGGGCTCCTTACCCACGGAAAGAAAGATTAAGCCCCNAGATAGATAGATAGATAGATAGATAGATAGATAGATAGATAGATAGATAGATAGATAGATAGATAGATAGATAGATAGATAGATAGATAGATAGATAGATAGATAGATAGATAGATAGATAGATAGATAGATAGATAGATAGATAGATAGATAGATAGATAGATAGATAGAAAGATAGATAGGTAGATAGATAGATAGATAGATAGATAGATAGATAGATAGATAGATAGATAGATAGATAGATAGATATTACCCAAAATGATACCTAATGGTCATAATGAACCCTCCTCCAATGCCCATACTCTGTGAAGTTACAACTCCGTTGCAAAAAAGAGTAGCTACGGCTGCATCAACTGCATTCCCCCCTCGTTCCAATATATTCCTGAACAAAAACATAATTAATTCATTAATGAAATATTACCCCTTTTTATGAAAATACTCTCATTGTTTTCAGAAATGTAAAGGAATTAGGCTATTGTGAGCATTTAATTCTGTATACTAAAATAAAACAAACAAAAAATTCATAAATTAAAAAGAATAATTTTGTGGATGTTAAAAATTTACTGACAAACGAGTTTTGTTGGAGGCTAGTTTTTAAAAATTTTTGTCATTCATAAATCTTCCTTTGAGTCAGTTGAGGTCCAATACAAAATTTTGGCCCGATCGGTTCTGCAGTTTTGACGTTTATTGGATACAAAAAACAAAACAAAAAAAAACAAGACAAGAAATATATAAAGATTGAACAAACTATGATTTTATATCCCCCATATATCTGCCCAACAAAAATTGACCGATCAGAACAGGGTTAAATTTCATTTCAAACTATGTTTTCTGTGAGCTCAAATAATCATAGTTAAAAATTCATGGGTTTCCTCCATTAGGTTACAAAGATATAGGGATTATAAATTTTGAGTTTGAGGCAAAGACTTAAGTCCTTTACGAAGATTTTTGTAAAACAAAAATTCTTGCAAAGGTTATGGTGGTAAAATAAAACTAATTTTGGCCACAAGTTATTCTGCTGCGCTAACTTACGTTGTTGATAATAATTGTGAAATAATTGAGTATTTTTGTCAATACATATATATAAATATACTTGGTATATTTGTCTGTCTTGTTCGTGTGTTTGTAACCAAAACACGTTAAAACGGATGAACCATAGGGCCATCTTTTGTTGTAACATACATGACCCCATGAAAAGGGTTATGGACATGGTTAAAGAAAAATCTGCGAAATACAATTATTAAAAATAAAAATGTCAGCATGAGGGCAATGGGAACTATGTACACGTTGACTAAACAGATCTTTTAGTAATTTAAAAGGTTATGATCAAAAATGATTTTGAATTTTTAGCATTAAAAATTATATCTTAAAGTACATTTTAAAAAAATTAACTTTAAGACCAAGATTTATTTTTGAGCTAACAATAGACATTTTGAAATGATTACATACCTTCCAACTGTTGAACATTCTAATGAGTCAACTGCAACAGCTGCCAACTTATATTTTTTCATTAAACTAAACGATCACATTTTCCAGTATAAATATTTAGACTGTCACTAGCTTTACTTTTAATCTGTGTTTCAAATATTTGTTTTTACAGAATCAAATTTTTAAAGAAAATTCCAAGGGAATGATTCATTATAAAGACATTATTGGAAAGGTACTTTACCAAGCAACATCTTCCCAAGTCAGTCCTAGGCTTACCATATGGCCCCCTCCCCTAACAGCATGCGCCTCACCATTGCATCCTGCAACATCTCAGCAGGCATAACCTTACTATGGGAAGATCAGTTTGAAAATCGAAAATTTGAAAATTTGCCACTTGGGAAATTGTCCCAATGGAACACCATTTCTGCCTAATAACTTTGCAATGATGTAAAAATTAGGAAAAGCAATCAGGTTCCCTCTCAGAATACTTGAAAAATGCTAGTTCCTGGACGAAGGAGCTGGGAGAACAGCAGGATCTATACTATGCTCATCAATAGTAGCATCACCAGCATCAGTTGAAAGCTGTATGGGATGAGGGATGGAATAGTCATCACAGTTTCCTGATAGTTCACAACCGACCTAACAACTCACAGCGGTCAAAACGGCATATGAATAGAGGCCATTTAGAACTAATCTGCTCAGAATCCAGAATTGCTGTAAATGCTAAAACTACTCAGTCTAGCATAATTCTTTTAAAATTAAATATTTTTTATTTTCGTAAGGATAATCATTCTAACAAAAATTTAAGAATCACAATAGTTTATGTTCACGAAATTTTTTTTCATTATTTATATTGAGCTATATTACATAGAAATTTGTACAGTTAGCAAGGCTCGAGAATTAGAGAATAGACAATGAGGAGCAGAGACTTGTAAAATATAAGCTTAAGAATTAAAGGCAACGTATTCCACGTTTCAAAATAAAATTATTCTCAATTATCAACACCATTGTTGGAGTAATTCAATTGACCAAAAGAGATCATACTAATACTTGATCTGTATTGACAACGATCTGTAGTAAATAGTTTGACGGAAAGTAAAAAGTAGCATACTTCTAGTGCTCGAATATTGTATGTTATGCAATTGCTGAATGCCAGTACTAACAGGTCTGGTGTAATTGTACTACATTTATTTTATATAAATAATTGCTGAATGTTGTAACTATACAGGTCCAAACTACAATAGGTCGCAACGAAGATTTTTAGACTCTCTGTACAGCTTTATTCTTACGTCACAAGTGTCAACAGTTTTATGTGTCCAACAAGAATATTAATAATTGTGATATTAAAGTGCGTTTTTTACAATGAAATAAGTACAATTTTGCATTCTCTATTTTTTGTTTTTAAATTTTTTTTTTTAAATCTTGGAAAACATATGTTTTCTTCAAGGAGTATAGAATAGAAGTGAGATACAACTGACACGGCCTGCCCTAACATGATTATATATGCTTTGCAGACAGTACTACATTTTAATAAGACATTGTGGCGGAAGACGATCTGAGTCTGAGCCGGATACAGAGACGCGGCAAGAGGATCTAGAAAATTCTGCCACGTGATCTCGATATTTATGTATTTCAATATTTTAAAGTTAAAATTTAGTTTTGTCAGTTAAATAAAGTACTCTATATTAAACCAGGCGTTGTTAAAACGAGCGTAACTAAAACATATGCTTTCCCTAATTGTCTGATTTAAAAATACTGCGTACATTATTAAGAATAGGTTATTGTATACATTACACAGGGAAAAATGTAGGCTGAATAAAGCAAAATAAACATATTTATTGGGGATGCAAAAATATTGGCAATACAAACATATTATTTAATCATATAATAAATCTGTTTTATTTGACATGGTATAGTATAAAAAAAGATTTAAGAATTAAGATATTTGAAAACAATTTTAAGTACATTTATTGCTTCTAGGTAATGATAATTAACAAGTGTAATAAAGGAGAGGAAGATGAGTAGGTTTTCACTGGTTCTAGGATCCGACGCTACTGATTTGCGAATTTTATAATCCTCTTTCAGGGATTTTATCCTCTATAGACGACCTTTAAAAATATTTTTCAATTGGAGTTCTATCTGGAAAGCATGTATAAATCATATGGTAGGGCGGGCCGGGTCGATCCCTTCTCCATCATATTCCATACTCCTTGGTTGTCTTCCTTGTTATATTTGACACTTGTGATGTCATGTTTAATTGGTCCAATTCTCTGTTGCTTCCTATTGTGTACTTGATAATCTATTTGAACAGGTCTAAGGTAATTGTGCTACACATGTATCTATTGGATGCTCTCTAGAGTGTAAATAAATGTAACCAATACTACACGTTACTAAACTTCAGTAGGACTTAAATGCTGACTTGATCAGTGTAAAGTGGATAAACCAAGAAAAGGGTGCAATGCAAGGAAAGTTAATTGGGGTTGTGTATACTCTGCGTACACATTGAAACCAGTTCTCTTTGGGCGGAATTTGTAAACAAGAAAAGATGCATCAGTGTTCGTTTAGTATCCGAGGAGGTTAAAAGCATTAAATTTTGATAATTTTGATAATTCACATAATAGTTTCCTATAACCAGAATATTTCATAGGTTTTTTTTTTAATGTGAAAGATGGGTCCCATGTCAGACTGTAACATCCGTCTTGTGTTTACATTACCGCCCAGAGACAGTACACTGCAGTACAAAAGATGTGTACACTTCTGAAATAACTTTCCTTGCATTACATCCTTGGCTTGTGCAAAGCTAGAGATATTATTTTATTGATAACATTCAAGCGGTAGTTAAACTTGCATTCCTCTTAAACTTAATCTTTACAAATGAGCTTTTTTAAACTGCTCTCAACTATGAGTTTGACCCGGTGAGCTTTCCTGACTTATCTTCTGTGAAAAGACTCCAACACAAATTCCTGAAACATTAAACTGATTCCGAACTACAAATCTCTGTAAAGGGAAAGGGAGAAATTATGCTCAGCATGAAAAATCGGTTTTCTCCCCCCTAGAAGAGTTAAGAAGGGGGCGCAATTGTTAAATATGTCAGATTCAAGGGGAATCAAATTAGTTTCAATGGAAGAGGGGGGCACTTCCCCTTTGCCCCCTCTTTGTACTTGTATTTCTTTACCTGCAACAATGCCTGCTGCGCATACTGCCGCAATCAACGAGATAAGTAGAGTTCGCGCCCATTTTGGAACTCCACTCTCCATCTTGTACCAAGCAGATCTGAAACCATGTACACTGTACAGGATTCAAACCAGTACACAGACTGACATAAAATTTGTACCAACCGTTAAAATTAAATTATAACTTAATAACGTAATATTTCTAACTGAAACTATTCCCTTGTTTAGACTGATTCAGAGATTTTAGTTTACTTTATAATATGACTGAAGACATGTGACTACATTATTATAATAATAATATTACGATGTAATATTACGTTTTGTTGTTTTTGCATGTACAATTTAAATCTAATATGTTTTCAATGATAACTCATATATATTGTTTTACAGCTATTAAGAAGAACAAATATGTTTTGAATTTTGTATGTGTAACCGGAGAATAATCTCATATTTATAAACAAGATAAGAAGTAAAGAAGGGACGAGGTCACAAAGTCAGACCTGTAATATCACATAAATTTGACCTTATTCTCTGATCTAGTACTTTATGTAAAGCGTTGTCACTTTATTTTTGCAGATCGGCAACATTAAACGTATTAATGGGAATGAGTTGATTTATTTAGTGTACCATTCCGTTTTACTGGACATGGCTTGTATATGTGAAGATATATAAACTTTGTCTTCTGTCTTTATCTTTTACTAGACATTGCAATTTTAAATAATGAAATAGATAATCCACAGAATAGAGTGTTTGTTTTTAATCTTTGTGAAGAAATAATCTCAAGAACTGACGAGGGTCAACCCAGACCGAAATATTTTCCATAAATGTGGAACTAACATCTACTTTTTTACTCTGCAGAGGTTTGTTCCATCACCATCACCGAGTTTTTAAATGTACAAAACATGTTATACACTTATACAGGTAAACAAGAAGACAATATATTTGACAAAAAAAGAGTGCTGAGCATTTTTTCAATAAAAATATTATAAGAAATGAAGAAAAAAAGTAAATTTTCCAAATCAAAGTTAGATGGAAACATCATATATGGCAGCAAGGACGGATCCTGCTCTCTAAAAAGGGGGGGCTCAAACTCTTAATAAAGGAATTAACATTCATTGGGAGTGCAAGTATTTCTAGTTCTCAAAATTACAAATATATTGCCACATTGCCACCTTAGAAATCAAAAATAGCTTTCTAAAATTAGGTTTAAAAATAAAAAATCTAAAAAAATCACTAGTTTAAGTGAAAATTAAATTATTAAAAGAATAATGATATGGGTATCAAAAAAATCTGTGTGAAAACAATATTATTAGGCAATATTATATAATAATATGTAATGTTCCTTAGTAAATTTACAACCTTTTTGCAAATTGATAATTCATGGGTAAATATTGTTACGTTTTAAAAAAAACGTTGAAATCAAGGAAATCTAAAGCCTGAAAACTGATGTGAGTAAATCTACAGAGTATAGAAATGTATTTACAAGTAAGAAATGAACAAAAAAAATGTTACTAATGATCCATGAAAAGCCGGAGGTTTCTGACGGATTCTCCGCCTTTCATTTGTCTCGTCCCACGAATTACTCTTCCGTCTCCAGATTCTTCTTGCATACTAACTCGAGTTTCCTTCATGCTATTTCCTCCTACCTCGTTGTGAGATGTCTAACAACTGCTTATTTTTTAGTTTCATGAGCTGTGAATGTCCAAATAAAAGCTAAAATTAAAAATAATTTAAATCGGCTAAAACCTATTTGAAAGGACAGTTAGCGTATTTTAATGTAACCAGTAATCCACCATACAAATTTTAAAAAAACTTTGTGGCATCTCTACAAAATAGACTTGCGCATTTTCATTAAGGAAAATTAACAGAATTAAACATTTTAAAGGGACAGTAAAGGGAAAATGAAAGGGGGTATAGGCTGAAAGCTAATCACTTTAGCTCTTGATCGCGACCCGTGAAAGTTATATCTGATGTTTCTGTTTCGAGAAACTGATATAAAACTGTGTTAAAATTATACGAAAATTCATATATGTAAAATTTTGAAAATCTGAAACTTAAATCACGTGACCAGAACTATCACCAATGGCAGAGAAGTATACTGGTCACGTGTCTCCGCCTGTATCACGTGACCACTTTACTGCACTGCCATTGGTGGAATTTCTGGTCAAGTAATACGGACGTAAAAATAATATTATGAATGATATCTATTGAAAATAGAAATAACAAATATAAAAGTAAACCTAATTTACAGTTAGCTTTCTCTGGGATATCATCGTTTTCAGATTGGTTGCTTACTTGCTGAATATGATCTGTTTAAACCTACTACTTTTATACAAAATTGTATATATATTAATTTTTGTATATATTTGACACAGTTTTATATAAATTTCTCGAGACCTGAACATCAGATATGACTTTCATGGGTCGCGATCAAGAGCTAAAGTGATTAGCTTTCAGCCTATACCCCCTTTCATTTTTCCTTTACTGTCCCTTTAAACCTAAAAAAACGAAAATATGTTCCACATTACGGATCAAACAAATTAAGTTTCAATAATTGCTATCTGTGATTTAAATGACTGAGGGTCACATAAAAGTAAAGTCCCTTTAAGTTTAAAGTAACTTGAAATTTTGTCCCTTTAAACTATAAATGAATACACTAGAGACTTAAATTATTGTAAGTCATGTTTTCCTTCTTCATAAAGACAATTCAGATTAAAGTTTAACAAAATTAAAACATTACTTAAAGACATTACATATATTAGGAATAATAAGTACGCAAACACATCATAACATATCATATAGAACTTTTTGAGATATCATTAATGGCATTAAGGGATTGCATGAATTCCGAGCTGTATAAAGAAGAGTTTACATCCCAAATCTATTGTATTTTGGGCCTAATTTCAATTGACCCTCCATGCAAAATGTCAATGCCCGATTTGTAACATTTGAAACTTTAATCTGGTCAAAAATGTGCAAGATACCGTTTTTTTCTAACTCAAAAAGTGTTCATTTCTGCAAGCTTCTTCATTGCTTCTTGTAAACCAGAAATGAGCAATTCACTTTAATAAAGTTACCACAAAATGAACAGTTTAAAGAAACAAATATATTTATATTAATCAGACTTGATCAGACGAAACTGTTAATCCTATAAAGGCTGGGGGGTCTGAATCTATGTATAGCCTGGGGGGGGGGCGTTTGGCGCCCCCCACTAGAAAAAGGCCTTAGAGAATAGGTAAACGGTTGAAAAGTGCTAGGGAGGGTGGAATGAAATGTCTAAAGAAGGGTCGAAAAAAAATATTTTTTTTTGTTTTAAGTGTGACACATGTTTCTACATGCAATTTTCAAGGGCTTTTCAAAAATATAGCTTTAGATCTGTATATTTTGTCACTAAAAAGTTATGGACTATATTAGATTTTTTTTCACAGACCAGACTTTTTTTCGGCCCTGTACCCTTCCCTATAAATTAATATTTTGTTAACAAAAACTCCTGTAAATTTCTATTCATTAAAAGTCACGAAATTTTGCGGTGATAGTGTCAAAAATGAGAGTGCTAAGACAAAAAAAACTACAGGGGGGGGGCACCAAACGCCCCCTCCCCCAGCCTGTTTATGGTTAAGGATACCGTTGTATGTGGGTATACCCATCCTTTAAATTATGCTTATAGTTCCTTAAACAGTGATTTATGTTTTTTCCTAGTATACATGTTGCGTAAGAGCGTAAAACATCTTAATAGACGAATTAAGTTTTTACTATTTTTTCTAAATAAAAATGAATAATTCCCCTTTTTAGATTCACCACTGTTAGCTAGAATGCATATGTGTATATATTGGAAGGTGTTAAATCTAGAATTTAAAGACCAGGAATGTGGTCAGTTCAGCGTACCTTGAAATACTAAGCTTTAGACTATACATTGGATACTGGGATACACCCAGACAAACCCATCCATTACAGAATTTAATAACTATATATAGTATATATATAATAATAATGATAAGGACATTTAATTTATACATGTTTAACATAATAACTCTAACTGAAGATTGGGTCAGACCTGCATGAAATATTGGAAAATGTATATTTAAACAAACAAATGTATAACAAACATTAATACCGAAGATATTAAAAGCTTTGTCACCCACCAAACCAAACCAAACCAAACCAAACCGAACGTGGATTTAATGTCTTCCGAGCAGGTATAATGTCCAACAAATTGGGAGGTCGTCGTTTAAACTTTTTTTCTCTAAAATGTCGTTACTTGAAAAATGTACTCGAAATATTCTCGAAATGTACTCGAAATGTACTCGAATTGTACTCGAAATGTACTTGAAATGTACTCGAAATGTACTCGAAATGTACTCGAAATGTACTCGAAATGTTCTCGAAATGTACTCGAAATGTACTTGAAATGTACTCGAAATGTACTTGAAATGTACTTGAAATGTACTCGAAATGTACTAGTTACCTTTTCCTAAAATTCTTAAAAATAATTCTAACATCGTTTTTTTTTGAAAAATCCTCAATTCTATCATAGAAAATGCACAATTTATTCTTTTCTGACATAAAAATAAAATAATATTAAAAAATGTTTATCAAATCTTTGGAAAAGATTCCGATCACATTTTCGATTTTATATAAGGCCTACTTTCCAAGGTTGCTAAACCGGCCTTTTAGATCAAAAAAAGTTTGATCCATGACCCCCCCCCCTCCCCCCATCTATGGTATTCTACCTACTTTGGGAAATTTTTGTATGTAGTACAGGCTAAAAGCTTATTTTTAGAGACACCCTGTATTTATATGATACATCAATAGAAAGCGTTACGTGGTCAGCAATTTGGTGAAAAAATTGCTTAAAAGTATTAAAGGGAACTCCGCAAAAAAACGTCCATGAAATTAGACAAGCAAGGAATAATTTGAGGTTTTAACCCTATTTAATACTAACTGCCTGAGTCCTCAGGCACACTGCCTGAATGACTGCTTTTGCCTGTAGCAAACTAAATCTTTTTTTTGACCCACTTTCACTTGTCAGATTTTGATAAAATTTAGCTTTTTGGAAAGCCTATGACATAAGAAAACGGATTGCACAAGTTTTGCGAAAAAAAATTGCAAATTTTTTGCAAAA